ACAACATGGTCTCACTTAATGTACGCAGCTCACCGAATGTGAATGATTGTTGGTCATCAGTAGCCAAGTAGTATGTCCTCTCATGTGCATCTTCCTGCATTACATAAGGAGGTAGTATATGTTTCATTAATAATTTAACCATTTTTAAAAACACATTGTCGCATATTGTATATACATACCACGAGGGGGAATGCAAATACATACCAGAAGTGAAAAAACAGCTGCATCTCTCGTCATCCAACGTCTAGTAACTGTCATATACCACTGCATGTACTCCGAATTGGAACTCAATAATCCCTCTTGAGGGCCATTACTGAATACCCAATAAGTGCGCCTCTCCCATAATTCTAAAACCTATCTAAACTTATCATTCCAATTCTCTCCCGTCTTTCCTCTAAGCGTGATGTCATGTAATGCATCAGGTTGGTATGGAGCACGAGGAATATGTTGCACCATTTCAAACTGACGCATTACACGATCCGGTTGGTGCCACTCACAGATCTGAATGCAAATCAAAGGCACAGTTGACCTCCAAATGTTCATTCCTTGCAAGCATGTAGGGGGCAATGACTCAAGTATATCCTGATTATAAGGCTGTCAAACAATCTGCAAAATGATTAATAAGATTAATTAAAATACAAACATTTGAGTATTTATAAAATTTATATAAGTGTGATATATAATTCAATACCTCGTCCCATTTAAGACGTACAAGTTTATATCTATAATATGCGACATCCTTCTTCCCCTTTCTGGGCACCCAATTAACTAACCGCCTAAACAATAAAAAAGTAAACTAAGTTAACATAAAAAAAATATATATAACAAAATTATTATTTATAAAACTACAAAGGTTATATCATTGAATACCTAGCACTATATGGAAGATCGTGCCGCAAATGTGGAGGTGACGGAGGAGCCAAACATAGAAACCTATCCCACGCCCACATAACTAACAATGGAGTCAATCCCCCTATGGCAACTCTGTCAATGTTTGTCACCATGCATAATTCTGTGTATAAAAAACTGAGAGCTGCTCCTCCCCAGCTATACTGTCTTGTGATAGCAAACTCCTCAAGTAAAGGCAAATATCGGACTGTGACTCTACTGCTAGAGTGATCTGCTAACATAAATCTTCCAATCAATCTCATAATATACGCTCTAGCAAATCTTGTCAGTTGAAGCTCGTTCTACAAATGCATAGTCACGTCAGAGAAATGTTGGTCTAACCAAGTAAGCTTCAAGCTGCTCCCACAAATGCCTCTGGTGGTGGCCTAACACCTAGACTATCCTCAACTATCTGTGGCCAGTTACCTCCAGTAGCTGCAAATAATGGAAGCCCATCAACCCGAAGACCTATTTGTATAGCGATATCTTGAAGCATTATGGTACATTCTCCTGATGGCATATGAAAGATATGTGTCTCAGGCCTCCATCTTTCAACTAATGCAGTAATCAAATGTCTATCTAATGGAAAGTTGGCAAGTTGTGCCACTCCAGCAAAGCCAGCTAGCTCCAAGTGTGGTACAATCTTCAGTGGCACACTGTTTAGGCCAGCTGGTATAAACTGACACTTCCTAACCTTCATCATGGGATGCTCTCGACCATCTCAAATGTGTTCAGACACATATATACTTTGAAAACATAACAATGATGAATCCTCAGGCCTTAGATTAATCACTAGACCTTCTGAAGAAGATGATGCCATCTGAGTAATTAAAAATAAAATGTTAGTATTATTAACATATTAAACATGACAAGATAATGGTAATTTTAATATTTTACTTATCTAAATACACAACTACATTTTTATTGAACCAAGTTACATAAAGATGGAAAAATTTAATAATCATATGAAAATGTATATTTATATTTCAATAATATATTCATACTCAATATTACTTTAATTTAATTTTTGTACAAACTATAAGTTAATCTTAACAATGTCATATGATAATTTAAAAATAAATGTTAGTATTATTAACATATTAAAAATGACAAGATAATAATAAAATTATTATTTTACTTATCTAAATACAGAACTACATTTTATTAAACCAAGTTAAATAATAATTGAAAATTTTATTTATCATATAAAAAATAAAATAATATTACAATTACATATTTATACTCAATATTACTTTAATTTGATTTTTTTACAAACTTTAAATTAATCTTAACATTACAAAATTAGTTACTGCAAATTAGCACGTATGATTTAACTGTAATTTTAAATTTTTTCATAAATAGTAAATATAATAATTATCCCTAATATTTATTACACTTCTAATAATATACTTTAAATTTTATATACCTAATAATTCAATTTTATTATATATTTACTTACATTAATGGCTGGTTTAATATTTTACTACATGCAGAATTCGTTTTTGTTTAATTTTATATTAATACAAATATTTCGTATCAAAATATGCGTAAAAAAATAAATATTTATTTACATATAATTTATTTCATAAATATGATAGTACTAAGTACGGTTTAATTTTGATACACTATTTGTATAAAAAATATATTATCAATCAATTAAAATATGCTATTAAAATAATTTTTATATTAATTATTACTATAATCAACAATTTTTTTTATTGATATGATAGTATATTGAAACTAATTTCTTAATAAATATTGAGTAATTAAGTTATTTGTAGTAATATAATAATGGGAAGTCACATGATAAAAATATTGCAATTATATGTGTTTAATACTAAAATAATAATAATAGAAATGTTACAAATTTAATTAGACTAGTGTCATAAGCTATACTAACCAATCAAATTTTCTTTTAGAAATTTTTTTCCCTTTTATGCTGGGTTGGTAACTATGCATAGCACAAAGTTATACATAACAAAAATTCCATTACTTTACTCTAGAATTACATATATCTTTTGAGAAAATAAATATTTATTTACATAATTTTATTAGGCTGTACTGTTTAATATTTATGTATGGTAATATATTTAATAAGTTATGTAAATTTTTTCGTTTAATATTTCTATTATAATAGAGGTCAATATTTTTCAGATGCTGGGGAGCTACATGTTATAATTTTTTAAACAAATGTTATCATTATAAAATCTATATTACTCTATAATAACCTAAAAATTCAAAAAAAAAAATTAAATTCATATAAATATAACACAGATAAGTTACATAAATTTTCTATCTTCACAAAAATTATTTATCGTAATTATTATTTTTAACAATTTTACATTTTTATTATTTTAAATATACATATATTTCAGTTAAACTATATTTTAAATTTTCTCTTTATATTATCATTAAGAATGAATTTATTTATAATCTAAATCTTTTGAAATTCTATTATTTCTAATCTATTGATAACAAATTATAAATTACTGTTTAATATTTTGTAAATTTGTTTTCGTGAAATTTTGATTTACTTTACTCAAAATTATTCTACATTTTAAACATGTTTCATAAAATTATACTTTGTACACCTATAATTTACCTTTCTAATTAATTTTAACAAGTGATGAATTTTTTTACAACTTTTATTTAATTCATCTTGTTTTACTATGTAATTTTAATTTCTTAATTTAACTCATTATTTATTTTTCTTCTCAGCTAACTTAATATTTTATTATGTTGTAATTAAAGATTACTCTAATTTCAATTTACTATTTTATAAAAACACTCAACCAAAAATTTTTTTTATTCACATTTTAAAAAAATTTAATCTATTTTTACTGATTTTACTAAATATTTTACACAAAATTTACAATTTTTTTTTATAATTGCACTTAAACTTAAACATATTCTAAAATTTTCTAATTTAATGTTAAACTTCAGAATGAAGAAGTAACAACAGTTATGAAAACTTATAAATTAATTTAAAAAAATAATTTAATTCAAATATTACATTTTCACTTTATTTTACATTACATTACTCAAAAAATATATAAATATTTAAATAAATTACAAAAAAAAATTATATTAAATTTTTATTCTTCACTAACCTTTTTTATCAATTGAAATGGAGTTCCACTTATGTATTCTTCAGTATCAGCACCTGCAAAATTTCCAAATTTAATAAACTGTTGTTTTTCTTTTACAAATAATAAAAACATTTTTATTACAATATTTGATTTTTACCTTTGAATTTTGTTCAAAAATACACTGTAAAATCCTAAAATTAACAACTTCTTGCCTCAAATTGACACTACAAATGGAGAAATGCTACTCTGGCCGGCCGTTAATGGAAGATGAAAGTGTAGGAGGGAAGAAGAAGGATTCTACGGCACCAGCATGTTCCTCGCCACATGTCACAATCAGAGCACAATCACCATTGATGCACTGATAGGCTAATCAACAACCCACAGTCGATACAATATACAATTTTGACACATATTCAAACTCCCCCTAACCGTTGATTTTTAAAAAGCCTATCATTTCTGTTGTTGCGATACAAGTGCCCATCTTGGTTTCGACCTCAACTGTCTGATACAGTAAAAAAAAATTCTTTTTAAATTTAATCAAATATTTCTACGATTACGTGTTAAATTTTGTGAGAGTATCAGTTGGGAGTTATCGACAGTGGATTAAAAAAATTAAAAAAATAAGCTATCATCCATATAAATGCAATACTGATCTGTCAAAAATTCACACGAGATAGAAAATATGTTTGAAAATAAACCTAATTTAAGAATTTGTTTTTAAATTAACATTATTTAAATAAATTTGCCGTATCAAAGCATCTTAAAGTAAAACTATTTTTTTCAAAACACTTCGATCTTCCTATCTACGTGGTGGACTGTTAGTTGATAACTTTCGGACGAAGCAAGAAAACACGTGGTAGTGGTAACTGGTAGGAGTGTACTTACATCTACCACCATTCCATAAATTTGGGCACCCGGATGATTTTTGTTTCAAACTAGAACATTTCTTGTTATAGGAACTGCGCTAAAAACTCTCATTAATTAGGAATCATGGCAGAACGAAAGGTTTTCACCCTCTCACAGGTTGCCCAACACAAATCCAACAAAGATTGCTGGCTCGTGATCAATGGCAGAGTAGGACCTTCTTAATTTGTGTCTAATACACACACCCAAAGAGAAATCATTGCATAATTTAATATTATCTCATATTTACGGTCCCAGCTAATCTTTATACAACACGTGGCCAACTTACTACTGGATCATACAATAATTTTTCGATTTTAAGTGGGTCATGATGATTATCCTAATTTTGTAGGTGTTGGACGTTACCAAGTTTTTGGAGGAGCACCCGGGAGGGGAAGAGGTGCTGCTAGAGTTGGCTGGGAAGGATGCTACAAAGGAGTTTGATGCTATTGGACACAGTAACACAGCTCAAAACATGGTTCTGAAGTACCAAGTGGGTGTCGTCCAAGGTGCCACAATTCAAGAGGTGGATTTTAAGGATGTTGTGGACAAGGAATCCAATAGCAAAGAGATGAGTGCCTTCGTGATCAAAGAGGATGCCATGTCTAAGTCTCGGGCATTTTATGAGTTCTTTGTTCCAATTCTTTTTGCCGGAGTCTATTTTGGTTACCGATGCCTCACCAGAGCAGACCCTATCAATTATTAAGCTCTCTTATTGAAACTCTCTTTCTAAATGAATGCTATTTTACTATTTTTATTAAGACTTGATATGTATCAGGTAGTTGTAAAATATGTTCAACGAGGAAACCCTACTCTCTGTTTGCAACTCATTGAAAATAAGTAATTTGATTTACTCATTTACATTTATGTTTAAATACTCATGAATCTATATTTATTTTAACGTTTTTAATCATAATTTTTACTTTTACAAATTTTTTTAACATTATTTCAAACTTTCGACACTTTTCGTATGCCTTTGGAATAGGGTTTGGGTCAATTGCTGGGACTTGATATTTTCCAGAACTCATTTGATTTTGATAAGAGCGCACATTCAAATGTCTCTTTGAAGAAGTATTGGTTCGTAGCTGCAAATCTAATTATTTCATAGTCTTGCCTTGACACCCGTTTTATATTATTAGTACACGATTGAATAAATTATTACCAGAATTATAAGTTAACCAGTGTTTGGTAGAAAAAAGTCCTCTGAAATGAAAAGACTAAAAATAAACCCTTTTTTTTAAAAATAAAACCAATCAAAACACGAACTTGTACATTTTGGGCACAACGTGTACAGGTTTTTGTCTGTAATTTTTTCCTTATGTCTGTAATTTTTTATTTCATGGCTGTATTAGAAGCTTATTTTTAAAAAATTACGTGTATAAAGCATTGGGACTTATTTAATTTAAAAAAATATAGAGAAAACATATGATTAACTTATTTTTAATATTTGCAATCTTATCCTTTAACTGTATGATTAGAAAAGTCATATAATTGAATTTTGATGTAATGAATGATGCAAAGCAAAGTCAAACCCACTTACAAGTGTCTTAATGGAGCATAGTTAACGAGAGGAGTAATTATGCGGATACACTTCCATTAAATTCATGTACTCTCTTATTTATCTTTTCTTCATCCCCGACAGTTCCGCACCTAAAGAAATGACGTGTCAACGGATCGAAATCCTCTGTAACTAGATTCAAACCCGTGCAAGTAGTAATGACGTGCATTCTAGATTTCATTTTTACACTTTTATTATTTAAACACTTAAAAGTTAACATCATACACAATTTTTTATTTTATTTTTACCTTTTTTATATGTATACGTCTCAAATATATTTTCCAAAATCAAAGACCCACATTTTCTTAATTTCTACGACCTATTTATTTATTTTGATATTTTAAATATAATACAAGATATTTTAACAAAATCTTTACGCTCTGTTTGTTCCGCCGAATTTAGTCTGAAAGGATTAATTTGTACAAAAAGACAACATTTTACTAAGATTTGATAATTTGGTCCGGCTATGAAAGCAAGAAAAATAATGTTATGAATACCACACTCTAACATTTTCTTGCCTTTGAAAGTGCATCAGGAGAGAAAAAAGCTGCTAGCATTTTCAATTTTTATCTTGTTTTAATTCATTTAAAACTAAATAATACTTCTATAACAAAAAAAGGTATAGAAAAATAAAAAAAATACATATCATTTAAAAATAATTGAGTTAAATTCAATTTTTTAAATTAATATAAAACATTTTATATGTTTTATTTATTTCTTTTTAGTCTCATTTTTACTAGTCCAAACAAGTCAAAAAACACATTTTTCCACTTTCATCTCTTATTTTTACTCCAAATAACATTTTTTCCATTCAATTTTTACTCTATTTCTTATCTGTATTTTTTTCTCCTATATTTGTTTTCCTCGCTATTTCACTCATTCATCCAAACAAAGAATGAAAATATAAGACATCTATAGGGACTGAAAGTTGAAAAAAAAAAATCCTGAGAAACTAAAAAGAAATTTAACATATAATCTCATTGACAAATATAGGCTTTGAGCCCTCCAAATATTTTGGAGAGGGTAAGATTCACAAATGCTTTTATGTTTTGATCCTGCAAAAGTATATCTTAGCCGTAGATATTTAGATAAGTGCCCTACCCCGTGTTACTTCCATGAGTGCTTGTTAATTCAAGAGAAGGAAAGTATTATCCTCAATAAGTATATACCAACAAACCTTATCTTTGGCACATAACAGTTCTCGCATCAAGAATAAATGATATTCGTTACAACATCATGTCGATTAACTTTGGCATGTACATCTTGTAATACAGTACAGCAGCACAGAGGGAATACTCTTCACTAGACCATTCTAGAATGAATAATGCTATTTTCACATGTTTCTCAAAACAATACTTACATCAAGAAGAGAGATTGGGAGAAAGAGAGAGAAGGGTTAAAGAAAATGGATGATATGACAAATAGCGATAAAGAGGTAAAAAATGTTGAGAAATTATTGTGAAAATAGTATTCTTCTAAAATAAGAGAAAAATTGATAGCAAAAACAAAAAAAAGTAAGGCTGTGCTACTTCTATGCATTGTGGAAGACTCTAAATAGTAATATCAAAGAACTTGAAATATATTGACACCGTGTATGCCAGCGAGAACCAGAAAAAAAAAACCTCTCGCTTGCTTAAACGACAACATAGATTATGTGAACTCGAATTAAAAGATTGTTTGTCTGTCCCCATTCTGCCGCCAACTGGAAATTGATAGAGTATCTAATTCTTCTTTTTTACATCGCGCAAAAAGCAATTAAAACTGCAGAGAAATCAAAATTGTAAGCCACGTAGCCAACACATACTATTACAAGAAAGGGCCGAGAAGATAATTGAACTGAAACACCCGTGAGAGTAACAATTGCATGGAGAATTTAGAACTGACAAAATTTCTCTTCCTTTGGCCCGTGAGGCATGTGGACAAAACTTCAATCAGTTACAAAGCACACTATACCAAGATATAAGCACAAGGAATGTCATTGAACATCCCTCTTTAGGTGGAAAAAGGGAACTATAAAATTTCTTGGCAAAATTTAGAAGAGAGGGCCTAACGAAAAAAAATCTCAACACTTCACATTCCCAATCATTCTTATATAACATTAACAGCAACAAAATCAAGCATACAAAAAGAAAGCGTGAATAAGCAAGAACAATATCACAAAATACCATGAAATGAAGAGCACCAACAAGTAGCCTTGTGAACAAAGGAACCAGGACAAAAAAAATAGTAAATGGAAAGCATCATCAAGGTCATCCAGGACTTCAAAAAAAAAAAATGGAGGGTAGTGACGACCACAGAAACAAAGATCCAGACTTACCAACCAAGCAAAGGAGAATAACAATCCAGACAGTTATTTGAACTGGTCGATTGTATTGCATTTGGTATTGAGATCTTTGAAGCTGTCTTTGGAAAGCCCCGTACCACCCGTGGAATTGCTTATCATAACATTCATCACAATTGTCAAGGCAGCTCTTACCTTTTTCAAAGTATGCATTGATGCCCTTTTTATGGAAAATTAAAAATGAAGTATTAGTAACTCGGTGAATACATTAAAAATACTCAAGCAAGTCTGTTAACAGAGAAAAAAAAAAGAACAGAAGTAGCTAAAGAACAAACCCCATTCAATTCAGTTGATGGTAGCAGTGCATTATCCATTTCTTGATGATGGTTCACCGCTTTAAGCTTTCTATAACCATTCTTAGGCCACTTCAACTTAGAGATGGATTCCATGGAACCAAAAAATCCAGAAAGACTGGCTACCCTATGTAGAGGACCAGACAAACCATTGGAAGAACACAATTGCGGCGCGTTATCGGAAACAGCAATTTTCCAAGCACCAATATCAGCATCAGCACTAGCTGCCCTGCGATGCCCATGTGATTTCTCCTCTGGTGTTCCAGACGAATTGCTTAATGAATCTTTATCACTTAATTGTATATTTTCAATGGGATTTCTGGCGCCAGAATCCGGCATTCCAGAAAGAAACAATGCAAGTTCATCCCGTTCTCCTTCATCGAGACCCATCCAAGGCAGAGAAGCCTTGCTACCCAAATGAACAGATTCTTGTAACAAGTGTTCAACTTTTGTAATCTTGTCAAGGATGGCATCAATAAAATCTTGGTGCCTATTTCTGGTATCCTCACTTGAAATTTTGCTATAACTTGACCTGACCGCACGTTCAAATTCATCTAACTGCATTATCACCAAAATGCCACCACATTCACGTTATGATCATACAAAAAGTTAAATCACATACCAAGAGAAATTACCTGCCATTTAGCAGTGCCAAGGGCAGTATGCAGATCTCGGCGAAGTTCATCACGGTTCCATGGGGTGGACGCATCTCTCGTTGCATGAATCCATGTTCTATACGCAGATTCCATCCTTCAAATCGCAATGATAGCAAATCAACAAGAAGAAACTCGGAGAATCAGAGGTTTTTTTATTTTTAAATTTTGCACATAAATGAGCTTGACAACCTTTACCCTTTTAATCTTTGAGTTTAATCGGAAATAAATAAATAAATAGAGATTAATTAATTATACAGGTGCGTGTGTTTTATCATTTGGAAAAAACAAATTAAAGATTAAAAGAGAAAAGGAAAACGGACGAAAAACAAAAACCTAATTGGAAGAATGGTTGTAGTATGTACCTGTCTGTAGATTCCTGAACTTCTTCGGCGGCGTTAAAGAAAGGATCTTTTTCCCATCGATCAAAACTCGACGCCATGAATATTCAAAATTGAATAATAATAATAATAATGATGATGACGACGACGACGAAGAGAAAGAGGAATCCGATTGATAAATATATAATTCGTGTTGGGTCCTAACAAAACTGTGGAAGGTGGCGAATTAAACGATGGATCGGAATGGTTGCAACGTAATTACGAATGTTCTTATTCTCTGTTTTACTCCCAAAATTATTTTTGGGAAATGCATTGCACTCAATCAAAGCTATGGCTCATGGATATAACGCACGCGCGATGATATCCGTATCAGCTGCTACGGCGTCGTTTCATGTAATTCTCCCTAACATTAGAAACAAAAAATGGAATGAAGATGCATCCCTTCGGTCAGGAGCCAGTTCGTTCGAAACTCAATTTTTTTCTAAATTAAGTTCATTGAGATATTTTATTTATTTTAAATTTATTGATTATATCATAAAACTATATTCAAAATAAAATAAATTTTCTCTAATATTTTATAAAATATTATAATTCTTTAATCAAAATTTTACTAAATTTAAAACTTGTAAAAATTTATATATTTCAAAATCATTATAAAAATTCAAATATTTTGACATTAAATGAAAATTTTGGAAAAAAAAAGGACAAAAATACTAAAAATTACTTTAATTAAAAATAAAGAGACTAAATTAACTAAAAAACTACAAAAAAAATTAAAAATAAAAGTACTAGTAAGACTTATATATATTTTTGTTAAATTTAATTATTCAAATTAATTCTTAAAATTAAAAGTTTACGTAAAGTTCTATTCGTTAATATTTATCGTTAAAATGTTTGAATGAATTTATTTATTTTTACTTTATTCTTGTAATCTTTAAATGATTTTGAACATGTTAGAAAATTGATCTTCGAATGGCTAGCGTTCCTTTTTTCAATGTTTTTGTAATAACAAATTATATGTATATTGTAATTCATAATTGTAATATAGGTTCATTATGAGACGTTCCATCTGTAATCTTAACATAGTTGCATGTAAATTAATCCTTTACCTTAAAAGTATGATGTTTATACACGTTACAAAATACACATAATATGTGACTCATTATTTGAAATTTTTTATAATGAAAAACATATTCAATCCATTATGTAATTGTTATTATCTTTTTTTACTATTTTTAATTATCATTTCCTTGTTTATGATATGTACAAAGTATTTAAAAATTAATTTAATTATAATATATTAATAGTATAAATTTTTATATTATTTAATTATATATTATTATATAAATGAAATTTTATATTTTTATGCAATTATAATCTTGTTCTCATAAATATAGAATTTTTTTAAAAATAGACAGAGATAAAGACACGGTTAAAAAGATAATGCCGTTACTTTATTAGTATAAATTACAATGTAAAAAATAGAAATGTGTACATCGCATATACATATTCAAGTTTATAAAAATTAAGATAAAACTAAGTAAAAACAACATAACAACAAACTAGTTAAATTAGTGAGGAAAAAAAATACTTCATCATTCTAATATATTCTTCAAAACAATTTAAAAATTAAGATCAAATTAGTGTTTTTCCCAGCAATTCTACTACCGTTCGTTAGCGGATAAATGTGGTGTTTGTTTTTTTAGGCTTGTTTTTTTTTTTTTTCATCTTTCTTTTGTAATAAAAAAAAATACACTTTTCACTTTCATATATAAAATTAAACATAATAAATCCTAATTTATCATAATTAATGTAATGTTTCTCTTATCTAATTTTAAAGTTAACTTTAATGTAATTTACTAGTAACTCATTTGACTGATGTTAGAGATAATATTGTCATATAATAAACAAAATTGATCTAATTATTTGATTGCTTTTACAAAAAAAAAATTGAAGAAAAAAGAGAAAAGTATTAAAAAAGAATAATGTTGAAAGCGTTCTATTGATTATTCTTGATTTAATTTTCAAAGTTTTATCATTATTTTCATGTCATTGAAATTCTTATCTCAGTTGTAAACATTTTAAAATATACAACATGTTAAAATTAACTCTAGAATTAGATAGAAAAGAGAATTGCAACAATTGTGATAAAATTGGAGTGACAAAGTGATTTTTACTCAAATAAATAATAAAGAAAAAGAGATGAAAATTTAAAAATTAATGCCAAGAGGTTTTAGAGCGCAAGGCGAGGGTTTGGGTGGCGCAAAGATGAAGGAAGCAGAAGAGCAACTATGCGAGGCCGCCAGAAACGGTGACACGGAGCAGGTGAAAGCTCTCATAGATTCCGGCGCCGACGTCACTCATTTCGACGGCGAAGGCCTCAATCCTCTGATGCACGCTGCAAAGCACGGCCATGCACCCGTCCTCAACGTTCTCCTATCCGCCGGCGCTCCCTGGAACGCTCTTTCTCCCTCCAACCTCTCCGCGGGTGACTACGCCATGCAAGAAGGTCACCAAGAAGCCGTCGAACTTCTCCTTAATTCCGGTACGCATCTGCAACATTTCATCTTTTTTACCGAATTTTTAAGCATTAGGATCTGATTTTGATTTATCAGGGATTCAGGCTGAGCTGATTTTGGGAACAATTGCGAGAAAAGAAAATAAGAATGTTAATTCGGGTCATGATTATTTGGAAGATAGGGTTAGTTTTAGTGAAGATAAGCTTATGGACTCTGATAGCAAAGCTGTGATGATGGCGTGGGAGAAGCCATTGATGGAGGCACACGCTAAAGCTGTTTGTTCTGGAGGTGGTCACGTACTGAATATTGGGTTTGGAATGGGTCTTGTTGATACAGCAATTCAGCAGTATTCACCTGCGTCTCACACCATTGTTGAGGCTCATCCAGATGTCTATCAACGCATGCTTCGCTCTGGTTGGGATCAGAAGGAAAATGTGAAGATAGTTTTTGGCCGCTGGCAAGATGTTCTGTCTCAGCTTGAAACATATGATGGTAATTAGTTTACTAGTTCTTATGTTATGAGCATAAACACTTATAACGATGCTTTTAAAATTAGACGGGTGAAGGAAAAATAGCAAAAAAAAACTTTTTTTTCCCCGAAAAAACCAGTTCAGACTAGTTTGCTCGACTTTGGTTCATATTTGATTTTGATCAATTCTTTACTGATTTTTAATTTGATCAGTTTTCTTAGTTGTTTGAAGCAGTGACTTGATTGGTTCCTGGTTCAATTGGTCGAATGAACCGGTTTGGTCTAATTTTTAAAACGATGACTGATACCTAGTTGCAGCATTATGATTGATTGGATCGTATTTTTGTTTGATGTATAAAAATGGATTGTCTTATGTGAAAAACATAGGAAAGTTATTTTGCTTTATTTATTATTTGCTTGTTTTTATTTGATGCCTGGCGAATTGTATATGGATTATGTATTCTTCAGTTTTTGATACTGGTCATTGGCCTGAATTATGTTCAGGAATATTCTTCGACACTTATGGGGAGTACTATGAAGATTTGAGGGAGTTTCACCAGCATCTTCCGGCTCTGTTGAAGCCCGGTGGTATCTACTCGTACTTCAATGGCCTTTGCGGCAGTAATGCGTTTTTTCATGTTGTTTACTGTCACTTGGTGTCTCTTGAGCTTGAGAATTTGGGGTATTCCACACAATTAATTCCATTGCCTGTTAAGGATTGTTTGGGAGAACAAGTTTGGGAAGATGTGAAACACAGATATTGGCAGCTTGATACTTACTACCTTCCTGTCTGTCAGTCTGCAGAGGAGGACTCGCAGTGATGTGTAGCTTTTTTTGTATGGTTTGAGTTTAATCATATCGTCAAAATGATTCTAACACACGATGTGTTACTGCTTGTGTAACGTTCTAAATGGTATTATAAGAATACAGCTAGTGTGATATTGAAATCTTGATTTTTATTTGGAAATTTCATGACATTGGATGAATTTAGAAGTCTTTGGCTGTAACCAACATGGTTCAAGAAAATGCATTATTTTAAATATCGAAAGATTTCATTTTAAAATACTAACGTCATTATCCTCTTAAATCATTTAACCAAATGAATTGTTACTGGACGTGTTTCTGATTAAAATGGATTAGAAAAAGTCAATTGTAGCCACACCATGTCTAGCGTTCTACAAAATGTGTGATAGAGTAGTTGTTAGATACGTTATGCCCCATTTCATTTACTTGATGATTTTTTAACCTATATATCGATCATGTCATATTGATACTGAAATTAAACTTTCAAGCAAATCGTTAGAAAATTCTTGATTAGATAACCTGTGGATAGACGATGACGAAAGAGCTGAGTCTTGGCACGTCACTTTTCACCAGAAGGGAAAAAAAATAGTACTGTTGGTAAAATGCCTTTCGCATGTATGCGATGGATCAATCATTTGTTAGATGTACCTTCCACGCACTCCAACGAACGCAATGTTTGGTAAATATGAACTACCGTTCAATGCTATTATTCATTTATTCAGATACGCCATTACTCTGTTTCTTACCTTTACAATTTTTCTTTAGTGATTTTCAAATGAAAACAGAAGACACATTGCCGGCTCTATCAGGCTTCTTTGCTGGACCAAAAGCAAAGCAAAGATATACAGTTATTCTCGCACTCGACCATGTTTGAAACAGGCAATTCAGAGTTGGGGCCTTCTAATGTCAGAGTCAATTCCAGCTAAAAGTAATGGGACTAGTAACCTTATGTTTCCCATCCGACCATTCCAGATAAGCAAAGCTGGTTGTTTCAGAAGACTTTGAAGAAGGTGTGAACGTAACCGTGTAGCTCTTCTTCTCGTTTAGTTCCCTGAAGCTAAGCGTTCGTGGTTCGACCACAGTCTTGACGAAGGGAGACTGCAAAACTGAAACTTTATATGTTCCTGGAGTACCGACATTAGTTAAAACCCTTTTATACTGGACAGTGGCTGGTTTGTCAAAAGGAACAGCAAAAGATGGGTAGTTGAGATCTTCCACTCTGTATTTCTTCCCTTTGCTGCAGGAAAAATCTCTTCTTGCTACAAGCTTTATTTGAAATGAAGTGTAGTTCAAGGCACAGAAGAAACTCAAGTAGTCATCCACAGTACAATCATACACAAGACCAGGATCAAGAGCAGCTACTGGATCAACATGCCCAGCACCATAATCAAATGGGGTAGCTGGCAGGCCAGTGGCAACATCTTTTATTGTTTGGCCATTTTTGTAGGTTCTGTAGGCTGTGGTCATGAGAGCAGACCTTATAGCTGCAGGGCTCCATTCTGGGTGATTTCCCTTAAGAAGGGCAGCTAACCCACTGACATGGGGGCAGGACATGGATGTTCCTGAGATGATGTTGAAGCTCACATGCCTAGTGTCAACGGTTAAGCCAGTAGGTCCAACTGCACCAGTCCACCCAGCTAGGATGTTCACTCCTGGAGCTATCAGGTCTGGTTTGAGTAATTGTGGTGTGACCAAATTTGGTCCTCTGGAGCTGAAAGCTGCCACCACTGGGGATGGTTGAACTCCTATCTGGGTGCCACCAAATGCAATTTTAGCCGTGGGTTTGGGAGCTGAGAAAACGTACTTCTTTATCTCATCGCTGAATTTTGAACCCAAAGCTGCTGCAGGGAGGAGATAGGAGTCAGCAACTAGCTCTTCCCCGTACTCTTCATTGTTTGCCAATATCATCCCAATGCCTCCAGCATTCTTCACCACCAAACTCTTTTCCACCCTTGGATTTCCTCCTCGATCGCATATGACGATTTTTCCCGAGACTTTCTTAGGAATCAAGCTACCAGTGTAGCACAGATTTCCTTCGCTTTGACTCGTCGTATTACCAGCATAAACAATTGGCAGTGGAGAATTAGGTGGCAGTTTGCCATTGTAAAGGGACACTCCAGTGTATCTATTCCCATTTCCAAGGGTGATATAGGCAGGGAAGTCACGGTCTATAGTTCCAGCACCCACAGTGATTGCCCAAGGAGCCACATTAGACAAAGTTAATTCACTAGGCCCACTATTTCCTGCTGAATTAGAAACTAGTATTCCATGAGCTGTGGCTGCAAAAGTTCCGATTGCAACAACGTCTTTGTAATAATCCGCCAAACCTCCCCCTATAGACATGGAAAGGATGTTGACACCATCTTGAATGGCCTTGTCAATTCCAGCAATTATGTCTGATGAATAGCACCCACCAAGCCAACACACTTTGTAAGCGGCAACTCGGGCTTGTGTGGCCATTCCTCTCGCTGTCCCATTAGCAAAACCAAAAAGGCTTGCTCCTGCAACTGCAGAACCTGCTGCTGTAGTTGAAGTGTGACTTCCGTGGCCACTATCATCCCTTGGTGACTTTGATTCTATCTTTTCATCAATGGGTCCAACAGCTTCCTCATAGCCTTTGGAGAAAAACCTTGCACCAACAAGTTTCCTGTTACAGTTTGATGGGTTGAAGTTTTTACCCTTCTCACACGAACCTTTCCAACTACTGGGTACTGGCCCAAGCCCCCTGTCATCGAAGCTTTTTAGCTCAGGCCATACGCCAGTGTCTAGCACTCCAACAATCACTTCGCTTTGTTTTCCATTGGCCTGTGAAAGAGTGATGGTTTTCTCCAATCCAAGGAACTGTGGTGTTCTAGTTGTGTGAAGCTCGTATCTAACTTCAGGGATAATGGAGAGAACCCCTGGATGTTTTGCTAGTAAGTCTGCTTCTTGGGTAGTTAACCTTGTGGAGAAACCATGAGCTACGTGTTTGTATGTGTAGAGCATCTCTGCAATATTTGACACTGATTTTAGTGATGAATCATACCACAGAAGATGGTCGTTGAAACTTGCTGGCATGTTGAACTTGTCCATGTGAATTATGTATGTCTTTTTCGAGTTTTCTGCTATGATATGTCTGCCAGAGAAAACTAGCAGCAAAGCAATCTCAAGACACTTGATAATCAGCACATTCATCTTGTTAATGTGCTCTCTCTTCACCATTAGAGTTTTAGCACAATTTAGTCTCAGGCCTTTTCTGAATTTGCTCCAGAAATGCAGTGATAGTTGGTATTTATTATTGATATGAACTATTGAGGCTGCGGGGATAGGTCATAGAGTTGGTATCGTCACTGCATTAATCCCGTTCATTCATTTTCATTACGTAATAAAATAATATTATTTTAAAATAAAATTTGATGAACTTTTAGAGTTTTTCTTAAAAGATAATATTAGTAAAACTTAATTAAGTGTTTGATTTTTTTATTTCTACATATTATACCATTTGAATTTACTCTATAAATTTTTTTATTAGGATATACTTTCTACTTTTTTCCATACTATTGGTTTTAGTCATTTTAATTGACTTAGTTCAAATATTGTCAAGTGTTAGCTTTTATTTAGATCACATCACTAAAAATAATAATTTGTGAAAAATTAGATATTAAATTATAATAAAAAATTACATTAACTAAATTTAAGTTGTGCAACTTTTGTAAAGACTAAAAAATTGATTAAACTTAACAATAATAATAATTGGATGCAAGATAGTGTTGCCCATAAAACACTAAAATAAATATTAGAGGAATGTTAGGAATATATATTTTTAATTTATTCTTTTTAACATATTTTTACTCTGACACTCCACTCTAAACTTTTATCGTCATTGAGAAGTGCTTCCACTAGAGTAGATAAAATGAATATTTTTCTTTATTTATTTTTTAGGATTGTGAATGATTTACGTTTAGTTTCCTTTATTTTGATCATTATGACTGTATGTATAAGAGGTAATTTGTCATCTTTTGTTATCCAAATACTTGCAATATAATTTTTTTAAACTCCAATTTATTTAAAATTAGAGGTAATTTGAGTATGAAAGTTAAAAGCATCAATCTGTTACTTATACTTTCAATTAATAAATTTAATGAACTTAGATGGTCTTATTTAATTGTTATTGTATATGATTATTAAGATAGCACTTTAATAATAAAAACTTAGATTTAATTCTATATAACATGTGATTTATCTATTTTTTATTCACTTATCAAATTAAATACTCTCATCAATTACATCCCTTAACATTCAAAGAATGTGTGAAAAAAAATGGTTTATGTTCATCTACTTCAACGGATAAGTAATAACTATGCTTTAACTATTAGTGTGAAAATAGAATCTTGAACTGTAGGTGGGAGATACTTAACATATCTTCTGCAAATTTAGTGAGCTTGAGTTGGAAACCACATAATAGCTATCTTAAAAGATACCATAAATATATGCAGTGGTTGACCATATCTCTTTTACCATATGTATCATACTTAAATAGAATTCCTTTTGTTCCACTTATATACTTTTACATATCATCACGTTCTTTGAAAATGTTTATATGTACTTTACAAAGAAAAAGAAAGTGGGAGACAGTCAAGCATAGACGGTCAATTTTATAGCTTGCTGTACATGTACTATCTCAACTATAAGTGCAACTAGCAAGTAAACAAACTAAAATATTAAAAATATATTTAGTGTATATATATATATATTGAAATATTTATTTAATAAACTCTTTTTGAAGTAATGACTTGTCATAAATTTAATGATATAATTTTTTGACAAGTTAAAATAGTTTATTTTGATAATTTATACCCAAAAATGTAATGAAATAAACTGAAAATAATTTATAAAAGTTATAAATTATGCATAGGTTTTATAATTTCATAAATTTTAATTTATTTTAATATATTTTATGATTAAATTTATGATATAAATACTTATAAAATAAAAAAATTTATTAAATAAATATAGTATTAAACTATTTATCAAATTATATTTTAATTATTATAAAAAATATTCTTTAGTAAATACATAAGGGTGTATTAAATTCAAAAATAACCTCAACATATTTGAAGTGACATATAATTAAAATATTGTCATTACATTATTTTAAAACACTCTTTTAAAGTTCAAGGTGAGCCCTCTCATTTCTGATAACAAAGGCTATTAGATAAAAAAGTAAATCAACTTTTTAGTTTGATTTTATCTTTAAAATTAGTATTTTTAATTTTTAAATATTAATTAAAAAAAATTGTTGACTGTATTTAATTTTTTTAATTATTATTATCATTTTTTATTTGATTGATATAGTAATATAGTTAAAAAATTAAAGAAAAAATATTAATTTATCAATATATATATCATTTAATTTACTTGACATTTAAAAGTAATTTTTAAAAAGAAATTAGTTGAAATACATGAACGTAAATTTTGTATTATCATATAATTATTAATTTTTATATATTAAAATTTATTAATTGTTATAATAATTATTTTTAAAATTATATTTAAAATAATTTTTATTTGATTGACAATTTATATTAAAAATATATTAAAACTAAAATATTTAAAAAGGAAAATATATGAAGGTTAATGATATTTTCTTAAAATGTTATTTTCAGTTCTAAGAATTAATAGTAAATAATTAAAAAATAATAACTTGGTATTAAAAATTGTTTGATAAAATAATGTTATTAATTAAATAAAGCACTTTTTTACACTCATTTTATAATTGGTTCGTAGTGGCCCATTCGACATAACTTCAATTTAAGTACTAAGAATACATTAAATTAAACATGTCGACCATAGGATTCTTCCTTGTATAGGCGCACTACCCAATCAACGAGAAACTAAATGGCAATTATTATTTTGCTTTTTTGACAATCAAGGATGCGCATGTGGAAAATGGTAAAGGATAAATAAGAAGATAAGATAACATTATTTTGTCTTTACACATATAATATTAAACTAGAATTCTTATTCTTTAAAACTAAAAATCGTAGATAGTTACACTTTTTTTTCATTTTTATAATATATATTTGTTGAATTTTTATATTAAATTAGATTAATAGTTATTCTCTTTAATTAATTATCTTACATCAGAAGTATTTTAGTTTTTTTATTTTAAATTAATATTTTTATCATCATTAAGTATTACAAAATATTTATAAATTATTATCAAAATAATATTTAATCAATTAAATTACTTTAAAAAATTAAATGTTTATATCTTATGCTTTACTTTATGCTTTTAATATCTATAAAATATTTTTTTTATTAATTAAACAACCAACTTTTCCATATTTTAAATTTTATATTTTATTGAATTTATAAATACCCATACAATCTATGAAATTTCATATATTTGATTTCTACCGAACCCACTGAGATATTGCTTGTTATAGTCCACTAAAATATATAGTGGAATAAACCACTCATCAATGCTAGTTATTACAGTTCAAATTTCTGATATTTCACCATCGTCAAAGAATTGTGCAGTATTTTAGAAAGATAGAGTGTGCATTATTGTGGCAATTGCCTTGAATGGACCTACCACTCATCAATGCTAAACATATCTGCTAAACCAAGTATTTATTATATTTTTAATTAATAAGTTTATATACAGAATAGAGAAATGGTCGAATTCATCATCAATTACCATCTATACATCTAATAATATGCATTATTGTAACTAATCATACAAACATCTAACAATGAGGAGAAATAGAAATTTATTAGTGCAGGATTCGAACAAATTTCTCCCTTCGTGATGCACCAGATCTTTCATTTCTTTCTCTCGTCTCATGCATGCAGACCTCATAGAAAATGAAAACATTGTTTGTCACTTTTACCCTTTTTTTTTTTCTTCCTTACAATATAAACTTTTACTTATATTCATCTATTTCATTTTACTTAATATATATTTACTCTTCCACTTATCTAAACAAGTAAGAAAAAATGATTCCTTTCTTTCTCATTTATTTTATCAATCAAACAATACATTATTTCCACTTATTTCATCTGCATTTTCCGTTCCCTCTGACTTTTTTGTTCTCTCTTACATCTTTCCTCCACTTGGTTTTAGAGTCAATCCAATGCTTACTAGGATGTTTTCTAGATTTTTCACTATTTGTATGTACCTAAGCCTAAGTAGGGTGTAACCAAAAGCAAAAAACTAGGGCCTTAACAGAACTCTCGTGTCATACCCGCGTATGGAAAGTGCCAATTGTCTTGCAAGACTATTCAATATATGTTCGGAGACATCCAAAACGAATGCGGGACAAGCATTTTTTTTGTTCTGAATCAAGTCGTGTAACAATTGAACGTTGCTGAGCTTGCAATCAGGCCCGCTTTACCGCAAGAAAGTTGAGAAAGTGAGATAATCCATATATCTAGACAAAGCACAATAAAGTTTAAGGGGCCTAAGCTGTACCATCTTAGTAAACAACAAATTCATTCAATTCCCACATGCTGTAGATTTTGGAAGTAAGCATAATCACCAAATGAAGTAAATAGACAAAATGAAATAATAAGCCACCAAGGAGGAAAGATAAGAATCATTTACAATATATACACTGTCATCCTTTGTATGGTTTCGACCTAATGGAATCTGATGTTTGCTTTGTGGTCTCTAAGTTACAGCGGCCCATATATGAAGAAAATGACTTTTAAGTCTCGGCCAAATTACATGCATTTCAATATCAAACCACAAATTTATTACTTCATGGATTAGCTTTTTTGCGGCAGAAATAATAAGTCACTGACTGACTTTTACATTTTTACAGGTAATTAATAAATATATAATATATACACACACCTATATTCACTGTGACTAAAGATATCAGAATCTACGTTATTAATACACAATTTTTAAGATCTGAAATTATATGGTATGGTAGCCGTTAAGTTGCATTCTCATACCGGAAAAAAGACAAAAGGATTAGGAAAATCAATTGTAGAATTCATTTTTTGTTGACTTGTTACGTTCCTTCTGACTAGAATGACAACCAACAAAACTTAAAAGCACATATGAATCATAATTATAACATATCAACTAAACACATGCAATTGGAAAAGCATTTGCAATTTTGCAAATGAGTAGACGCGCATGCCAAATATCTTATCGTTAAGTTGTTTGTTGCTTTGTGTTTTCTGATGCGTTCAAACGATACAACCTCAAGAATCTAAGTAAACATTATTGCGAACCCAAAGGTTACAAGGACAGTTAAAATTTGTATATAATAACTCATAATTTATACTTTTTTTATTATAACACATTAAAACAATAACAACAGAAACTTAAGAGACATTAAAAAGATTAAATCACACACACAAATGTAAAGCATCTTAATAATTCTCGCTCACGACGGTGTCATAACTATCGAGTTATTGGTTGCAGCTCCTACATTTTAACGCACTAACAATAAATAAATAATGATGATTCACTATTTATGAAGTTTACTCTCTATTTTTTCATGATTCACAATATCTTGTGATCATATTAAATAGAGAGGATATATAGGCCTAGAGTAGTGATATTGATACGAATTTTTTGTTACAAAAAATTACGAATTTAAAAGAAAAATGGAGTTCAAGCATAAAAATAAATTAACTAATAACTGAAAACATATAAGAGACTTTGTGTTTTTAACACACTGCTCAACATTATCAACTTACCAACACATTTTGACATTGCCAATAGGCAATAGAATGCCACGCAATAAATCATCGGTCACAGTTGCAAACAGAATATACGCTTTGTCTTCGAATTGCGCCTCCCAACATTTACTTCACGTGAATCGATTGCCATCGACCCACAAGTCCCATTGTCGAACATGAGTATCATGAACACATATGCAATTAGAAGGTTCCTTCATGACGGAAAAAAAAAACTGTTCTTTCCTTCTATATATAGTAGAATATATCCTTGTTGACCCAAAAAAAAAAAAATTCTTTTGCCTTGTATTTTACTTGTGTGAGCAACAGGATGACAATAAATAGGATAAAATTTATAGTGAATTTGTTTGTAAAATACAAAAGAGATCATCTATCAGTAATTGAATTTATTTTCTCAATTCAAGAGAGAAATTTCTTTTTCTATCGCATTTTTTTACTAATCACAACACCCTTTTATTGTCACTTCCAAAATTTAACTTTTGAAATATATTAAATACAAAAGTTACATTTTAAAAGTGACAAAAAAAAGTATTATAGCTATCAAAAAAAGGGTGATAAAAAGAATCACCGTTCAAGAGGAGGCATTTGACAAGTTTGACTCTTCAAATGTACAGATCACAAATCACTCCCATTCAGAAATAAATCAAGTCCACTTTCGCAGTTTATAGTAGGAATGGTAGATACATACATTTACATGTCATTTTATATCTACACAATTTTGAAGTAAGTCCAACCTCTGCAAGTACACAATAATTCTGCTACCTATCCCTAAGGGCAGCGATGTGAACGATGACTGCTATAAAACAAGTATTTTCCGTCCGGTTGTGTCCTTCTAGGAGAAACTCCCATGTTTGATAAACCTTAAATGAGAAAAAATATATAATTGCAGGTCTCCTTCCATTGAACGTGTAGGGGGTCTTTTTCAAACTACTGTTGATATACATCCCGTTATCTACAGAAATTTGATCTGTACAATTAGAAGTTCAAGTGAATGCAGTGCATCATCGGTGCTAAATATTTGGACATTGAAATAGTACAACCCTATCTACAGTTTGATAGCTCTGTCAGTTAAACAGTTAACTTTAAGTGAGGTGGAGCCATATGTGCAGTGATTTTAAAGGAACAAGTCCTTGCCAAGAACCCTCAATCTTGTCCGGTGTGGAGTTTCAGTTTAAGTTCACTATTTCCAAATTACCCTATAGTGATTTGAATATAAAAAGAAGAATCTAGAGGCTGGACAAAAAATGGGCAATTCAGCTTTTGAGAAGGTGACTTGAATATAAGAGCAAACCCAACTACCGGTAAAATATCCAGGTTATATTAGTGTGGTGATATTAACAAATCTCAAGTCAATTCAGCAGATGACCAACTTGGACCTACTTATGTCAGTTGGTAAGCAAAAGATCATGATAAGCAAAGTGATGAAATCAGAAGCCCAACATCACCTAGGTATTTCATTTTTACCTTATTCAGTTGAGGTGTAAGAATGAATCCTCTCATATAATCGATAAATGAGTGATGATTTGGACATCTGAGGTTCCCTCTCCAAGACCGCAATCACGTCCTTCACAGAGATGCTTCGAGCTACACTAGATTGAGGTGCGGTGACATGATTTCTCCCAAATTTTCTAGCAGCCCCTGTTGGCATATAACATCAACAGGTAGAATGTCAACTAAAAAGTTGCACAGTTTAATCAGACAGTAGGTATGTACAAGCCAAACATTATTTGCTACCCGGTGAAGGTGGAGGTATACTGTTTTATTGAAGTTGAACTACGAATTTTACAACACTATTTTATGCATATCTGGATTAGCAGAATCAGTTTATCAACTAACTTAAAGTAGACAATAACAAAAATTAGGAACTTGGGGGAAAACATGCAACATTGTTTGTTCTCACTTGTCTAATTAAAAGAAGTTGGGAAGAGGGGGATATTCTACATTTAGTTAATTATGTTTACCAAAACATTTCCAACCAAAACAACGATATTGGCCAAGGCTTAGTTCTTCCCTTCTATGTGATATATCCTTGCAGTCCACCTATCTTCTTCTTCTATGTGAAAACTTTCCTCCCCTCTTGCTACCGAGTTACTTACTCAGTTGAAATGATACGTAAAAAACAGAGAAGAAACCCACCAGAAGTTGCAAGAGAAGTTGGACCTTTTTTCTCCTTTGCATGATTGTCTTTTGTACTCCTTCCTGATGTTGATGAAGATTTGCGACTCACATCTTTAGCTGGCTGAGAACCAGATGAAGTATCAATACCCCCTTCACGTTTCTGTCTGGCTTGCTCAGCCATAAGCTGCCACTTGGACAGCATGTCATCTCCCCCAACAGCAGCTCGGGCAGCAACATTTGCCGCATTTGTCCTCATCTTGTCATCCACTTCTTTGTTCACCTGCAGAATATGACCGGTCAAGGATAAGATTTCCCAGGTAGATACAGGTGAAATGTACTATCTAAGAAGATATAACACCTTTACCAAACACAAAAAAAGGATAGTACCTTTGTTGATTTAGTTCGTCCCTCATCCTTCTCTTTGTCACCATCAATTCCAGTATTACCTTCTACCTATACTTAAGAATAGCATTACAAGGTTTTAACTGATAAACACATAGGTCAGAGAAGTAATCATAAAAAAGTATATCCATGCAGGGACAAGGCTTATATTGTGTCAGAAAACTCAACACAGGATTCCAAGAAGTAGAACTCACATCATTCAGTTTCCGGAGCTTCTCAGTTTCTGCCTGTTTTTTCTCCCACTCTTCCCTTGCTTTCCTATTCATTGTCATGATTTGCTGTCGAACATCTGAGGTGACAACAGTCTGATGTCTTGTCTTCTCAAAATCAACCCGCTGGTAACGAAATTATTTAAAATAAGAAATTTTATACATAGATGAAAAAGACTATTTATACAAGCAGTTTAGAGAAAATAACTGACCTGTTTTGACATCCTAATCATGTTACTTATTATTCCACGCATTCTTTCCTCCACACACTGAACATTTACTTTAAGACATAAGATAACATACAATCGTACTGCAATAAAAATTGAATAATTGTTTGAATCTCACCAGTGACAAGCATCTCTCCAAATCATTACCCATACCCTTCAAGCCACATTCAGTTACTGCCACAGGTAACAACATAAAAAAGCCATGAGACTTTGTAGGACTAGTACATAGCCACATAATTATGAAGTATGGAAATAATAAAATGGCATAAATAGGACTAACTAATCTCAATCATTTTTCTCTGCAATGGAGCCTTCTGCAAAATCAGAGTTTCCTCTTCTTCTTGCACAACTCTTCGAGATGCTTCTGAAGCTCGACTGTCCTCCTTGGGCCCAGAAAATAATTGTTCTTCCTCCTCCTTTAAAAGAGAGAAACATAGAAAAGGAATCAGGTTTTAAATGAACAAGTACACATTTCCAACCTATATGATTAGTTCAACCTGATAAAGTATCATACCCTAAGATCAACTCCACTAACAGCAGTAACATCATTAAGTTGTTCAATGCTTTGCTCCAAAGATGCCCCAGACACTTTTTGTTTCTTACTGTAGGATAACAAGCAGATATGCACATATCAAAATCAGTGAGAACCCAGAAACAAGTGAATCATGAAACATAACAATACTACATATCACCTTGGAGGTGGAGGTGAAGAACCAAGTGCATCAAGTGGTTTCTTCTGGCCTGGAGAAGGCTTTTTCAGAGGTGTTCTTGCATTTATGCCAGAAGTGTTTGATGGAATCTGAGAGCTTAACTGACAAATACAAAAGGGTGCAAGAAAATTAGGTATCCCCAAGTATGAAGATATTATTAGAAACACAAGGCATGTTCTGTGTACAGACAGAACGATATCTTGGTGTTTAAGGGGGAAAAAATAACAAAAAAAATTAAATCAACATTTCATAATAGCAGAGTGCTTTGCAAACTGGAAGCCCAAGGATATAAAAAGGGAAACTAAACACATAATTGTACCCTTGTTACTCTTCATTGAACTTGCAAAATCTTAGATGTAAAAGGTACTGCATCAATTGGCAGTAGAAAACAAAGGTGGATCAAAGGTTAATATTTAATAGTATGCATCTCAAGGCAAGAGCAATTTTGCAAGCAATAATAATTTAGTTACAAAAGGTAAAATCTCAGAGCCAGCGCAATTGGTTGATGGGTTCTAGGGAGAATTCCAACAAAGAACATGAATTTTTAATGCTGCCTGCCAAGTAAAGGAGACATGGACATTATAATCAGCTAATATTACCTAAGAAATGCAAACGCAACCCTCATTATAGACCACACACCTATTAGTGCAAAATTAATACAGTATCACTAGAATAGATCTAATAAAGTTAACTGAAGTAACAATTTACTGATCCTAATACTCCTAAAAATTATGAACTACTAAGATAGGACTCTAAATATCACTCTTCATTACTGACAATAAGGAAAAATCATACTTATTCTGATTATTAGTTTTGATAACTTGGTTCTTTTTGTTTTTTGATAAAAAGAAGGAAGTTAGAGACAGAAAGAAAAGAAGCAAAGAGAAACAGAATAAGGAACCCTCCTAAACAAAAGAACAAAATAAAAAATCAATGTAACAAAGCTTCCCAATCCATCAAATATGCTGTAATAACTCTACCAAAACAAAAAGAAAAGAAGGGAATATATTGATTACTTTGATAATAAAGGTCAAATATCACAAAATGTTTCACAGAATTATAGTCTTAGAAAAAGGATTTTTCTATTAACAATATAAGTGACACTATTTCCTGAATACAAATCACTGAAAAACCAGTGTTCTGTATATTTTACAGTGAAGATGCATTCAATATATTATAGTCTAATATAGGATGCATCATGTGCATGAAAATAAAAACAACTTTGGACACTATTTGGCCCCCAATATATGTTCATTATATCTTAGACAAAAACAAGCATATTAGCTTCCAACTTACAGTGACACCCGGGTCAAGTTGAGATACAGAAGGGGAAGCAGAATTGAGCGGCAGCAAGCTAGCAGATGTTGAATGTGGCATATTTGTGGATGCTGGAAGGCCTCTTGAAAAATCCTCCTTTAGGGTGCCTTGATTGGCACTACTACCCTGTTCAATTTGTGCAGAATTAACAGAATGCAACCCATGCAATTTAGACAAATTATGCCTATGTTGATGCTCAGTAGAAAAAAGGTCATTAGGTTCCTTTTTAACATATGAAACTGATGAAAATGAGCCTGAATTTTGTTCTTTGTGTGCTGATGGTTGCCAAGAATTTGAAGGTTGCTGTGACACACTATTGCTTACCACAGGTGACACAGATCCACCTGGCATTCTCTTCGGATCATTGAAAGAATTTTGCTGTTCAAGTTTTACCATACCAATCAAACCCTGAGTTGCCCCACCTAATTGATTTGGACCAATGCTCTGATGTGGAATTTGCCTCATTTGTGAATCATGAGGTTGTGGTCTGAGAGAAGATGTGGAATTACTGGCTGAGCCTGAAAAAGGTTTGTAATTACTGCCACTACTACCATATGCTGAAGGGAAATGTAGATGCTGTTGCTGCTGCTTGTTAAGGCCTTGTATGTGAAGTGAGGATCTTTCAGTTTCTTGACCAACAGCATTAGAACTGGATGGTGGTAATTGGTTTGGTTGCACTCCTTGAGGTTCTACTTGAGATTCATTCTTCGCTTGGACAGTTGTAGAAGTATTATGAGATTGGTCTGCAGCAGCAGCAGCATTAGTACTTCTCTGATGCAGCTGTGCTAATGCATGGGGATCATTAAATTTTGGTGCACCTGAATTAACATTTGGCATCCTTACAGGATGCTGCTGCCCAGTAGGCCCTGAGTTTGATCTTGGCTACAACAGTATAAAAGGATGATTCTTAGGTTAACACAATGTTAATATTTAACTGAAATAAGAAAAAGCCATATCTAACACTACACAAACCATCTTCTCTACCCACCTGTAATTGCACTTGCGATAATGCCAATCTAAGCATCTGATCCCCTACAATACCTTTCATAAGGCGCACAAAATGATCTTTGGGTATTTCATCTTTCTGGAACAAATAGAAACGAAATTGACAAAACAAAAAGTTAGTAATATGGCGAAGCCTTACAAATTTAACACGAAGGAGGGAAAGGACATGGTAGTGAAATTGGTTTGATAAACCCACCTTCAATTTATTAAATAAAGTTTGAAGTTGCATGGCCCTGTCTTTGGCAAGCTGGGGAATCAATATAGGGAGCAACAGGCCAAATGGTACCTGTTTATTCCGATTGATCTGGCTGCTAGGCTGCTCATTCACTGTGGCCTGTTGATTACTCATCTGCTGCAGTTTTGCATACTGCGATTCATGGTTGGGATTATGCGTGTTAACTGCCTCTTGGTTAAAGACAGGATCTTTTTCAGAGTTCTGAACTCCAATTGTTCGTGAATTTTGGTTAGAAACTTGTACATTATGACCTTGGAGAGATTCATCTTGAGATTGTTTCTGAGATGAAGGGAGATTATTTGCATCCTGCGAAGCAACATTCTGTAGCTGTTCCACAAGAGGTCCTTGTTCCTTTAGCTCCATTTCAGATGAATGTTGCTCTTGCTGCTGTGCACTTTTAGGTTCTTGATTTTGGCAGTCAGTTTGGTTGTCCTGGCTAGAAGTTGGCCACTTAGGTAATGACTGACTCAATGAATTATTGCTTCCTTCAGACAAAAATGAAGGAATCATAATACACAAAGCATGTGCAACAAAGAATTTACCAAGCAAATACAATAATCACATGAATCAACAGTCAATATAATTTTCTTATGCTCCTAAGGTTCTGATTGTATTTTTAAACTGGACCCAATAATATCTCATTACTAATGAACAAGTTAATAGTTATTACTAATCAATTAGATACAAATTTTTCTTTTCAAATAGTAAATGAGAATTAGAAGGACAAATGTATTTGTTAAGATCCTATTGCAAGGTATGAGACTTAAGTCCTACATTGGATGAATGAAATCCTAGTGAGAGATTTATAAAGTTTTAGACTCTTCAACAACAACTAACTTTTGTGGTATGGTGCTCCAAGGTTCTTGTCACTTGTTATCAATGCTTACAACCATGTCTCTTAGTTGCAACCGAGTGACACAGGTGCTGACTTTGACATAACAGGTTTTTACCAAGATTCATCAAAGAACAAGTGCACACTGAAACTATGTGGGCATTGAGATTGTGAAGCATGGTGGGATGTTGGGATCTAATTCAAAGTATAAAATTTGAGTCTCACATTCAAAGTATGAGATCTTAATGTATGGCTCATAAAGTCTAGAGCTCTTCAACTACAACAGCTAGCTTTTGTGATGAGGTTTTCCATAGTTCTTTTTGGTAATAAACAATAGCATTAAGACTTCAAGAGATTGATTGTTAGCAAGAAAACTAATTAAATAACAAAAGATGATAATCAATCTGCTATCCACATCAATTTGCAAACAAAAGCAAAAACTGCATTTTCACAAGGCAGCTTGGAATGTTATCAGTAACAAGAGTAACATTTTTATGGTTCAAGTGGGGTTTTGGATGGACCATAGAGTTTTTGTCAACATTCTAGGGAAAAACGTTTCTTGGAATGCTATAATAACTGCCTTTGCACAAGGCAGCTTGCTAGAGAAGGCATGCTTACTTTCATTTGAGGAAAGGGTAAGTGAGATGAAAAAAGTGAAACCAAATGTTATCACTATGATTAGTTCTCATTCAGCTTCTGCCAAGAAGTTAGATTTGGAATTTTGAAGGTGGTTTGTTCATTATACATTGGAAGGGATGAAACTTGAGGCACAGTACATTAACTTGCCATCAACAGAACAAACAAAATACTCACATTGGTTTAAGAAATGGCAAATTTTAATAGCATAACAACAAAAAATCAAAGGGACCAGAATAAGAGAAAAAGAGAGAGATACCTTTAAAGGCATAAAAGGGCAACCTAATACCTGAGTCTAAGGAGAGTAAGATGTATGCAGCCTGACCCTACAAGCAGAAAGGTTGTTTCCAGTATTTGACCACATGACCTCATGCCCTCAAATACTGTTAAATGCATGAGCTCAGAAAATAAAGTAAATTGATGGATACCTGTGTCTGAACCAGAAAGCTGAGAAGTAGAAGCATCTCCTCCTATGTCTCTATTTAATGCAGCCTGGAATGCTTCCACATCGGCCCCTGAGTGCATAGTTTCATCCTGGGGACATCCAAACACAGTGATAGGATATGTTAAGCCCCAATTCAGTAACAGCAGATGCTTTTTGAAAAGAAAGTATAGAGAAGGGAAGAGAAAACCTCGTCATCTTCAAGAAGCTTCACTATAGATGGGTCCATAGCAATTTTACGCACAGCTGTCTTGGTTGTTCTTTTTAACCAATAGCACTTAAGAAATTTCCTTTACACAATGCTTAGTTAATACAGGAAGCAGCTGAACCTAAACAGTGTGATCAACATATGCATCAGGATATATGCATGTTGTTCATTGTTTTACTACAAAATTTAGAATCACACGATTTCAATTCATTTCACTGCAACATGCGGGGCTCTATATATTTATATTAGGGTGTTGAACAAGGCTGTCTTAGGTGTCTATGGCCTAGAACCAAGCCCAGCGAAACTTAAGCACGTTGTTTAGCTTAGAAGTGCCCATGGACCAATGGTTTAAAAAATGTAAGGAATACATGCAGGGAGAAAGAAAGAAACTAAATTGCTATCATCCATTAACAAGGTATTCTGCTTATGGCATAAAGTTTAATAAGATTATAAGACGATAACTTTAGCCATTCAATTTTTGGAACAACCTAGTCTGTGCTGACAGGAGACTTTAATCATATCTTATTAACGCTGCTTGTAGCCACATACCCAGCAATTTTCTTTACTAAAATAAATAAATAGGTAAAATAAACTTTACCAATAAAGAAAATGAAGAATGGCACTAAAAGAAGTCTCTAGTTATAAGGATGATAAACAGTGCATAATAGATATATAAAACTTGAAACAAACCAAATCTATCTAAGTAGTGAGGACTAGAGACACCTTCCAACCAGAAAGGTATCACTGAAGAGACTTGAGCTAGAACTAATCAAACATGTGGGGCATGCGAGCAAAATAAGAGAGACTAACCTTGGAAATTAGCTAATTGGGGACGAAAACAAGTATTCAAATTCAACTTATTGATTTCTGAAGAACAATTCAGGAAACAGTCACCGGCTTCTGACAAGAACACCGCGTGTGAGATGAATGGGTAGGTCCTTGCTAGTCGCTGCAAACTGATAGATTTCAAACCCCATAACTCTTGATCTGGCTCTCTATTCCCCATTTTTATATAAAATATAATAAAAAATATTATCAAGTATTAGGCCCATATTGCATGGACCAATGCCACCCAGTCCAGCAAAAAATTGGATTGGGCTTGTGGTTTGGGCATGGAGTTCGGAATTTTAGCTTCAATCTTGGAAAATGGGCCCTAGGTGTGATATAGCATTAAAAAATCTCTAACAAAAGGTTAAGAATTGGGATTTGTATTGTGTGGTGACCAAAAATAATAATAACAATTGAGATATTTAGAAGAATGATCATACTTAATCTCTAAAAAAAAAATTCAATCTCTTCTCCTATTTCCCATCCATAAACTACCAATAAAATGACAATCAAATACATGATAACATAATAGTCATTTAATTAATATTTTGTTCTGTTTTTAATATTTCACAATGAAATTATATTTTTTTAATATTTAATAAATTTAAATAATTTTTATTAAACATCACTCATGGAAAATTTGTTGTTGTCTTTTTTAAAATTATATAACTATCTATATAAAATTTTATATATAATCAATTATAATAAACTTTCTTTAAATATAATTTAAAGGTAATAATTATAAATTAATGAAAAATTTAATTATTAAATTATAAAAAACATTATAATTAATTTCAATAAATATTTATTAAATATAATTTATAATTAATATGTTATTTTTGTTTGTAACATGTACCAACATTTATTCTAATCATCCATATCACTAATCAATCAAATGAATTTAAATATTTTAAATCTTAATAATTATAATATTTGTTATAAATATGTACAGTAATAAATATGTAGAATGTAATCTTTTTTATACATCAAATAAGAAAAAACACAATAAGAAGTTTGAGTATTGACATGACAATTACTGTTTTTTATGCATCATTATCATTATTGTTCTGTATTACTTTTTTAACTGATAAATGGAGTCATTAGCATATTGGGCTGCAAAGATTTTGACGAATAAAAAAATATAAAAGAGGACGAAAGAAAGAAAGATCATATATTATTAATAAAGAAGATAAATAACAAATTGAAGTCAAATGTCATTCAAAACCTACATTGAGCCTTGGATTCAGGAAAATGTTAAAAAAAAAAAATTGAATACATTGACATTGGTTTCATGATATCTACGGGTTGTATTGATTTGTTTTTTAACACATTAAAATTGCATAATTAGATAAAAATTCATCCAATGGTTAAATATTTTTATGAATTAAATCTCATGTTTCTAAAATATTTTTTTTATACAGAATTTATATTGAGCTAGAAGAATTTTCAATCCTTTCTTAGTTTATAAAACAATATAACGCAACATACAACTGTTAATAAATGTTGATCTGGATCATTACAATCTAACTTAAGAGAGAATAGCTATTCTTGGCTTCTATTAATGCTTATTACAAAGCATAATGTCAAAAAAAGTTGGCTTTTTTTGTGACTTGAAAGACAATAAAAAATGGACTATGATGAACAGGTGTTTGTTGACATTAAACCGGGATATGCTAGAAGGGCAGCGTATATGTAATTTGCCAATTGCTTTATCTCCAGTGAGATTTCAGTTGTTGATTTAGAGTTTGCACAGTAGCTGGAGAGTAAAAATTATATAATAAAATTCATTAAATAAATATTTATCCAAACACATCCTGTGATAGGAGCAGCTTTAATTCTGTATCTTAATGGGTTTGGTACCTTGATTTCACTAAAATTGTAATGCGGCGTGTAGAACAACTTGTCTTCAGAATGTAACTTTATTTAGGATTAACAAAAAAAGTAAGATAGCAGAAATAAAGTTGCTCAAACACACAATATTCTTCCGACTAAGTTATACAACTCATGGCAATGGGACCTAGCCAGGCATCATTCGAGACGCCCCAAGAACCTTTCAATGTGAGGGAACATGCTTATGTTCGCAGACATTATCTAAATAAGAAACTCAAATTAGAAGATTCTTTTACTGTAATGACAAGAGTTTGGTTTTAACTGGTCATCAAGTTAATGATAAGTCTTTTAAGTGGTCCTCTTAACCAACAACCCCACTCACATACTTTCCCTCGTGATGTTATTCTCCTTTTCTTATGGAGTGCTCGACCTTTGAGTAAGTCACTTCAGTTTCCTTTAGAAATTATACTCATTCATATGCTTCCCATGTTTTGAACTTCTAAGCAAACAGTTGGGGAAATGGCAATGTAAATACCTTTTTTCAGTTACTATTGTTTTTATTATCTATGCTTCATGAACGCATTGACTAAACAGCATCGGAGATAACAGTACTTGATGTCACTTGGTCGAAACGACGGTTCCATAATTTGTCAGTTAATAACAAATTACTAAACAATTCTATCATTTGTAGATAATATCATATTGCATCTCTTGTTTTTAATTTATTATGTATATATTTAAAATATATATATTCCAAAATTAAAAAATATAACTTTATTTTGCATTGCTAAATATCCACGTAAAGAAAGCGTTTGTGTCAGTAGGAAAAGCATGGATGTGTCAGTTGGGCGCTCAAAGTGGCTTTAATCTTATGATATGTTGTCCTTGTCCAGCCTTGTAAAACCATTGGCATTTTCTTATATTTTACCCAAAAATAAAGGTGCTTTTGGGTTAAATTAGGTGAACTTCCGATTATACACTATCATCAAGCTAAGCGAATCATAACCAATGAGCCTTATTCGGATCTCTTCAATTCTGATGGAAATTTAACCTTTATCGTTTCATGTTTACTTAAGTGGTTTTTTTTTATTATAAATTATTTATTTACTTTGGTTATTGAAATATGCAATATTATTTAATCAAAATTAAGTAAATAAGTGATAATTTCTTATATTAAATAACCCGTAATAATCCAATTTTATATACAAAATAATCTTATTTTATAATATTTAAAAAAATAATCTTCTTCTAATTTTTAGAAATTCAAATAATTATGTTCTTACCTCGTCTTTTGCACCTTTTTTTTTTATAGTATTCTCTTTTTTTATTCTTTTATTTTGACCACTGTTGTAACGACGTTTATGGTGCAAATCTTTTTTCATTTTGAATTTTTCTGTCTAAACTGTTAGATTCAAGCCTTGCACCTAAAGATTTTGGCAAAACTTCAAAACAAATTTGATAAAAAAAGTAGACTTAGTAAGGACTGGAGACAATAAGGTATGAAAAGAGATGTGAAGTTAGGGTGTTTCAAAAGAGAGAAATATGAAATCGAGGGATGAGATTTGGATTGATAGATCTTCAACTTGTTAAGTTATATTTAAAAAATATATATGAAGTTTTGGGTCAGACAAAAATTGTCCACTATTATTATCTGTGTTACATAAACTATCACTGTATTATTTAGTTTTAATGTTTCTTAATGACAAAAACTAACACATTTGTTAATTTAAGAAACTAAAAATTTATATTTAGTCAAATTGCATATTTTAGATATTAAAGTGAAATTTTATTATTTTTTTAAGATAAAAAAAGTTTCTCATAGCTTCTTATAATGCTTCAGTGAACTTGATGGGTAATTACACATACTATTAACTAGTATTTTTATAATATTTAAAAAAATAAAATATATTTAATATCTTAAAAATGTATATTTTTAAATAAATGAGAAAATTAAAAAATATATTATAGAAATATTTATACTTGTTTTTTAAATAACATTAAAGCAATAATGACTTTTTACTAGGTATATAGGTCAGCAGATGTTAAATATATTCTTTGAAATATTTTTAATGACTTATGAATACTGTCGCATTTTTTAATGTATTTCGCTTTTGCATCCGATTAAACCAGACAATAAGTAAATCTCTAAGTTTAATGCTTACACTATTCAAAATTTGCACAGTAAATCGTGAAATTATAATAATATAAATTTTTTAATCTATAACAATTTATTTAATATTGTTTATACAGTGATTTGTGTAATATTAACAGAAATAACACATTTGATAATATAATAATTACTCAAACATATTTTTATTCTTTATAAATATGATTAAATTTAATTGCAATGTTTAAATTTTTTATTAGTTTTAATCTTTATATAATTTACCTTAAATAATATTAGTTGTTAATTTTAGTCGTCTAAATTTAGTCATATTTATAAAAATAAGATAATATTTTATCTTATAATAATTTATGTAATATTCATTTTTATATGGATCCAATATATTAAATAATATGCAAATATAAGACCAGATTAGTAATAAGGAATTTGCACATGGACCTAAACATTTTTTTTACTAAAAACTACATTAAAATACATAAAAACTATTTAAAGTGTATCTATTTTTATATATTTTTAATAAAATATTTTTATTTTAAGTAAAGCAACATTTTTTTTTGTGGTTGCAAACGTAGAGCAACGTTTGCTTTTGCTATTTGGCATTTACCAATTACCATTGAGAAAAAGAAGAAGGAAAGATGAACAGTCAACGTAGACCAAAGCTCTGACGTGTAAATCCGTATAGAATTACCGAACACCCACCGTCGGCGGCACACTTTCCTTGCCCCACACTTCAATAACCTTGATACGACGGTTACGCTCCAAAATCTGGGTTTCCACCAGCGTAACTGTCAAAACATCCTTCCCATCACATTTTCAATAATTTTTCCTTAGCTTTTTCTATGTAACCAGAAGAAGCTTCACGGTATCACAAGCACAATGGTAGCTGTAATTTCCACCCCCTCACAACCCGAAAACAGTTTCACACCTCGCACGCCCAAACCGCGACAAGCCACGTCATCATCATGCCATTCGCCGTTGAGCTCCAAAAGATCAGAGTCGGTGGAGCGAAACCGACCTCGCAGTGGCGCCACCGAAATGACACCGTCTGGAAAGATGCTCTTGACTTCCACCACAACTAGGAGCTTGTCCGTGTCGTTTCAGGGCGAGTCGTTCTGGATCACCGTTAGCAAATCCAAACCAATCAACGCTCCACCACCTAAACTCGCCGTGCCGAGAAAATCACCGTTCGATACTTCTTCGTCTCCACGAGCAGTTCTCAATAGCCGTGGCCAAGTTTCATTTTCACGTCCTCCATCACCGAACAAACTTCCCACAGTAGCATCTTCTTCTAGAGGCGTGAGCCCCTCTCGACTCAGAAATGGAGCGTCACCTACTCTCAATAATGCTTCAACCAGCAACCAACCTTCTATTTTGAGTTTTGCTGTTGATGTTAAGAGAGGGAGAATAGGAGAGAACCGAATTGTTGATGGACATTCGTTGAGACTTTTGTATAACAGACTCTTGCAATGGCGTTTTGTAAATGCCAGAGCAGATACTGACCTCTCTCTACAGAAATTCAATGCAGAGGTATGGTTTTATTTTTATTTTAATTAATATTAAAATTAAATACAAATTTCGATGTCTGAATTTTTTTTCCCTATGATGTAACAGAATTGTCTCTATGATGCTTCGGCGTCTACCTGTAAACTACGAGAATCTGTTTGTGCCAAAAGAAGAGAGTTACAATTGCTGAAGCTACAGTTTAAGCTGACTTCCATCCTCAGGGAGCAAGTAAGATCTATCGTTACCCGCTGCCGAAATTGCTTATACATTTTTTTTAGCTTGATTCGATTTCAAATTCCATAGTCCATTACTCTGTCCATTAAATTCCACTTGGTTAATTCTTCTCAATTTTTGAAACTTTTTTTTTTCTCTGTAGATGATGTATTTGGAAGATTGGGGTACTTTGGATTCGGTGTATAGTGGTTCACTTTCAGGAGCGATTCAAGCACTGAAGGCTAGCACTTTCCGGCTTCCTGTTGTTGATGTGGCAAAGGTTTTTTTCGCTTTTGCTTCTTGTTTATTCTTTTATTCCTTTCATAATAGATAGTGTTATACTGGTTTAGTTGGTATTAGCTTAGCATATTTTGGGATTAATATGAAAAAAAAGCTTTTGTCAGGCTCATGGGCTGAAAGTGAAGGATGCGATTTGTTCAGCGGTGGATGTAATGCGGGCAATGGCAACCTCCTTATGCTTATTGTCACCAAAGGTACATATTCCTTTTCACCAAAGTGATTTTTGGGGTCTTTGATGTTAATTATTGGTTGAAATTATGAATGTAGATAAGTTTTATTGAATTTATTAATAATTTAAATTACTTGGATATCCTGGCCTCTGATTCTGATTATGCGGGTAAAATATTATTTGTTATATACTTGTAGTCCAACACTATCAGCAGGACAGAAGATAAAAAAGACTTTTCTTGTTATTCTTTGCTTCTCTCATTTACTTCGTCACTTAAAATAATAATTTAACAGTGCCTAATTCCCTATCATACGCGGTGAGCAACTTTCGGAGAGAAGACTTCAAATTGTTACCAAATGCCATTTTGAGTGATCCAAAAGGAGGGTTTGAGTATAGACTCCAACAAATGAGCTGTTGCCAATACAACCCATATGCTTCATCTTCTCCTTCCCCATTAGGATAATCCTGTCATTTTTCTATATATATATATATATAACATCCTAAAATACTATACTTTTAGCATCCCCATAAACCAGGTCGTAGCTGCAAATTGCCGAAGCTCTTCTTTACAAATTATGCGGGTGGAGATTGGAATCAAAATTTTGCTTAATTTACCATCCTTACAGTTCCAGCTTCTGATTTTCCTTTTATGCTTTTGTTCTGTTATTTGTAAACACGTTACCACCTGCTCAAAAGTTGTACTTTGTCTACATGTATCTGTATCTCTCCCCATTTCCTTCCCCTTCTAAATTTGACTTGTATTTTTTACAACTTCACCACTCTGTCAGTTCTGGATTCATTTTTTGGGAGAAAGAATGGAACCCTCATCCTTGTTGTTTGACTGTGCAACCCTGTCCTCCATGTTTGCGTCATTTAAACTTCATTATGTTTATGATTTGAGATTCGTGTCAGAGCTACGACTAAGTTCTGGTTTCAAAATCTTGTTAAACTTGAATTAAGATATTTTGAGTATTTACCATCAAAAGGGTTAGACATTGGCAACATTGTGATGCCTTGGGCCTTGTGGCTTTCAGTACGGTTCTATTGACGTGTCAAAATTTATGAAATGCACTTGCAATTGATAGGTTGGACATGTAAATTCATTGGTGGTTGAAGTTGCCAACTTGAGTGCAAAGGAGCATGTTTTGCTTGATGAATGCAAAGACCTTCTATCAAAGGTCAAAGCCATGCAGGTAAATTTTGTATCTAAAAGAGGCAGTGAAGCTTAAAGTACTTCTGCTCATTTTTATTAGATGAATACATGAAGTTATAGGACTTGTTATTCCTTTACTCAACTGTATGCCTGCAAGCTCATCAGCAAAACTTTTACACGAGCAGGTCAGAGAATGTAGCCTGAGAACGCATCTTTCGCAACAAAAATGCTTACCTGAAGCTCAACGATGAAAGTAACAAGCATATATAACTGTATGTATATGACCGGCCCTACTTTCACTGCTAACGCATCATATCATAAGTTATGGTGTTACTTGCTAACAGGTGCGCTTATTTTGGCCTTGCGACATTCCTGCATGATGATGATTGATCATATTAGTAGTCAAGATTGGAAGTTCTCGTTTTAAAATGCAAGTTTTTTTTTTTTTTCGGTTTTTTCGAAAAGTGCCAAATGATGTATATAAACTGTGTAGCATGTTATATTTTAGTTGAATCATTTGTATTTGTTAGCTCATAAATTGTATAACTATGTCGCGGTTATTAAGGTATCTGGTTCGTTTCCTTTCTTTTCTTATTATAAGGACGGTTGGTATGCATCCCATGGTAAACTACCCACACTATTCACACGTAATATAACATTCACTCTCCCAATGAATTTTTTGTTTTTCATAACGTGGATGTTTGATTATGTATGACTGGTTATGAATCCAAACATAAATTCAAACACTACTAATTGTCATGTTTACTAATTTCTTAACATTAATTGAAACACGCACAACAAAGGTAAATCCTAAGTGATTGATTACTTACTGGTCAGTGGGGAATTGCGAAAGCAAAGGTGACGCAAGTTTTCCAAGGGCTACGGCATTGTCATTCTACTAAGCGCTCCAGAAAAGAGTGTGGAATCGATTCAAGTAGGAGAGAAAAAAAAATAAGAATGTTATAAATGATGTGATAAGAAAAAAAAAGATTAAAAAAAAAAAGCAAATGTAAATAATATGTAAGAGAAGATGAATGTGAGGATATTTTGTTCCAAAAAGTATATTTCTCTCTCTCTCTTGTTTCTACTTTATTCACCTAAACAATAAGCTGAATGACTAACATTATTCTTTACTTTTCGTCTTTGTCTTTGTTATAAAAATTATTTACTTTTTACAATTGTATTACTCTAAAATAGAGAGACGGATATTTTGAAGTTCTGCTCTTTTGTTTTTTTGGTCAATAAGTTTTCTCAAGACAGGGCTTAGTGAACAAAAATTAGTGGGTGCTCTATCTTCTTTTTTTCACGGCGCAAGTGGGTGCTCCATTTTTAATTTTGTTTACCTTACGTCATTCTGACGGGCTTATTTGTTTGGGCTTATATCCGAAACAAAACCTTTCGTTAGCAGCTCAATGCAAAGTGCAATTAGCTTATATCGGTCTAGCCCCTAAACAAAAGTTTTAAAAAAGCCTAATAAGTGTCTTAAAGGAATTATTGATATGACCTTCAGATATTAATTATATTTTAAAAATTATTAGCATATATATATATATGGAGTATGATATGGAAAATAATATTTTTTAAAAATACTTTTATTTAGGAATAAAAACTCAAATTTATAATATAAGAGTTTAATGTTTTTAAGATTTAAATTTTTTACATTATATGGTAAAGTTTGTATAAAGTTGTAGCAGTTCATTTGTTAAAGTGATTTACCACTGCTAGTTAAGAAATGTAATAATATATAAATATTTTATTGGTCGAAATAAGATATTAATATTATTTAGTAATTTTTTATAAAACTTATGGTTGAAAAGTCTAATTGTTAGTTTGTGGATTTTTATTAAATAAATTAGTTTTATAAAATTTTGTATAAATATAAAATAATAAATATTTTATTATATTATTTTTATTTTAACAAGTAATATACTTTTAAAATATAAATAAATATAAAATTTAAATAATGTATTTATAAATATTTAAATTATAAAAAAATTATCATACATAATCATGAAGATAACATAAGATATTTTAACTGTTAATTAATTAATCTTGCATCTCATAACAAAAATTATTAAGTAATATAAATGTTTAAGTTTAACATGTGATCTTATTGAGTTTTAACTTTTTATTAATTATCTTGATTTTATATTTGTTACAATCTCAAATTTTATCAGACGAAAAACCGTTGCTTTGGTATTGAATATGAGTTACCAGGTAAAAAAATCTTCCTTCCTTATTCATTTTTGTGAGCATTTCCTTCGACAAGACTTGGAAGAATATTAAAAATGTAAACAAAAGGAAGGAAACCATTTCTTAGAGCATCTCTTATCTCAATCACCGATGCCTTAATATTAAGTTGAGTTTCACTATTGGAGTATCATGAAGTCACAATTACTTATAAGCGATCTTAGTTTATAAAAGCAACCGGTTTTTTTCATAAGAGTTCTATTATTTGTACAAACAGTATTTTTCTTTTTCAAATTCAGCAATTTTAATTATTGATAATGTCAATTGAGAGAATGAAACACAATTCATTTTTGTAAGACTGTGTTAGAAAAAAATCAAAATAAAGTGCTGCAAATATATTGGGAATAGAAACATATTTAAAATTTTAAAAATATTGATTTTAAAATGTTAATGTAAGGAGTTAATTCCTTCATTCAGCTAAGCTTAACATGTTATTAACTTTTGGTGCCGGCAAACTTTACTGTAATGCTAATCGATACTCAATGAATCTTAATTTTCAAATGAAATGACATTTTTGTTCATTTTATTCTTGACTTTTTTTCTTCCAAAAAGATTATATCCCACAGCATATTTATTATTTTGTCTCCATATATATGAATACGACGATTGATGAATCAAAACCCTCCGATGCTTGACACGTAGACACCGGGGCGTGATTAATTTGCGGTGGTGGATTTGATGAGTAATTTAGGAATCCACAATGACAAGACATGTTGCGACACGCGGCGAAGCGACTCAATTGGGTATTCGTTTCATTACGTTCAAAGTTTTGTATCAGAATTAAGAAAATAATTAACATATTAATTTTACAAAATAACGATAAAAATAAAATTATTAAAGCATAAAAATAAACCAAAAAACCATTCTTCTTAAAGATCGAGTATTGTTTTGCAACTAAAATAGAATGAATCTCTTTATATTTTAAAACTTATTTTTGGAATGTGTATATACAATAATAAAAATAAATAAATCTTAATAGTTTAAATATGGAAAGTATTTTCTTTACATTGTTTTTTCTTTGCATTTCATGTCAAAGTAAGACTATGGTGTATGGTGGCTTTTGGCGTGGAACCCATTTCTAGTGGAGGAAATCCATGTTTGACGTGCACCGCACCATCGTCGTTTTTATCACGTGGATTTGCTCTGCAAAATCCTAAGAAAAAATAGCTATCTCCCATCTCTTTTTGACCTCCTTTCGTGTCGATTCCTCAATTTTTCTGACACACATGCGGCGTAACGTTAAAGTAATGCACCAACCATCACCCCAAAGTGGGTTAAAGTATCTCACCCCGACTCTATATTTGGACCCAAAAAATTCATATGGCTCTCAAGCGTCATATAAGTTAAATCCAATTTTACGACCTCTAATCAAAATTTGAGCTAATCTTACGACTTTTAAAACGTTTTTCTGGTTGGAAAACTAAAACGGTACGGTTCATGGAAGACAAAACATTAGTTTATGAGTGGAATATTGGACACAACTCGCCTAATCCCAGTTTATGGAAACAGAATCAATACCCACATGGCAGGCACCGGTGCAGGTGTTTCGCTTGTATTTGACGACCCTAGTTTATGCAAAATCTAATGAATAATTAAAACTCTAATTTAATTATGTGAACCACTGAAGTTTGATTTAGCATATGATTCCGTACATTATTAATTTTATTTTCTTATATACATCTATCGTAAAATTATATTCTCAAACCTTAACGGTACCAAACAAAAAAACATTTCCAATAAAACTCAGCTGTTGCACAAACCTCGTGTGATGTAGTTGCACGGTCCAGACTATGCCCTCGCACGTCGTCACATTGCTACAGAAGATAACACAAACCGACAATTACACTTCCCTAATTACCTCCTCCTTTCGCGTGTTTCAAATTACATTTGAGTTCCGGAAGAAGCGAAATTACGAAAAAGAATAGAAATTATGATAACACAAAATTAAACAAGAACGATGAATCATTAAAATTGAGCCAAAATTTTACCAAAACTCATTTCCGTACATACAATTTCGAAAGGTAGCTCCTTTCTTTCTAATGTCTTTTTAGCATAATTCCACTTAGAGTTGGAGAACCCAATCTCCGTCTCGATCGATCCCTGAGGGTCTAAGCTCTAACATTACATTATACACTTGTATTTAATTATAATATAAAATGCAGTCTTAATTAATTAATCACACGAAAAGATTCAAAAGCTTTTTCTCATTGTCGCTAATGATATCATCGCTGCCTCTCTTTGAACTTGTGCTGTTGTAGCAACACTCTTGATCCGATTCGCCGAAGATCGGGGCCGCAAACTCCGGTAACGGCCGGATAACGCCTCCGGAGAGCACGGTGTCGACGGCAGCCTGGCACACGTGCCAGTTACCGCTCCATAGAAGTCCAACAGCACCGTTGACGGGATTAACTGTTCGTCCGCACGCTTCAAACAGTAGAGACTGAAACAGCGCTGTTGAAGAAACATTAACAAATAATGTTATGCCAGAAGAAAAAAAAAAGTAACTAATGGAATGACACGAAGAAATAACGATGGAACGAACCGGTTCTCTTGTTAAAGGGAACGGAGGAAATGAAAGACATAAGGTCGGTGCGTCCGAAGAACTTAGCGAGGAAGAGAGTTGCATGGGCTTGTGCTTGAGGGGATTGGATCCACTGCAGGCATGACCTCAGGATGCACCTTTCGCTGCACCCTTTGCGGAGGACTCTGCAACCGTTGCAGCTCATCATCATCTCCTCTCTCTCTCTCTCTCTCTCTCTCTCTCTCTCAAGATGAAAAAGTAAGTTCCAAATATTTTAACAATCTTTCGAGGGTTAGGGATGGCACTTACGTACGGAATTTATGGCTGTTTTGTAAAACAGAATTATAAGTTTCGCCCTTATTAGGGCGTGGAATCTGCCAGAGAACTGATAACAAGTTAAAAAGAAGAAGAAAAAGAATGCTTCTTTAAATGTTTTGTCTTACAAGTATTAGTTTGAGCAGTATATGTTAATTTTTTAAATATTGTGCGTTGAGAAAGTTAACTAAAAAAATATTTCATATAAAAGATAGATTTGTGATTTTAAAATAATTGAAAATTTGAACATTAAAAGAATATTTTTGATAAAGCTGTTGAGTCATGACGAATGTTAATAGCTGTTTTATTTTATTTATGTTTTAGTCTTTATACTTCTATTTGCAATATATAATAAATTTCTTTAATTTCAATATTTTATTCTCATAATTTTTTAATGAATTTTGTTTAGTTTAACCATCTAAAAATATTATATTTTTATTGAAAAAATACATTCATTATATTAAATTTATAAAAGTGTAACAAGTATTTTTAATAGAATATTACATATTATTAGCTTATTAAAATGAGTCCTTTAAGTTAATATTTTTATTTTCTAATTATTAAAGTCTCTTACTCTAAAATTTATCTAATAATCAATACAAATATAATAAATATATGACATAATATTAATTTATATAAATTAAAAATAAAAAATATATAAATGGTTAACATTATAATAAAAAAGCTACTAAAACTGATATCACACGTGACTTAAAGGGTGAAAATTAAAATATAATAGAATCATGTTATTTTCTAAAATTTTCAAAGGATTTTTATGAAATTCAATATTCTTAAATTTTATTTAATAATTAATAATAGAATAACTGAGATTTGATCCGTCATTAATTTATATTTATTTATTAATATATACAAATTAATTATATGTCATTAGTGTTTGCAACTGAGAAAGTTAAACTAATAATGAGCATGATGAATGTAATTATTTGAGTTTTCGTGATTTTAAAATTGACAATTAATTAAAATGGATATAGAAGGAACGCCCTTGGATAATTGCAGTCCAGTGGTTATGTAATTCTAAAATGAATGTTCAAAGAATGAGCGATGTATTAAAGGGGCGTGGAAACTTTTCAGCACACATTAATGGATAATATGCTCTCTCACTCTGGCCTTTTCTATTTCTTCATTGTTATGGTTTATTACACTACTATTCAACACTGTGCATTACTTGTATAAAATTAAAACCACATAGCAAGGATATGTTTGATTTCTCTTTTAAAAAGAGTTTTTAATTTTTTTTCTAAATATAGTATAAAATTACTTGTATAAAATTAAAACCACATAGCCTAAGGATATGTTTGATTTCTCTTTTAAAAAGAGTTTTTAATTTTTTTTCTAAATATAGTATGAAATTTATACTATATTTAGAAAAAAAATTAAAAACTCTTTTAAAAATAGAAAACAAACATACCCTAACTTTATGTTAATTTGATGATTCAATCAGAAGTATACTGGTGGCTGACAACAATTAACAATGTCTCAACTTGATTTCGTCTTTTATCCCGTGTGTTCCGTTAAAGCCAATACTGATTAAGTAATCGTTTTCTTACTGATGAATTCCTGTTTTCTTATTTTCATTCTTCTCACACTATTTTATTACATTTTTTTTCCTTCTAATTCTATAGTTACATTTTATTCCCAGGAAAATTACATTGCAAGGTCTGATTGACTGTTGATTTAAGCGACTTATGTATTTGTTTCACAAATTATTAATGCGCTTTTTTTATGGAATCATAGCTGCTGCTTTTTAGTCTACAAAATGCAACCATTCGTTTGGTCTTTCATTACTATAGTGGCCATGTATGGCAATCAGAATCACTCAAAATTGAGTCCCAACAATTTCACCACAAGAAGACCAACCTTCATCTGAATTGAGTTGAAACAAGATGGATCTCTCGTGAAACAACAACTGAATGTTGCTGTCCAGGATGTAAATAAATGTCCTTTATTTCATAAATAATCTAAAGATGTCTCCAAGGCTAGACTGTACAACTTTCACACATAATTCTCAAGCAATTGAAATTCAGAATTCTGAAAAAGATCTAGCTAGACTCTAATCATGAGGCATTCAATACACATAACCCCGTCTTGTTTTCCCAACTTGCAACATTCAATGTGCTAAAGTCAGAGCCATGCAACTTCAAATTTCGTTTAATCAATTGAAAGTGGGTTTCTCATACCAATCTCTCAAGTTAACAAGTACTTTCTTCCCCTCTTTGCGCTTAATTTTTAATGCTTAAGGTGATAAGCATTGTTATGTTACTATTTTTCGTTTCATATAATTTGTTATTTTTTTCTAACAAGATAAAATACCAGAAGATGATGTTGTTCGGCCTTTCAGCTGAGATAAAAGTATTTGTTGATACTTTGAATACATGATTGACTCTAGAAAATTGTTTCGCCAATGAATGAATATGAAGCCAAGACGAAAGCATTGAGGTGAGAACTTGAAGTTTTGGAAGTCTTAAGAGATGTTGATTCTCAAAAAATTCAAATTATGGAACACTTGATGCGTTAAAATATTTTTTGTTCACATCAGTTCTAAAAATATATTACAGGAAGCTAAGCAAAGGGCTTCATTCCTGTCGCAGTGGAAAGTGAAGGGTAACAAGCCAAGAAAGGAGCAAGAAGTGGCTCGAAAACAGGTTGACTTCTGTTGTTAATCTCTTAGTCTACCGTCTATCTTTGTTTTTTGCAGTTACTATGCTTTGCTATTTTGCCATTGGTTACCAATATCATTTGTTGTTTCAAGTTCCTTATTTTGAATCTGCATAGAAGCCAATGTCAAAAGTTGTCGAAGGAAGTGGAAGATTCATAAACAGGAACTACAACGACCATCTCTAACCATCGCAGAAAGGTGACTTACAAATGGGGACCTGAAAGGATAATATAAGCTACTAACTCTTTTGATTGTACTCAAGTGTTTTAACAAAATTTAGTTTGCTTACCTAAAAAAGGATACTGGGTATTTGCCTTATCTCCTAAAATCTATAGCTTGAGCACGTTACTCCCCCCAATTGTCTCCCGTCTAATGAAGATTATGCGTCTTTTCTTTGATTTGTGAGGGTTTCAGATCCCTTTGCTTTTTTTTTCCTTCGATTTGTCACGGATATTGTGTATAAAGGGTTGTTTGGATCAATTAGCACAATTAACCATCTCGAAAATTTTATTTACAGATTATATGGAGCAAGTTTTGCAAGGATTATCACTTTCCATCTGTCCAGTTAATTTAATCAAAGACCTCTTTTCTTTTTGGTTAATAACAAAAATTATAGAAATCCGAAGTTCATGTCACTGGGTTGGCGTGCTGCCATTCTGTCATCCAATCCTTAGCGTAATTATAATCTTTTTAAATTTTTTAAGTGATGATGTGATTAAAAAAATTAACACGTAATAATTTTTAATTAATCGCATTATTATGAAGAATATATATATATATATATATATATATATATATATATATATATATAATTTTTCGTCTTTTTTCTAAATCTAATTTTGGATATGTCCGTGTCCGAATGAGTGCCACGTGTTTGGTGATGGCTGCAGCTGAGACCACATGAATGCAAACAAACTACGTTTCACGTCGCAACATCAATGTAATATTTAAGAGTAAGGGGTTGCACTTGCTAATGCTATGTCACTGAAAAAAAACCACACGTTTTTTTCTTCTTCTGATTGTGTAAAATTACTCTACGATGCTGAAAGGAGCACAGTCGGTACTCATTGGCTTTCACTTTTTTTCGTCATTTTCTTGGCAGGAAAAGTTAACCACCGATTACCATGCACGTGTTAGTCTAAATAATAAGAAATTTGATTTAAGGTTTCAGAGTCTAATCTTGTCAACAATAAAACGTAAACATTGAAAATGTTTTACTTTTTGAAATAAATTTATTTAGCTTAATTCATACATCTTCAAAATATCGTTCATAATGGAAGATGTCTTTATAAAGTGCTGAAGCAAAACAAATTGCTGAAGGAGGGCTTTTATTTTCTTGTTCCTCTCTCAATGAAACTTTCTTAGGATCATACTGTCATTTAATTATCAGTTATCATTATTATACAATTTGATTCCACCTTTAATCCATTTGCTCTGCTTAATTCTGATAAATTAAATCGTGCTAACATTAATTATCAATAATCAGATAAAGCACAAGGTGTCGGAGGGATTACAAGATAAGAATTGACTGTTCACTGAATCGACCCTGATTATATATGTTTGTTCCAGAAGACAAGGAACGATGTTCATTGTGTGATCTGATGCAACAATGGATGAGGTCAACACATATCTGACAGGATTCGTGAATTTCCAGTGTTGTATGTCCAATATCATTAAATGTTAAAAAAAATCCTATACAGAAGAATCATTAGATGACATACATACCTTAATCAGTTTACATATATTTAAAATTTTAAACATCTGTATACAATCAAGCATTAATTATTTTTATTTGTTAGAGAAATATACATTAATTTTATAACTGTTATATCTGTCTATAAATTTTCACATCATTGTAGAGTAGCTTCTAATTAAAGCATCAAGGCGCCGCCTTAGGAAGTGAGAAAAACAAAATTGGAAGAACGTGGACCCGCAAGAAGATTGTGCAAAGACATTCATGGCAGTTGAAAAGTTAGACGAATCTCTCCCATTGCAACAAACGAGTTTTCAGCCGAATTCATTAGGCTTGCAATCTTCCATAGTCTCTGGTTCTTATCCATCCAACCCAGCACATGGCCTCAACATCAGGGATAAGACTTAGGTTAGATATTTTATATATTATCATTATTAAATAATCACGTCCCAATTTGAGTAACATCTTGCCCTGTTGCCAAGTCCAAAAATCATCAAAGTTAGCATTGGTTCAGTATATTATTATACAGTATAATGTGATTTAATTAATATATAACATTGAACCAATTAATATATAACATTGGTTCAATGTTATATATGAAACAAATATGAGAAATTAAGGATCAGTGATAGATTGGATTATTCTAAGCTAAAATTACAATTAAAAAAAAAGTTAACGCAGACAATTTACATATATTTTTTAAAATGAAACACTGGAAAATGTTTACATTATTTGATAATATACGCTTTTGACATTATTAGAGTAACTTCATATATATATATATATATATTAAAAAAAAGTCCACATGTAATATTCTATAACATTATGAGTTGCATGGCTTTATCGAATATCTTCAAATGAATTGTCAATTAAAATTAGTTGGCTATAACAATACTGACCAAGATTTTGAATTTAATATTAGTCATCTTACATTAACAAGTAGATAGCCATATTTAAATATCTTACCCACATTTTGAGTGCGAACCTTGTTTGAATATTTTATTCTTATCTAAACTTATTATTAAATAAATTTTATTAATAATTAAATCTTAACTTTAATATTGGGATATAAGAAATCTGCACAATCATTCAATAATGTAGTAGAATACATATTATTCAATGAAACTGAGAGCTCAAATATCGAATCCAATAAATTATACGATAGTACATCACTAAGTGACAATAAAACTTATTTGTTAACAACGAACTTAACATGTTATCATATATAAATTTTACTATATATTGAATTCATGATAAACAAATGATCATTCGAGAAGTATATAAAAACTGTCTTAACGCTCGTGTGAAACCGCATTTAGAAAACATGCAAATAACGCGTTATGCACGAGTTAGTTGATTGCCAAAGGGAAAACATTCCAGATTCCCAGTATGAACACTAATTTAACGTGGACGTTTTTTTCCGCTAACACGGAAAGGGAGAAGGTACATAGAGTTGATACTTGAAAGTTGAAAGCCTACAAGGAATATGGTTCATTTAATGCGAATCTTCGACACCACCAGAATTGAGTATAAAATTGGGCACCTCCTTAACCAACTAAAAGACGCCTTCTCTTTTAGTATTTACCAATTCTAAGGTTGGATACCGCGTGTGACTGTGGCATAGCAATTGCGAGAGCGAAAAGGAAGACTAAGATAAGTATGGTAAATAATTGACACTTACAATACAATGAACCCAATTGCCTTTTTCTAGCTAAATCTTACACCTGTTAAAGGCAGCTTAAACTCATTTATGCTCATGCGTATGTAAAGCGTATCAGACCAAAACTCTGGCCTTGAGCCATCTGAATTAGGACCATTAAATAACGTGTCACAACAACCAGAATGCTATAAAATTAAAATAGTTGGCATTCTTGAATCTAACAATTCAAAACAACAACAATAACAACAACGTGAGGATAAGTAATTCCACGTGTCCTTATCATCACAGCGAGTAGATGGCCAAATCCGAAACTTTCGTTCTTATCCTCACACCAAACGCGAAACATCCGGCGTGTTCCTCCCATGTCATCCACCCAGGCCCAGCTACTCAATCACTGTTCAATATTCATTCCCAATCTTAATCATCAAAGTTTTTATTAAAAAATGTTTATTTTTAGTAGAAAGGGGGACCGTGGCTGTTTTTTTGTGTGACCTGTAGCAACAGTAAAAACCGTCACAGAAAGATATGCCACACCGATCACGCGGCTCTGCTATTTCATGATTGCGATTCTAGATAATTCCATTCCCATAACTAAATGAATTGAATTGAATTAAATTACCACTGTCAAAGTACAATATAAATTCTAAAACTAGCGAATAAGCTCCAACCACTATATATGTACAGCAACAAATTAATATCGAATAATTTAATTAAAAAAAGAAAGCTGAATTTTTTCTAGGAGATACTGATTAGTACTGAGGGATTTCAATCTTGGGTATGGTCAAATTAAGACGAGGCTTCTTCGATGGTAGAGGGCTTGAAACCTCGTCGTCTGCGAAGAACCTTGTTGAGAAATCTGGAAAAGCTGGGAGGTTCAGATCGAACTCACGGTGGTGGCTGTGGCTCCCTGTGTGGGTGGACCCCACTCCTTCCGAGGCAGTTACGGCGCTGCTGCCACCGCCACCGCCTTCGTAGTGGCAACGCTTGTGTCCTCCCAAGGCTTGTCCTGTGGGGAACGACTTGTGGCAGATCGAACACTCGTGGGACCTACCACCACCGTTCGACGCAGAACTGGTAGTCACGGCTGAGGAGGTCGAGTGATCCTCGGCGGCGCCGGCGAATTTCCGGTGACTGGCCTTGTGTCCACCCAGCGCTTGGTAAGAGGAGAAGGCTTTGTTGCACACAGAGCATTTGTAGCTGAGATTGGCTGCGGGTAGCGGCGCCGACTCGTTATCGGAGAGAGCAGGTTTGGCGGTGGAGACTCCGCCTGCGCCGCCGCGAGCGAGCATGATGAGACAGAGAGCTAAGTACTCTTCTTCAGTGCAGGGAGGGTCCATGCGGGGACGCTTAGAGCGCTTTCGCTTGGCCCACGGTGCTTCTAGGTAGCTGAGATTGGGTTCTTCAAAGGGAGTAAAGGAAGGTGTAGGTGTGGTGGGTGATTTGAGAGCTTCCAAAGCCATTTGTTGCGTGAAAGAGAAGAGAGAGTGTGTTTGTGTTTGTGTTTGTGTTTGGAGGTGAAGTGTGAGTGAAGGCTGGGGTGTGGTGGGTTTATATATACAGTGAAGGTGAACAATTGAGGGAAGTTGCGTGACAAGTGCTGAGAAAGTAGGCGCAGTGCCCAACTTATAATAGATTTATCTTTATTATTTAATTCAAATTAAAATAAAAAGATTAATGATGAAGACATAACACAGGTGGCAGAAAGAGTGGAGCACGTGTTTTAGTCATGAAAATTGTTTTCCAAAGTCGGTCAAATAAAGTGTTGTTAACTGCTACCATTTTTTATTTTTATTATTTTGTTTAGCAAGTAAGAAAAATAGAAGCGGTGAGTGATAGAAATCCAAGTACAAGTGAAGTAAGGAAGACGAGTTCTCTGATTCAAAAGTCAAAATCAGCAAAAAGTAAAATAATAAATTTTCTCTCTCTTATTTTTTGATGAAAAGGGTACGCGGTCCAAATTAGTACTCCACACCACAGCAGCCGAAGCCACCAACGACTCTTCTTAGTCAACATCTTAGGAGCCGACTTGGATAACTAAGTACTGTTTGGCAACTTTGAAAGTGAATCGTTCATGCATCATTCAGGGAATGAAAACTTAATTACAAATTAAGAAATAAAAAATAATTGCCACGCCCTTGGTTTGTTACATGGCTGAGGAATCAAAGGGCCAGATCACATGGGTGCTGTTACTACTATTTTCAGTCCTGCCTTCACTAGATCGAACAAGTGGATCACACTGTACCTGTTTTAGAAGGTTCCAGAATGTAGAGTTTTAATTGGCTATTGCTATCTTTTTTTCTAATGATTCGAGTGGCTGATGAACTGTTCCAACTGAGTTCAGATTATTCAGGGTAGCTGAGAGTTTTTCTTAGAGAGTTAAAAGTAAAAAATTAACTTTAAAATGTTTTAAAATAGAACTAAAAATTAATTTTATTTTATTTAAATCATCATGTTAATTTATATTTATGTTAAAAAAAACGTCATGTGAAATTAATGAAAGGGTGGAGGTGAAGGGAGTTCAATTTTAGAGATTTGACTTTTGACTCTCCTGGGTGTTAGTACAAGGGAGAAGATAGGGTATAACAAGTAACAACTATTGCATTTGAATACCTCTATTCAGACAAGAATCTAGAAGTTATTAGAACGAAAATTTAGAAAGCTACCCGAAGCATCCAAATGCACACGTGCGCTTCTCAAAATAATTTTCTATAGTTTCTAGATTGGCCCTACTCGTAGTCGTCGTACTAATTGTTATGGGTCAACAGAAACCCAAATTGGTTGACCGAATAAGAGATAAGACAACTAACATTCATGAACCGAAAAAGAGGACATTCAGCATTGTAATCTGCACTCTCACTTTTTTCTTAACTAATCTGTTATAAATTTGTGTACTACCAAAATTTATTATGTTTTATATTTAATTCAAGAAATATTGCATTAAGCCTTCGTTTTGAAAGTTTGCATTGTTTAGAAGCATAGTATAATTTTCAAAACATTTTTATTAATTATTGATTTGCAACTTTTAGTAAAACTTTTTGTATGTTAATATTTAAAATTACAGTTGTGGTTGCATTATAATTATTAAAATATTTTTTTAGAATGTACAATATTGTACAAGATAAAATTTAAATATAATAAATTATTATTATAAATTATAAATTAGATGTAATTTAATGTATTAATAATACTAAATACTATACAAATTTATCATATTTAATTTAAGCTGTTCTATATTTTATATAAAGTAATAATATTAAATACTACAATGATATTTCAGCCCTTTAATTTTTAATTTACATGTCATAAGGTGTTCTTAATACAACCTTTAAATTTTATTTAATATGATTTTATTATGTGAAAAAAATCATTAGAATTAATAATATAACTTTTAATCATCTGAAAAGGAAAATAATAAAATTACAAAAACTTTAAAATAAATTTATTAACAAATAATTTTTAATTGTTTTATTTTAATTTTATCAAATTATATTCTTATAATCTGTATACTCCATCTAGATATAAGACTTCATACATTTTATATATATATATATATATATATATATATATATATATATATATATAACTCGATAGATATTATTATTGTAAATAAAAGATGTATTCCGTTATTAACTACTACGTCTTTACAAATTACTTCATATCTAAAACTTCTAAAATCTTATCAAACTAAAATTTTTACACTTAAATCCTTTCTTCTTAAACTATTATTGTCATTTTTATTACTTGAATCGTTTGAAACAATTATCCACAACCTTAATATAAATAAAGAATAATAATAACTGTTAAAACGTTGAGCAAAAGAAAATAAAAAAAGAAAATTTTTATTTTAATACGTTATTAATGAAACTAACATTCATGTTGCTTCACATTTAGTCCTTTATTTATTATTTTATATAATTAATTTAAGAAAAAATATTTTATTCAGTGAAAAACTTAAGTGTGATGTATTAAATGTTTTATGTATTTTTAAATAAGTTTATAATTTACATAATGATAATTAACATTAAAGGTGAATATTATATTGAATTGATTAAAAATATTAAATAAATTATATTGAAAAGTACTGATTACTTAGAAAATAAAGTATTATTTTTTTATATGATGAAAATTTTTTATTAAAAAAAAATAATTTACTATTTAAAAATAATTAATTAATAAAACTACTTTCATTCATAGTTTATCACATCTATACTTTTATATTAGAATTGATTAAAATTGATGTGTGAATTATATTTTTCTATGATACAATAATTTTACTTTTTATCTACATGTTTATTAATTTTATTATAAATTTTAGAAATTAAGATTATTACTTAAATTTCCTTTATTACTTTGTGTATATTTCTATATTTTTGATAAAATTTTATTTTTAAAATTTATAATTACTTTTAAAAGTTTTACATCTCTTAAATTTATTAATATATATAATTTATTTAATTTTAATAGAAAATTTTATTTAATTTCATTAATTTATATATTTTTATGCATATTATTTGTAATTATAAAGTTAAGTCAAAATAGTTTATTTAAAAAATTATTATTTAAACTAATTTTATAATGTATATTTATAAAATTAATTTTTTTAATTATTGAATTGTATATTTATTTTAAAATAAAATTAGAGGGCATTGTATGGATCATTGAATTATTATATTAAAATTAATATTTTTTATCGACTACAGAATTTTTGTAGTATGTACTGAACTTAAATTCAATTCCATAAAGTAAAATAAAATAATTTTTTATTAACTCATCTACTTGTTCAATAAAGATTGATATTTATCTTGAACATTAAAGATCATGATCATATTTCATTACAGTAATTAGAAGAAGGAAAACAGACATATTCATGAATCCGGTGGCTTTGGGGGCATGCATCCGATCAGACATGGCACAAATGTCATACATGGAGGGCCCAGAATGATTATAATAAAAACTATTTAGTTGATTTAATCTTTAAAGATGTAGTTTTTATGCAAAGTTAAAATTTCTTAATTTTAAAATTAATTGAACTTAAAATATTTAAAGAATTAAAATTAAAAAGAGAAAAATTCAAATTATTATTGTTATTAAATATATATTGCAACTATCTATTTCTACTCATAGTATGAAACAATGGTACTTAAAATATATAATAATGGTTATCTAAGGGTTGACATGATTGTATTCAGTCAAATTAAATTAAATCAATATCTTTATATTATGACATATTTTTATTTAAGATACCAGTTAAAATGGGAAGATTTTAGTTAAGATGATGAACGAGTAATTTTAAACAATTTTACTGTCCTAAAAATCAAATACATATTCTTAACTAAAAAACAATAAAAAAAATATACTTAAAAATCATAAATAAAACTTCAAGAATTATTTATTTCTCGCTGTAACGATAGAAAATCTATATTAATTATAGTCACAATATATGTGAATGATACAACTTATAACAAATTAATTATCTCTATTAAAACAGTTTCTTGTTATTTATAACATAATAGATAAAAGAACTAAACATTATAAAAAAAATTTGAAATCTAAATGTAAAAACAGTTTTTAAATATTTTCATTTTACTCATAATTCAGAAAGTTTTGTTTTATTTTTCTACACCCCATCTCACTTCTTAAGATTGGGGTAAGATCCATAGGAAAAAAAAACCAAGTTTAAGCAAAATACTTGCGGACAAATAAAGAAAAATAAAAAAACAATGAAATAAAGGATGAGAATGAGAGTAAAGATTTAAAAATAAGATAAACTAGAGGAGATTAGAGAGAAAAAAAATGAAATTGTATGATAAAGATAAAAAAGAACAAAGTAGAGACAAAAATATAAATTATGATTAAATTATTTAGATTTTTTATACACATTATAAGTTAGGTTAGATATCATTGAGTTGGATTAACACTCACGTTTAAACTCAAAATTACTTAAATTTAAAACCAATCACACATGACCCATAAAAATCTACCTATTTATTTTTTTTAGTTATTTTAGACCTCCTAAATCTAGATAAGTTCAATTAATCTATCCAACTATATAGTTATCACACGCACGCGCGCATATATATATATATATATATATATATATATATATATATAAAATAAAAAAAAATGTTTCATTGCTTGTATATTCTTAATTAAAAAATACAGGCTTAAAAAAAACTAATTTTAAAAAATATCACAATCCTTTTATTTTAGTCCTTCAGTCCTTCTAAAAAGTTATTTAATTTGTATATTTAATATAAAAGCATGTACTATTAAAATAATTATAGAATATATATATAAAATACAAATATTAATACACAATATAATGTGTAATTTAATTATTAATAATTTAAATAATACAGCTTATAAAACATGTACCTCACCAACCCATTAAAGATTGGAGTGCGAAAGCGAAAAGTAAACAGAGAGTACGCAAGGCATGAACCACGAAAAAGGACACTCCTGCACGGACCATAACGCCCTTCCCATGACAATTTATTATTTTTAATAATGATGAAAAATGGAAAGCCAAGAAATAAAGGAAAACAAATCCTTAATATTGTTGAACTTAAGTAAATATTTTATCTGTGTAAAAATTACATAATTTAAAATTAGTTTTATAAAATATATTGTTAAAATGAATTTTTTATAAATTATTATTTTAATTTATCTGATATGTTCTATTAAAATATTGTCCATCCTTAATTTCCTATTAAAATAATAATTCATAAAAAAATCAAAATATTTTATAAAAATTAAGTTAAAATTGTGAATGTTTTTGGAGAGAAAGCATATTATTATCCGGTTGATTTGCCTTCCAATAAAAGCAGAATTTAAGAGCTGTCTGTCTCTCCAATTGCAACTTGCAAGCAACAGATCCTTTTTATTTCTCTATGTTTTAATTTAATTTAATTTTAATTTTAATTTTTGAGGATGTGTGAGAAAAAGTGAGGAGAAGAGAATGCAATCAAGTAGGCTTGTGTGTTCCTCCAATTCCTTGTTTGCTTCAGCCGTCACTGCTACTCTTCCCTCTCTCTCTCCGGCGCGTCTTAGATTTCCTCCGTTGATCGCTAATTTAAAGTCGTCGTCTTCGATCCGCTTTCAAACTCGTTCACCTCTTCGCGCCACTGCTTCGCGTAATTTCTTTCTTCAATAGCAACCATTCTTTCTTCCCTTTCTTGGAACATAATCACTCCTTTTTGTTTTCTTGAGCAGCTAGTGACTCCACGCACGTTTCTGAAATGGCTTCCAATAATGCTCAAGATCAAGACCCACGCTTAGCCAGAATCTCCTCTGCAATTCGAGTCATCCCTGACTTTCCTAAATCAGGTTTTTCCTTTCTTCTTTTTCTGATCCAGACACGTGACCTGGTTTTCGTCGTGCTTATATTGCTTTCTTTGTTTGTGTCAGGTATCATGTTTCAAGACATAACCACGCTGCTTCTTGATACGAAGGCTTTCAAAGACACCATTGACTTGTTTGTTGAGAGGTACAGAGATCAAAACATTTCTGTGGTCGCAGGTACTGTTTCTATCCATAGTTTCATGTTTAGTAGGTGTTATACCTGTTTCTGTCAGGGCAAGGGAAATCTGATGCAGAGTTCTACTCACGATCTTTTATTTACTGTGTCCTTTTCCCTTGTAGCCCCAACTTTTTATTGCAAATTTGGGTATAGTTGGAGTTAGAAAAATCTCATGTTAGTAACGAACGCGACAAAGTTATGTTTGGAGCTCTACTATAATTGTTTTTGTATCTTTCTCTCTTATAACATCACATTGTCATGTAACTTGATGACATGAGAGGATCCAAATTTGCGATTTAACTATTAGATGCGTAAGAGTTTCACCGTTATGTTGTTCAACTTTTGATATTATGACAATGAACGCCTCTTTTTTTCAATTAACGATTTTTAATTTGTGAGGAGTGAGGCAACATTGTTTTCTTGCCTATGGGCACGAGTGATAATTGTGACCTTCTCTTTTCAATGTAGTGATCTCTTCAACGACCAAATATCCACCGAGTTCCATACAGATTGCCACAGTGGCTTTTTCCTTAATTCCAAAATCAGAATATAGTAGAAGCAAAATTAAATACCGATCAGCCATCGAGTCACTAGAATTCTAGATGGTTTATTTTCTTGTACTTTTGCTCAAAATAAGCTGCTAATTTGTGTCTGATAGCTTCATTCATGACCCAATGCAGGCATTGAAGCAAGAGGCTTTATATTTGGCCCACCCATTGCATTAGCTATTGGAGCAAAATTTGTGCCCATGAGGAAACCCAATAAATTGCCAGGTATATGTTTTTCATTATTCTTTTTGACATAATTGTATATAACGTTATCAGAAATTCCTTCTTAGCATATAATTATGGTTTAAGATTTTTGAATCTCTGTATTGCATAAAGTCTTCTAATTCTAAGTTCTGTAGTAACTGCTTTTTTTCAGTTGTTGAATGCTCTTGTAATTTCAATGACGGGGAAGTTCTTTGATTTGTTTGAATGATTGTGTTTCAATTATCTTTACAGGGGAGGTTATCTCAGAAGAGTATTCTTTAGAGTATGGAACGGACAAAATGGAGATGCATGTAGGGGCTGTACAACCTGGAGAACGAGCCTTAGTCATAGATGATCTTATTGCCACTGGAGGAACATTATGTGCTGCAATTAAGCTACTAGGTAAACTTATCAACGTGAACTCTTCTAGGCTAACAATTGAAAACCCATTATGAATGTGAAAGCTATTTTTCTCCCTTTTTACAGCTGTGCATGAGTGGTCCAGCCTAGATATCATACTGTAGGAAGGAGGGTTTGTGTATCTTATATAGGAAAGAATTTGTAGTTTGTTTATGGATTAGAAAGATTTTATAAGTTGTGAAAATGATCAAAATGGCCTGGTCCTATTGAGCCACAAAAGAGATAATCCTAGCAGTGTTTTCAGCATTCTTGATTTTCTTTCTTCTTTCTATTTATTATTACATTCAGACTAATAATACATGCATGATGTATCATTAGTAGGGAGACAATTGGAAAGCTTGCTTCTGGGTAACTAATGAACCCATAGCACCTGTTTGATCTGCCACTATAACCATGTTTTCAAGTGGCTGTTTAATTTGGAAGCACGTTTTATAGTGTTTAATGATAACATCAGTATTTCAATACATTCTTAGTTGTTCTGTTACACTATTACAGAACGTGTTGGGGTGGATGTTGTGGAGTGCGCTTGTGTGATTGAGTTACCGGAGTTAAAGGTATGGCTTTTACATATGTTCTTCCTTACCTTGGCTAATTGTTTGGCTTAATTTGTTTCTTACACGTATGATACATGTCATAACTTTAAAAAATAATAAAATAAATAAACACTGTAATCTGGTGGCTATTATCTTCATAAGTTACAGTTTACATTGTAGGAACTCAAGCAACATTTTTGAACTAAAGAATGACGGTAGAAGTTGAATTACATTACATCTTTGAAAATTGTCTTTTGAGATGTGCAAAGTAACTTGTGCAATGAGCCAGTAGAGAATGACTTGGTCTGACTTTTCAAATTGAAGTACCTCCTGATAAGACTTGTCAAACTAACTGTATTTTACTAGTCTTATACTTCCAAACTGAAAATGCATCATGTCTACTCAATAAGATCTCATTAGTCCCTTGCATTCCATGATTCTGGGGTGAAAAGAAGCAATGATTGCAGAAATTATGTGGACTTCGGGGGGCCATCATTGGTCCTGCCTTGATCTAATATGTTTGATTTTAAAATGATGCTAGTGCAAATCTACCTGGTGGTTCGTCAAAAGTTATGTGACCACCTGAACTCTTCTTCTCTACTGATTATTGTCTACATGGTTTATTTAGTAATTCTGGTCCTGAAGTTGTCGCAGGCACTTATGATTCTCAGCATACTTCAATGTAGGAGTTTTTACTTTGCATTTAAAAGAAAGGACATAGCCTCCCGCATTCTTTTGTTCTGAATCGTACTGAAATAAGTATGCTTATAAATTTTAACTGGGTCTGACTCTTACTCTTAACTAAGTAAGCGTAACTACTTTTGGAAAGTGTTGTGCATTATATGACATTCCTTAGTGTATTCTCCTGAGTGCATTACGTGACAATTTTGAATACCAAATCTTAAAGAGTTGGGACTGAAAATTCATTGCTATAAAGTATAAACTAATTTTCCTTCTTCTGTTTTTTTTTTCAGGGGCGGGAAAGGCTGGGAGACAAGTCGCTATTCGTCTTAGTTAATGGAGCCTGATCTTTGTCCTTGTTATTGTTATAGTTATTGACAATTTGAGCCGGCACTTGTTAGGAGCTAATTGGTGACTGCTTACATTTCCTCTAAGATATAATTTGATGGGATTTGCTGCTGAAAGCTCGGGTGTTTGTGCGCTCAAGTCTGCTTAATTATTATTATTGTTATTTTCTTTTCAATTTCTGTGTTTTCCCTTTGATTTAAAGTCGTAATTTATATTATTTGATATAGTAAAGCACCAATAGAGAGCCCACACGGATCTCTGTGTAACATTACCCTATTTTGGTACTAAGGTTTCGAGGAGTTATGACTATAATAAAGGACTTGTTTGCCATTTGGCAACCGAAGAGCCTATGTTTAAGTTACTGAAATGACATGTAATGAGCACAATCACATGTAAGGTAAGTTGGGGTTTCAACCTTTGCTATTAGGTCGATGTATAACTATATTTTATGCAATGTATGCTCACATTTCCTTCAATTTTATATTTCCTTCAAGTTTTTGAAATCTACTGACATTTGAAATTTTCATTACGTAAATACTTGTATAGTTTTTATTCTTTTGAAGAGTAAATTACATTGTTCACTTCTCAGATATTCTTAAATTTTATTTTATTTTCTTGTTTTTAATATACATTCTTGCCCTGAGAGATGAATAAATATTGTAGTTGAATTATCTCAATGTAAATGAGGTTTTTAGAATTTTTTTTCGATGTAATTCTCATCATGATAGGCTGATAGCTATGACTACAATTAATTTTGACTTTAAAATATTTTAAATTGAATTTTAAAATTGACAACAAAAATGTTTGAAATTTTTTAGATCTTTAAAAATATTAAAATCAATAACAAAATGTTTAAAAATTAATTATTGCCGACACTAAATTTGTAGAAAAACAAAAATAAAATATTATTGGAAGGTGCATTCACTATTAAGAGTATATATTTTACAATAAAAAAATAGAGATTATAAATATAAGCATATAAAGTGGATATTGTTTGGTAAGAAGGCCTGGGGTTTTCAGAGGGATTTGAAACTTTTATAGACTAAAATGTATGATAATATGATTCACTAATTTGTGGGTTAACTCATTTTTTAAAGAAGGAAAATATAAGGGGCTATTAAGTTTTTTTTAATATATATATATATATATATATATATATATATAATTATTAAATTATCATCTTATTTTTTTTAAAAAAAATTGTAATGAAATGCTGAAAATAAGTGTAATATGATGAAACCTACCGCAGGGTAAATATGTTTTTATGATGTTTAAACTTGATCTTAGAAAAGAGTATAATCGAATTGGTTGGAAATTTCTAAAATGCACACTTTTTGGTTGTGTATGAAGAATCTGTTTCCTTTCATTTCTCAAAAGGTAGAAAGGGAAAATGGAGTCCTATTAAAATTTCTAAGAATGGGCCAGCTATTTTCATATTTTGGTTGTCGATTATCATACCTGTTGTTTGTCAAAGAAACATCTTTCTAAGTTTTAGTAGTTTCACAGGATCTTGAATTTTATTTTATTTTTTCTGTAAAGGCTCTAATCTAAAAGTTAATGCTTCTAATCTAAAAGTTAATTTAAAAAATGCCAAGTTCATAGCTTTAAAGCGAGCGTACATTTAAAAGAATGAAGTTCTTTTCAATCATTGCTATTAATTGCACCACTAATATTGATTGTTATTTAGGATTTTTTATTTTGCAAGGTAAGTGTGCTAAACATGATTTCTTTCCCATTTTTGATAAATTAAGACAGTTGACCACTTGGAAGGTTCCTTGTTGAACAGAGTTGCCAGAACTACTTTGGCAAAGTCATTCTTAACTTATCTTATGCAGAATTTTTTGTAGCCTAAAGGCATTTGTGATCAAATTGATTTCATTATGAGCATTTATTTGGACATAAGTATAAACTTATCCTAGTGTCATAAAAAGAATTTTTTTTACTGAATACAAAATTGGGATGGAGAAATATTATTTTTTGATTTATGATAAATTAATAAATATTAAGATTATATTAAAAAATATATTTATTTATTTTATTAATATATTAAGTTTTATAATCTTCAATACATAATTGTTATATACGATTTTTTTACTATATGTCCTTAGATATATACTCTTTTTACGTTTTTTTTACGAATACTAATCTCATTTTTTAGAGTTCGGGATAAAATACTAAATATGATAAAATTTTATTGAAAAAGAAAGTCTTCATCACATTAACAAATTAAAAGTATAATAAATGTAATAATTTTAGTTATTATTATTATTTTATGTTAAACTCAATTCTAATGACTAAAATTAATAAAAAAATTATTTATAAAAAATAAATAAATCAATCATTAAAATTAATAAAATTTAATTAGATGTTATACATTTATATTATATTAAAAAATTACTTATAATATTAAATATTTAAATTTATAACTTATGTATCAGATGAATAAATATATATTTATATAAATAATATATAAATAGTTTATTAATATAACTATTTTAATAAATAAAAATATATTACTAAATTTTAAATTCAAGACTATAATTTTAGTTATAATAACTTTTACATTTACGTGTTCGGTAGTTTAGATTAGAATTTATTTATCTATTTATTAATATTTAAATAATTAATAATATTATTTAATATTATAAATATTTTAAATATGATATAAATTTATGACATAAATTATTTTTATTAATTTTGATAAATAAATAAATTATTTATTATAAATCAGTATCTTTAATCATTATTACAAAACACATTATAGAAATTTAATAAAAATAAATCCTAACTAGTTTCAGTTTAAAATATTATTAATCCATATCTCTCATAATTTTTGATACAGTCGGTTATAGTTTAAATAATAATTTTTACATTCAATTTCTTCGTCAGTGGGCTAACAATACTCCCAAAAGTATTTTTTTTTTATCAAAGTTAAAACAACCGATTTAATAAAGATCACGTATATCACGTGACACATCAGTTCCTTTTGTTAGTTTGTAATGAATATGAGGAAAACGGTTGTTGATGGAGATGAACCCTAACCCTAGAATCAAAGTCTCAAGGCCACACCCCATACCTAGAATTTCAAGAGGGAATAAAATCTGATATTTAAGAGCATGAATATGCATAGTCCTCTGCAGTTCACAAATTTTTTATTATGGCCTTTTCAATTCCTCAACCGTTGGTGTTCGTGGCTTTTGTGTTTCTTTAAGACATCTCAAAGGGTCGTGTAATGGCCGGTCCGTTGCATGTCATTTCCAAATGACAACGAAGACATCACCTAACTCGAAAATATAATCGATTTTCGTCGCGTGGAATGGGAGCGCGAGGATCGCCGGAATCTAAGGATATCGCTCAAGACCTTCTTCTGCAATGTTGATTTAAGTTATACTAATCATTTCACTATTAATTACCTTAATGAAAAACAATATTAGACCTCTCTTTCAGTAAAAGAATGTGTTTAGCAACTAAAAACTCTGATTTAGTGCATTAATATTTGAAGATATAATAGCTGGTCCATTGGGTTCGGATCCGTGTCGTAGATATTGTCCTGGTAATGCCTACGTGGGAATCATTAGTATATTGTGGGGGGTTTTTTCACATCATACATAGCATGTTCTGTATTGTCTCCTTTTTCTACAACCAACCTTAATATATTATGTACAAAAAGTTCATACTTCAAACTTTTTAAAGATTCTCCGCATTCTTAAACTATATTAAATTAATCTGAGTTGAATCGATTAAATTTGTTAAAGAAAATAAAACTCTGGTTATGTTTACTCTTATTTACAAACTCAAATTCCAAATTAAGGATAATGGATTAATAGACCAGTTAAACTTGATACTCTGTGAGTGTTTGAAAATACATTGAAAAATATATAAATATGGATTCAACCTTAAAGTTATAACTAGGAGGGTTGAAATAAATTTAAATACACACTTTATACTAGAGTTGAAATATTTTATTCATATTATTGGTTGCAAAATTCTATTTATATCTAATACTTTAAATATTTATTACTATTAATTGCTTTGGATTTAATTAACATATCAAAGGATAAACTTTATTCAGGGAAGCAGAAATTTCTTAATGCATGACTTTACATCCATGCTTTACCTTTCCCTGCAGAAGTTTGCATTGTTTTCATTTTTTATCACATCCGAAAATAACAAATACAGTTATTTGTTAATTGAATACTATTGTCCGATTTTAGTTAATGTGGCATTTGTATCTTTTGGGTGTTGTTAGCCGTTGTGTGTAGTGAGTATTGTGTATATGTGGAATGTGGTAATCCTGATAAGCCTACACGATATGACTTGTCAGATATTGCAGTTCTAAGACGTGTTAAACAAAATTAATCAGAAATTAATAGATCATTGATTATAGGAAAATGCTAATCAATATCTCTAAGCGATTAAGTAATCAAAAGTAGAAATGTTTTGTTAGAGTGCAAAAATACACTTATTTCCATGTTTTTTTAATCCATTCTATACAACGTAAGAGAATATATATATATTGAAATTTATAATATTTACTATATTAATACATTTAATTTTGTATTTTTTTATTAAAAAAGTACTATATATAATAATTTCTTATACACCGTGATGTTGCAAAAGTTAAGATATATTAAACAGTGATCCTTCATCTTGATCTTGCACTCAGGAAACAGTGAACTGGGTCCATGGTTGCTGCTATGTCGGCCTTTAAAGTACTTAAAGAATGTAAGACTCATCCCCACGATGTGGCCGCCCAATATGAACCAATTCTTGTTTATTTCCTGACAGAATTCTTTCTACTTATTAGTATATTCAGACTGCTTCGTTTGCACAACATGAAAAACATGTACAATGTAGCTCTTTTAAGTTCAAACTATCACTATACTATTAACTAAGAGACTTGTCATTCTCAGTTTGTCACCTCTCAATGATTATTATACTTAGACATTCCGTTGCCCTTTTGATGACAGTTTCACAAGTCTGACTCTAAGGTGTCTAAATTATTCTAAATTATCATGGCATGAAATTTGGTTTCCCTATGAGTTGTCATTTGCCTGGTTTTGGCCCCACGGTGGACTCCTGAGTTTAGTTACAGAGAATTAGGACCTACCCATGACAATGATTACAAATTAAAAAGAATGTTATTTACAAATGAAGTCAAACCTCATATTAACATTTTTTCCCTGGGACTGAGTATAAATATGTCTCTAGGTTTTGCTGAAGATAAACAAGTAAGTACCATTTAGATTCTGTTTGTAGTGGTATTAGACCAAAGAATAGCCTTTTTTTTGCCTTAGACTTCTAAAATTGCAGAATAGAATGGAAACTCTTGGAGCCTTCCCTGATGAAGAATGGGAATGCTATGGCAGAATGTTTGCCATTGAAAACCATTATGACTTGCCACAATTACTTGGTCAAAGCTCACTATTGCTCGGGGAAGATGATGGGAACAGTGGAATGCAATTTTGCTCCACTCATGAAGCTGGGGGAATTAAGAGCATGTTTTACTCTCTTGATTCTCACAACTCTAATTTTCAGTATTTATCTCAAGAAGGTAGTCACGGGAGGAATTGTAGTGATCATACTCTCTTTGTGGCCAATCCGGGTCATACAAATTACTGTTTTGATTACCCGGATAATGTGCTAGCAAATACAAATACATCTATTGGTTTTTGCATGATGGATAAGAAAAGGCCAGGCTCATTTGTAGAATTACACACTGACGTCGTAATGAAAGAGAATGTCAACTTAAATGAAGAAGAGAAAAGTGACAGATCAAAGAATTATGATCAGACTCAAGTCAAGCCTAATGTTTTTCCCACCAAGCTATCGAAGCACAAAAGGATGCTTGATGTGCCAGAATTGGTAGAAGATAAAACAAACTCATGCGGGAATAGTAAGAAAAAACCTTGCATTTCGAAAGAGGTAAGCTTTGTCTATAATCTATATGATCTTAAATTCTATTAATTTGACAATAGAGCTGGGAGTTTGTGACAATTTGTGTGTGGTTTCTAAATTCAGGTGCAAAGATGCATGAAGACTGCACGGTCCATGAAGAACCAGAAGCTTGATAGAAAAGGGAACGAGGCAGAAGAGACTAATGTAGGTTCAGATGGATATAGCTCTAGTAGCTATGCTTCGGAGGAGGATAACACTTCTCAAGAAAATAGTGTAGGAGCTACTTCGGCATCTAAATCATCACCTACTGTTATAAACTTAAATGGTAAGAGAAGAGCCAGCAGGGGAACAGCAACAGATCCTCAGAGCCTTTATGCAAGGGTAATCAATTGCTTTGAGAAGAAAATGTCTTCTTCATTATGTGGTTGCACTGTATGTTATACTATGTATTGGGTACTTAAATGTCCTTTTTAATCTTGCAGAAAAGAAGAGAGCGAATCAATGAGAGACTAAAAATTCTACAAAATCTTGTACCCAATGGAACAAAGGTAATATATTTTTTGCGTAACTGCTTTCATTTTCACGGGGGTTGGTGAGTGAGGGATTATACCAACTGTATTGGAGATGTATCGAGAGATTTAATATACGTGATCATGCAGGTTGATATAAGCACAATGCTTGAAGAGGCAGTTCATTACGTGAAATTTTTGCAGCTTCAGATCAAGGTACTAACAGGAGACATGGATCGCATGAACATTTGTCTCATTACTTTCTCAAAGATCAACATCTATTATACAATCAAATAACCTTTTTTTTTATTCTGTTGTAGCTTCTAAGCTCTGATGATTTATGGATGTACGCTCCGATTGCTTATAATGGACTTGACATTGGACTCAATCTAAGCCGGAAGATTTCTCCACCTCTATGAGCTTTTAATGTAAATCCTTGTATGAGACTTTTTTTGGAGTGATGTTTAATTTAAAATTTCAACTCATTTGCAGAATATAATGTATAATCTCATGATTTGGAATCCTACCCATTTTTATAGGATTTGTAAATTATTTAGATTCAAAAGAATCGTTGTTATTCTAAGGTTGAATGTTCCAAACAGAGGGTATAAATTGCCTAATCTCTCTATATTGCATTTTAGCATGAATATAATTTTCAGGTTAAGATATTTTCTATTTCTAGATGGTTCATTAAGAGAAAAAAAGACATGTATCTGTTAATCTTACAAAATGTGTCAATGAAATCAATTAGTTGAAGCATGTATAAATTGAGCTTTCTCCCAAAGTATAAATAGCTGGAGAAAAAAAAACAGATTTAGAAAAACAACATATAAATAGCTAGAAGGGAAAAAGCTTTCTCCCAACTTGTGATATATGATTTTTCAAATAAAGGTGAGATTGAACCATGTTTTTTCTAACCTAGCATTTGGACAATACCTTTGTTTGCATGTGAGAAAAAACAGAAAAAAGAAAGAAATTAAAGAAAAAAGAGAATAAGAGGGAAAAAAAAAATAGATATAAGAAAAAACATGAAGAGAAAGGGAAAGTAAGTTTTGTTCTATACTTAATCTGATTGGATAGGAAACAAATGAAAAGAAACACATGTAATTATGTTAAATGATATTTTTGATCTTATAATAAAACAATATTAAAGTGAGTGCTTTGATCATTTAAATAAAACTTCTCGTCTTCTCCCTCTTTTTCTTTTCAAAGTAAATGTATTTTATTTTGACATGAATTTTACATTATTTAATTTATTTTTCTCAATCCTTTTTTATCTTTTAATTAAAAGTTATATTTAAAATTTATATTCTCTTTTATTTTATTTTCTTTCTCCCTAAATTCTCTTATTCAAAATTTTGTGTAAAAGTAAGGAATAAAAATAAAAATAAATACTTATTTTTTTATAATAAAGTTAAAAATGATTCAAGTTTAGGTGTGGAAGTCTTTTTAACTCAGTGTTTACTATGGTACTTAAAATTTTGAAAGAGCATTATATATTTTATCTGAATTGATGTTTTAATTATTCCTCTTCTTAAATTGATGTTACGATTATTCCTTTCCATTAAAATTTTTTCTCATCATCAAATTCAAATTTGACTTTTTGCTATAATTTGATAAGAAATAATAATTATATTCATTTTTTGTATTTTTTTTATACTTTTCTCTTTCTCTTTTTATTTGTATTATTATTCACATATTTTGTTATAAAAACTAGTATACACACAATTTTATTTTAAGTTAAAAAAAGTTACAAATAAATAGATTTTATAAAATTAAATATACTAATAATGATAAATCATATAAATTTTAATAATTTTTTTATCATATACTTTTAAATACATGTTAAAAAAATTATTTTACAAAACTTTACCCAACTAATCTCACCTTTGAAAAAAAAAAAGATACCAATTTTAGTTTCTCAAATTATAAATGTTTATAATTTTAATTCTTAACTGTATAAATATTTTATTTTAAATTAATTAATTTCATTAAAATAAATATTATTTTATAAAATGAGAAATTAAAGAAAAATTTTGTAAAATCAAAATTAAAATGAAAAATGCTTGAAATGTGAGAAGATAAATTCTTTAGTATTCTAGAAAATAAGAGAGTATTTTATACTCTTATATATGTAAAATAATCATAACTATTAATTTTAATAATAAAATAAATAATATACTTAAAAAAATTTAAATATTATTTTCATATATTAGTATAATTTTAACAAATTATTCAATACAACAAGTGAGAAACTATAATAATAATTTACGGGTAAGTTAAAAGGTTATTACTACCCTGTTCTCGATTTGGAAGCCCCTGTGACCCTGTGAGTGTGTTGTGCATTTCAATCGAGGAGTTGTCTACTCCAAACTTCACCAACTCAGTATCGCAAGAGACTGATACAAATGTCCAATCGATCTGGTCAAGGTAGGCAAGACAACAATAACAAGGGTTTCCCAAAACCCCACAAAAAATTCGTCCCTAAAAATCCCAATCAAACCCCAACCCTCTCTACCTCTCTTAGAGAAAGACAACAATCTGCTTCTGCTTCTGTTAGCACTACCAACAGAGGCTATGGAAATTTCGTTAAATACTTGCCACAAGACGAGGCTGTGGCTGCTGGTCTCGGCGCCGAGGATGGAGGATTGGATCCTCTTGAATCTCAGACAGTTGTCGATCTCTTGAATTCACACTTATCTCGCCTCCTCAAACTCAAACCCAAGGAATTCTGGAAACAAGGTACTTCCGATCTTCTCTAATTAATTTTTTGAATCCTTTCCATTGCTTCATCATGATATTCAACCATCTCTTTCAGTTATTTGGCGTGTTAATTTTATGTTCAATAGCCAAGCCTTTATTGTTGCTTAAAGTCTGTGTATAGTGTACTGCTGTGTTTGGAATGTTTGGTGGCTTCACATTTTGTTGTTTGTGTTTGCAGTGGCCACTGATACCTCTCTGCATGAATTTCTGGATAGCTTCTTACAGTTTAGGAGCAGGTGGTATGATTTCCCTCATCGTGGGGTTAAAGGGATTGTTGCAGGTGTTATTGTTGGAGAGCGCGATTTGAGTCGCCGCGTTTTCATGCTGTTGTATCGCATGTAAGTTTCTGATGATTGGAATACTCTGATTTCAAAATGCTCTGGTTTTTAATGCACTTGTCTTTCAGGTCTTCCAATAAAGACCCTGGTGCTCGGCCTGCCGATACACTCAGTTTGAGAGACCATGGAGGTGGGATCTCCCTCATCCTTTTCTTGGATATGGATAAGGAATAAAATTTTGTTGAGCTTACAAATCATGGTTTTTGTTTGACTCAACACTACGTATTTTGTTGTTTTTTCTTACTTCTTACCTGCAAATGCGTTACAGACTGTCCGATGCATGCACGTGTGGGCTTCATATGTCCATCTTTGTACACACAGGCATTGGACGTTCATCGGAACTAAGTTTTTCTACATGTTCTGTAACGTTATGGATATGTAAGAACTAATTGGCTTGTAGTCAATAAAACGTATCAGTCACCGGTAAAGGTGGTTATTGATTTTTGAAAAATGTGTCTGTGTGGCTTGCTTGCTTTCTTGGTATAATAATAAAAGATCACACATTTATTGATGTAACCTTTGGGAAAATGATTTCCAACAACGGATTTATGCTTGACAATTACCTCATATTTTGTATTATGTGTTGTTATTCACTGTTGTTCACTAATTTTGCCTGTAGTTCTTTTGCAGGAGAAGAAGTTGCTTGAATTGCCAAAATTGTTAGACATATGTGCCATATACTATCATGAAAATGAAGAACTAACAAGATCACTGGTAAGAATGTTTAATCAATAAGTTAGTATCCCTTAATTGCTGTGTGTACCAAGTACCAACAAACACTTTTATATTGCTTTAGGCATCGTTAGTTTCAATAATGTAGCTTCTAAGAAGAAGCATTATCTAGGAAGTGAAGGATATTCCTTGACAATTTTATATGTTCAGATTAGAGAACACCTTTATATTAATTTTCCCTACCCCATCAATAGCATGCTATAGTGGCAGAGCAGTGTGCAGTGGCCAGAGCATTTTTGTGTTGCAGGAGTTGTGGCCACAAATAGCATCCACCATCCCCTAAAATCACAGCCATCTCAGCTGCTATGGTTGAAAGAGGGAAAGTCCCCTCTTTACCCTTGTTTTTATTTGAGGATAAACTTATGTTCTGGGATGTCAGTCTTTATTTGAAACATTAGGTTTAGGACATGAGGTTTACTCTGTTTCTCTCACAAGAAAATGAGAAGGACCAAACTGCAGGTCTCTGCTTCTCTTATATATGCTCATGAGCTCGAGCCCGATCTCCAGCATTTTCCAAATCCATTACCCCCACTGGTTGCCAGCATCCCCTGCTACCCCACCTCAGCCAACTACACTTTACTCAGTCTACTATTCTCCATTCCCAAAATCTATAACAACTAATAATCCTTTGGGCTTTATTTTTTTGGGGGGAGCGGGGAGAGGGGAGGAAAGGGAAGGGGAAGGCTTATGTAATGTTTATTCATGTTTGGGAATATTTAGATGAGAGAAGGGAGGGTTTATAAACCCCTCCAAAAGCCTCATAATCCATATTTGTAGGTTCCCCCAATTTGGGGAGTTTTGTATTAAACTCCCTTCCTCCTCCTTTATCTTTCAAACCCTTTCCTTCTCTCTCCCCCAAACAAAGCCTTAAGCAACAAGTTAGATTCTATTTTTGCTATTTTACCACATCTGTCTTTGATGCAAGTTTGTATCTTTGTTTTAGTTTCACAAAAATTAGATGATGTTCATTAAGATGTTTTAAATCGGGGAAGCTTCCTTGTTGATTGTGAAATGGGATACGTGAGAGTATTTGATGTTCTCTCTTCTGCTTTCTTATGAATTATATCAGCCTGCTTTATTCTGTTGCTCTCTCTGTTTCATTTTACTCTTCATCTTTGTGAATTTTTCAGTTTACTAGAGTTGTACTTTCTTAAGAAGGTCTTGTTACTATATTGGTCAAAAAAATATAGAAGAATGTTAATCCAGTTTTATAACACTCTGCATTTCACCCATATTCATTTTATGTTCATATAGCCATCTCAATCTAAGTGGTTTACTGGTTGTTTTATGTAAAACTTTGTTGTGGGTTGAAGTGCTTCCTTCTGTGCATTTAACTTGCCTGCCTTGCTTTTCTCTCTTTCTCATGTCTCAGGTTGGAAATTCTTTGGATGCTCAGCCTTGGATCCATAATAGTCTGACTTCAGTAATATCCCATTTTCTAGGAATTGTCAACACAATGCATGAACGTTGTAGTTCATCATTGGAGGTATTCTTGTAATTTGACTAACTGTAAATGTGATATATCATAAATTTAATTATATTCTCAGTTCTCTTCTGCTTTGAGTTTTTATACTGTCTTTTGGTTAATTAGTTAAGTTAGTTTGAGAATATTAATTTAGTTTATTCTTGTTATCACTAGCATATATTATATCATGAATCATATTATTTGGTAAATTGTGAAGTTTAATTTTGAAGTCCAACAAACAAACAATAACGTTACAAGACTTGTGAAAAGTTACTTTATCAATATTTCAATCCTTTTCTTTTATTTGTTTAGGTGCTGTTATTTTAATATTATTTGCAGAATAATGGAAATGAAATGTATTTTTCATATTTGTATGTTTGTGATACAATTCATAAGGATATTAAAATAGAGAGGCCAACCACAATTTCTTTTTTTGGCGTTCAGTTGGAAGAATAGTCAGCTCTTATTTATTTATACTATGCAAGATAGATTCATGTTTTCATTGTTAAAATTTAGACTATCAACACAAGTTTGATGCACAAAGAAAGGGAAGGAAAAGGAAATCAGAACTGTGGCAGATAGTATTTTTACTTAACAAGAGTTCTGTCAGCTATTGTTCTAAGTTCTGTTAGGTGATATGCGTTCAGTTAAGAGAAACTTGTTTATAAAAATATGCATAGATCACTGTTTCTGTATTGTTTGCATGTATGTACAGAATATATATCTTTTGGTCTTCAAATTTAAATTATCAATTTTTCTTTTTGTTAGAATAATATTTTATCTAAGAATGACTCCTGTTCACTTTTCTTTTTTGTTCCCTTTGAACATCCTAGAGACCTATAATGTGCCTGATGACCTTATTTCTCTCCTTTCCATAAATTATATGATTTATTCAAAATGAATTAATGCATAGAAATTCTGTTCAGAAAATTATTTATAATTGATTGAATGTCTAAATCTTAATAGAAAATTTATGTACATAATGGTAGTATAAAGGAAAAAATTGCTATGAAAAGTGATAACTTTACCTTTTTGGGATTATGTACAGGTTTTATTTTCTTCTGGAAATCCCGATAATCATAGTGCTGCTTTTCTTCAAGCTGATCTGCTGGAGGTGAGTTGCTTTATTAGTTTATTGTTTTCCCCCTCTTTGAAAATGAGTTGTAAGTTGTAACCAATCTTCTTTTATGGGGTGATAAAAGCAGATATGAAAATGTTAAAATTTTGCATCTAGAAGTTTGTGACTTGCTACAGCCTGGGATAACTGAGTGGCTTAGTTCCACAAAGAAAGTTGAATGAATTAACATTCCCCGTAGCTAATGATCCATTTATTGGAAAAGTATCAAGAGGGAACACTAGAGAACATCTGCTATTCAGCAATTGAGTGCAGCTTTATCTAGATTCTAGAATGACCACCCATTGTTTTCCAACCAGATGCTCCCCATTATATAGCTGGGCACTACTCTCAGCCATTTGTTAACCTTGACTTGCATGTGGAGTTACTGTTACTCCAGCCAATCTCAGACACAGCTCAGGCATAATCCAGCTAAGCCTAGGCATTATACATGAATAGCTACAGAAAACTTTGAATGTAGTGTTGACAGCATATCAATTATTGATAATATTTTCCCTATCTCATATAAAACCCTGTTTTGACACGCTGAGATTTTTTGTAGACAATTACTGCCCATACTTCAATGCTATTGAAGTAGAATTTGGTTGTAGCAAATGGCAAGCCAGGGAAATGTGTATTGGCTCTGCCATAATTTCTTGGAAACATGTAGCATTTAGTTTATTCACATTGAAAAATGTTGAGCCACGATTTATCTTGTTCTTTGACATATGAAACATTTTATGGATACCATCTGTTTTTGTGACAGGTGATGGACTTCATAAATGATGCAATTGTATCGATGGATGCTTTTGTTAGTGCATACAAACCAGCAGCTATTTTCTTCTCTTGTCCAGTTGAAATGAGGTATCTTTTTCCACTGAATCTTAGTGTTCTGTGCTGAGTAAAGGCTGAGTGCAATAAATGTCCATGGTAAATAAGACTTGTCAAACATTCCATTTAGGCTATCATGCATTAAATATTTGTGTTGACTAATATATCAAAATAGAATCTGTGATTAAGCTTGACTACTGTAAGTTTTTCTTGAAAGATTTGATGTTTTTTCGTTCTGTATAATAGTTATGGGAATGAAGAACTGCTGAGCCTCCTTGCCAGATTATATGATTCACTAATTCCATCCTTGCATAAGGGATTCTGTGTCATTCTTGCTGACAAACAAGATGGAACAGTGTCTAATATCTTAGTAAGTTTGAAGATGTTAAGAATGAGATTGGTGAAGTTAGGATGGCAATTATTGCACTTGTGCTATCTAAGTGATGAAGTGTTCAAAGATGGGATCCCTTTTCCAGCTGCCACAAAAATGTTTCCTGCCAATGTAGAGGACCCCGTCATCAGAGCAGATATTCTGGTTCAAACATTTAGAGAGATCGATTCAATATCATTACATATTCTGGAAAGGCATCAGAAGGAAACATTTCTTCAAGCTGTTGAAAGAAATTTCAATATACTAAGCAAGATTGAAAGATTAAAGCATAATGGTAATGATCTTATATGTACAGTAGTATGAATCACTTGCATGTTTGTTGCATAAATTGCACGGCTTAGTGTGGTTTTTGGAAAAAAGCTTGATCCAGCAAAGTTTTTTAGACGGCTAAACCATCTTTCCCCATTTAGATATAAGGTGGAATCAGCTCTCTCTGATCCTTCATAATTGTGTTTTTAAAAATTACATTTTTTAAATTGCATTTAGCATATGCTTACTCTCCTTTTTCTAATCCGGTTGTTCTGATGCAGGATGGGTATTTGTTGATGAGGAGCAGTTTCAATATATAAATGGGATTTTGTGTTCTCCACAAGAGATTTATAAGGTGCCATATTCTGCAATAACCCCTGTGCCGAACAAAACATTGCAGATGGATGAAGATGCTGCAATTTCTGAGTCAAAAATCAGTCAAATTAGGGACCTGTTCCCTGATTATGGTAAAGGGTTTTTAGCTGCGTGTCTTGATGTTTATGATCAGAATCCTGAAGAGGTTATTCAAAGAATTTTAGAGGGAACCCTTCATGAAGATCTGCAGCGCCTGGACACTTCACTAGAGACAGTGCCACTAGCCAAGTCTACCTCTGTGGGGAGGAATGACAAAGGAAAAGGCAAATTAATTGATTCTACATCACCATCCTCAAATACAGAAGTTGTTATTGGTAAGCAACAGACAGAGGGACCGCCTATGTCATCCTCTGCTTCACTAGGAAAATTTGTGAGGAAAACTAAAGCTGATTTGCCGGATCTCAGTATTCTGGATAAGAAGGGCGAGAAAGATATATCAAAAACTGCTTTGCTTTTACAATATGAATATGAAGATGAGTATGATGACTCATTTGATGACTTGGGTCTAAGCGTAGCAGACTCTGGAGTAGAAGAAAATGAGATATTGCGTGATGAAATAAATGCAAAGTTTGGGAGTTCGTGGGCAACTGAGGCTGGAAACTCGGGCCAAAATGCCCATGCCACTAATTCAAAATGGGGTTCAAGGAAAAAGCCACAGTACTATGTCAAGGATGGTAAGAATTACAGCTACAAAGTGACTGGTGCAATTGCAGTGGCAAACTCTGATGAAGCTTCCCTAATTACTCAAGCTCAGAAAGAATTAATACATGGCCTGGGACGTGGTGGCAACCTTCCTCTCGGTGCGGTAAAGAAGTTGACAGATTCCTACAACGAGGATGATAACCAATTCCAGGTTACTGAAACAGAAGGGAGAGGAATTTCGGGTAATTCTAGAGGCAGGGGAAGGAAGGAATGGGGTAAACAAATTTCACCTCAGCAGCAGCAGCAGGAGAAACAATCTGATGATGCTGAGGGGGGTGGGAAGGAGCATATCTCAAATCATAGGGGAAGAGGGAGAGGGAGAGGGAGGGGAGGAGGCAGAAATTATTACCAGAAGGACCGAGCCATGAAGAAGCATTTCTCTGGACTCGGTGGTTATTAAGCACATGCAAATCAACACACATATCTCACTTGCCAATATACCACCCTTCGGCATCTGTTCAGTGACCATTTTTGACTTGTGTCTACAAATGAAACATAATATTCTGCAGGGTTAAAGTTTAATGAGGTGCGTGGTGATAGTGCATAACCTCTCGTCTATTGGCATTTCTCCGCTCCTTTTGGAAACATGGTTCATCCAACTGACCGATTACAATCTACTATGGATGAGCAGAGACTTTCATGTGTGTTTTTTCCTTTTTCTTTCGGTCCTCGTGGGTTAGGAGGATTAAACTGATATATCCATACATAGTATTTATCGAATGCCCAATCAGCCCTCTTCATACCAACATTCTCTACAGTATCAAGAATAGGATAATGTCTGTAAAGGTTATTTCATTCCGGAAGTGAATTTTGTTTTGAAGGATTTGGATGTATGTTACCTTACATATTTGCTTTAATGCAGGGCGTATGAATAATTTATACAGCTACATATAAGTTACAAATACAATAATTGTGTAACGATGTTCATCTAGCATTACGCAAATTGATTTCACTTCTAATCTCAAGCCTTGATAACAACATATTCTGGGTCATCCCATTCATTTTCGCTTTTAGTGAACTATGCCTCAAAGGGATTTGCTGTCATGACATTTATTTTTACCTGTTGCTAATTTACTTTCGAACAATGAGTCACCAATTCTAAGAATTATACATGGTGAATTTGTAATTGTAAGGAATTTTGGCATCAATCTTTTAAATTAATGTAATATTATGATATATAAAGGCTTCCACTTTTAGATCCCCATCATGGGACAGCTTAAAAGAATTTTTTTTTAATAAGCTTCTCGTAAAAGAATGAAAATAGAATCTCCACCAGTGTTTGCAATAAATTATAACGGTGTAAGTTAAATAAAATATTTAGATAAAAAAGTTTTTAGATTTATATTAGTATAAATTTTTTTTTCTTATATATATTACTGTTATAAAAATAAAATTAATTTTTAATCAGAAGTTAGTTTTCTAATAATGGAATTTAAAATATCTTATATTTTTAATCACCTATAGCTTCTGGGTTATAATCTAATTAAAATAAAAATATAAATATAAAGGTGGGTTCGTTCCCAAGATTATATTTTATCTTTGGTCAACGTTCGTGCCACATTGGCCCTAGGGGCAAGTGGGCAAACCTGCTCCCTTTATAACAGCAGACCAAAGACATGGTATTTGGAACTCCGATGAAGGACTGTTCCGCAATGGATCCCAGAATTTGGAGCAAACTACCTCCTGATGTTATGGAACACATACTGTTGTTGCTCCCTCTCAAGACTTTGTTGAATCTTAGACCCACTTGCAAGGCCTTCACCTCTCTCCTCTTCTCTCCCTCCTTCATCTCCAAACACTCTTCTTCTTCACCCTTCTCTTCCTTTCTCTTACTCTCTCACCCTCAGTATCCCCATCACTTCCCTCTCTACGATTCCCAGCTTTGCTCTTGGCGGAACTTTTCTCCCTCCCTTCACTGCTCTTCTTCCTCCACTCTTCTCTCTTCCTCCGGTGGCCTCTTTTGTCTCTCCGATCCCAGTTCTTCTTCCTTTCTTGTCTGCAACCTCTTTGTTAAGTCGTCTAGAAAGATCGAATACCCAATTCCCTCTCTTCACTTGGGCCATCTCACTCTTGTTACTACCCCTGTTGGGTATAACATAGTGCTTCTTTGTTCAGAGTCAGCTTCAAATAGTGCTTTTGTTTATGACTCCAAAGTACTTTCTTGGCGTCGTTTTGAGGGTTTCAGTGCCGTTCTCAGCGACAATTATCACCAACGAGGCACTTTCTTTGATGGGGGTTTGTATTTCACCACCCCAGAACCGTTTTCTGTGGTACGTTTTGACTTGGAGAGTGGAAAGTGGGAGAGACTCGTCGGTGAATTACCAAACGAACTCACTTTTGTGAGATTGACGAGTGATGGAGAGGGTAAGTTGTATTTACTTGGTGGGGTTGGGGACAATGGAATATCAAGGAGCATCAAGTTGTGGGAAATGGGTGGAGAAGGGGATTGGGTTGAAATGCAAAGGTTGCCAGAGATGATGTGTCGAAAATTTGTGTCCGTTTGTTATCATAACTATGAGCACGTTTATTGCTTTTGGCACGATGGAATGGTATGCGTTTGCTGCTACACGTGGCCAGAGATGTTGTATTACAGTGTTTTGAGGAGAACTTGGCGTTGGCTTCCCAAGTGCCCATATTTGCCTCTTAAATGCAGCTGTGGTTTCAAGTGGTTTTCTTTTGTTCCAAAGCTTTATGCTTCGGTCTGAGTACGTTCTCTTGTTTGGTTGTATGCAGGGTTCAGTGTCGGATGCTTTGATTAGTATCATCTTGAACTCATCATATTAATAATAATGCATTGATTTTAGTTGTGTGAAAAATTTTAGAATTGAATTTTGTCTATATGGTTGGAAACACGTTCTTCTAAACTTATATTTAATACAGAAATTATGACTAACATCGTTGAATTTAAGTGTATATTTACGATCATTCAAACGTAAATTTAACAAAAACTAAGGACGCTGGATGAGTATCTGTGTAGGTGCTAGACTTCTGATCTTGCTCGAGCTTAATGCTGGCCATAAGATATCATTAACCATCTTAATTAACAGCTCCAATTGAAGTACAGACAATCCTAGCTAGCTTGATTTTCTATAGGAGATTTAAAATGCCTTTTTTATTAATCTTTTTGGAGGAATAAAGCTGGAAAAAATTTTAAAAAAATAATTATAAGAAAATCTTTAAAAGAGACATTTCAAACTTTTTAAGAGACAATTTTAATGACCAGTTATTTTTAAAAGACTGTCCTAAAGATACGTATAAATTTAAATAAAAAGTAAGGATTTATTCTTGTGTAATTTGCTACAGGTGACAAGCACTAACAATTATAATGGGGTTGGAGAAATCTAGTGGAAGTTATAATTTTACATATTATCATCATTTAAAGAAAAAAAACTAAGGGCAGTTCAATATATTTTTAAGAGTAAAAGGCCAAATTTGCCATTGCATGATTGCATCCGTCACCAGTGTGTGAGTTGACAACTTGTCGAGAGACTTAACTGATGAATGCAGTCCAGAACCACCCCACAAACGTAGGATTCACCTCTATCTATGATTCTATGCCATTTGTGCTATCTTTTAACAGGTATAGCGTTAACCCAAAAAAAAAAAAAAAAAAAAAAGACCAACAGTGAAGAGTTGACTCAAACACAACCTTATGGAAACCAAATTAGTGAACTACTTCCATGGCCCACCTCAAAGCTGATATGACATCTGGACCCCATTTCAAAGTTTTGATGTATCTGCTAACAAATTTCCTTTGTCGTCTTGCAGCGAAGACTTGGCCACCCTTAAGAGCTGCGTCTGTATTAACCTTCAAATGAGAGGATTCCACTGGAGATGTCAATCAACACTGTTTAAAACTTTAAAAATTTAATGTGAAATGAATTTATTTGTGTTCATCTTGAAGGTTAAAACTATAGTATATATTATTATGAGAAATGTTAATTGTATCGTTATTTTAATACAACTTTTACGATAATGAGCGAAAAAAAAAAGTGTGAGATGTGAAAGTGATAAAATAAAAAGAGAGGAAAAAAGAAGAAGAAGAAGAAATATGAATTATTATATGGAATAACTTCAATCCTGCTTCCCTTTCTCTCACTGGTTTGAGTCGTTTCAAAGGTTGAAAAGAAATAGATCTACGAATAATTATGTTTTAAAATTTATTTTTAAAAAATACCGTTGACATGTCGATGTCCAGTTTAAAATATAATTTAATTTTGATATTTAAATATTTAAAATTGATACTGTATTTTCCTGACGCTTATAATGATTCATAAATCGATGTAATTTAACGTAAATTGTAAAATTGAGAGAGAAAAAACACTGAAAACAAAAATTGTTAGGTTGGATAAAATTTAATTTTAATTTTAAAAATCAATTCAAGTCGATCTAAATCAAACTTAGGCGTATATATGATTCCATTTATAAAAATAACCTTTCCCTTGTACTAATATTATTACATATTTATAATATTATAATATTTATCTATTTTTATAATTTTTCTTTATTTTTTCTGATATATCTTGTCATTTTCATGTATTTATAAATTTAATAATTTTAAATTAATTTATATTTTTTGTGTTTAATTTTTTAAATAAATTTTATTTTATAAAAAATGTTTTGATTAAGGATAATTTAAAGGAAATGATAAAATAAATTATTTATAGTTTTTAAAATAAATTATTTATAGTTTTTAAAATAAATTTAAAATAAAAATATAAAAATTAAATTATTCAATCCGATATAAACCACTTTTAATTAGACTGAATTCTATTAATATTAATTTAAAAATTTATTTGAATCAATTTAAATCGAATTACAATTTTATAATTAAATTGAATAAATTCTGATTAATCTTAACTAAGTTGTAATTAATTATTTTTATCTCCCTTACATTATATGTAGAGAGAGTGAAAGATATGTATAAAGCGATAGATAGATAATCTTTTAAATAAATATATTAATTTGAACTGATCAAAAACGATTTTCCAATATATTTATGCTTTCACAGCTCAACGCAAAACTCATAAACCACTTTTTTTATAAAAAAATTAACAAATTGCAATTATGCCTTTTGTTAATAATAAACAAAATCTTGATATGCTTGTAATGAATATATATTGACACAAATAACTTTCTGAACTCATTAGTTATATATACAACTCTTAACATCACAATGACTAATTAAGTTTTGGATGTTGTGTTTTTGTAGTAAAATAAATAGAAAAATACAATAAATAAATGAAACCAATGGTCTTGGAGACTAAAATAGTGAAAATAAACCATAATTCTTAATCGGCTCAAATTTTCTAATGAATCGAAAGTCACATTACTAGCTTCCTTTGATATTTCGTATACAACTTTTCCATTTTTGTCCGAACCTTATGTTATTTCACAGTTAGATGGGTAGGTAAATTAATTACAATATTTGAATAATTAAAAGTTGATAGTATACGTGATATTATATGTAATATTTTGATTTTTTATTATTATTACTACTACTATTATATATTATAAAAATATACCCAGAAAAATAAAATAGTTAAAAGTCGTCGCTTAAAATTACAAAAACATTTATCAGAGGCAAATGCATGTGCCGTTATATCGCGAGAGTCACAAAAATTGTGCCAACTACTGCAAATTAATTTTGTGACCCTAATAATGAAGAGTTGAACTTAAAAAAAATTAAAAACGGCATAAAGGTATCAAACTTTGCGTCCATTAAGTCAAAGATAACAAAGCATTTGCATGCTAAATTAAATATTATATAAAATGTAAAGAGAAATGGTTCTTGAACATTTCAAATGATATTTTTTCGAGTATATTTTTTTTTTGTATTTTATGATATATTTTTTAGATGTGCACATGAAAAAAATAATTACATATTATATAATTTTTTTATTATTTGGATAACAAATCCAAGTCCATATATATATATACGCGCGCGCATATGTTATGCTTTTTTTTCTTGTAATATTTTTAATTACTATTTTAAAATTTTATGAAAAATATAAAGTGTATTATTTTTACTTAAAAACATATCTTAAGTTAATTTTTATCGTTAGCATTATTTTTTTAATAGATGATATGGAAATTGTTGCATGTTGTGCTTGCAATTTGTAAGCTCCTCGTAACACGTTATGACGGAAACATGTAAAGATAAAATTGAATTTAATTATTAGATTTAACTACATCATATTTAGTGATGATAATAGATCAAATGGTCTTAATTTTAAGATGTTTATGGATTAATTTATTTTTAGTGTGCTTCACTTTAAATTGTTTACTAAATAAGTTTAACTTATTTTTAGAAATGATAATTAACTTACGTTAAAAAATTAACTTATACTTAATAAATATGTTAGTTTGACGAGCTAATTTTTTCTAACCTATATATTAATTATTTAAATTTATAATTTTGATAGTAAATTGATTACATATTGAAAGTTGTACTAAATTAACAGGTTTACATTTCTTTGTCAATTTAAAATTATTTATGAAAAAATAAATTTAATTAGATTATGTTAATAATATAAATAATTTTTTATACTGTTGTCTAATTATATAATCTCACAACTATAAATTATTGAATTTTATGATTATTATTTCAAAATTTATACTTAAAATCGTTTTTAATTAATTAAAATTATTAAAAAAATTACATTAGCAGCATTTGAAATTTATACTCTGAAAAACAAGTCTTTTGTTAAAGTCTTTTGAGTCAGATTAAGTTTTTGTCATTACAAAAATTTCAAATTAAATCCATAAGTTGAGGTAAAAAGAAAATCCACAATTAACGAGAGAGCATCCGGATTCTCTGCAGCAGGGATCACAGCCATTGATTTAATATTTAACTATTTAACGGCTAAAAGTAATTGTTATAAAAACTGTTGTAGAATGCAACAAGTTATAGCTTTTAATTTTCTATAAAAACTGTTCATACGAACGATAGTAACGCATGTTAGTTCAAGAGATTAAAATTTTGATTTTAATTAAAATAGTGTTGGATTCAACTTTAACGTGCAGAAAAAGTTATAACTGTACATCTAAGTTGATTCGCTAAAGTCATTTTCCTATATTGAAAGTTTTAGGGTATATACATACACAACTTGCATGCTCAATTAATATAATGAAGAATATTTCAACGTTCTTTTGTCTTCTCCTCTCTCTCTCTCTCTCTTTTTTGTAATAATAACAAATTTGTTTGTTTTTGTGTATCAAAACTTACTTGGATTATCATCAAATTATAAACACTTTATTTTACTCATTAAATATTTAGTTTAGTTTTTAAATACTATTTTCATTAATAATTACAAAAATATTAACTTGTTTTCTGTTTTAAATTTTTTCAATTTCTATATTTTATAAAATAAACTAAAATAACATAGTTTTGCTATAATTATTAAAGATTTTTTTAAAAAAAATCATTCAGACTTCAAAACAGTATGATTCCAGTTTTTTTTTTTTTTTTGAGATTTCTTTTCTTTGAAAGACACCCAAACCCAATATTGTTGATAATGAATTGGGCGTATACGTCAAAAGAGCCCACGATTGCCGGGGCTATTAAGCTTTGTCAAATAAAAATAAAAAACATTTATAAAAACCAAACAGTCCCTTGTTTTTAACCAATAGATAATGATCATCATAACCTATCATAATTTTTTCTTATTGCGAAGAAAGTTCATTTATTATCCATTCAAACAAAAGGAAGATTCAAAGGACAGTATCAACATGGAAGGATGGAGACCTGCAAATTAACATCATCCACAACCCTCTTGCAATCACTTTCAATTTCAATTCGTTTCCAGAATTATATGGACTGTAGCAAAATTAAGAGCTCACAGAATTGCCCAAGCCTCCATCAACGCTGGAGAGTAGAAGTGTTGAATGGGAAGTGATGCACGACCAGCAGAATTATCCCTATGATCCCTGACAACTAGACCAATACCTCATCTGCGTTTCTCCTCAAACACTGCAACATCAGCGTTAATCTTCACATAGCTATATCTCAATTAATTATACGATAGACCTACTATTTTGTACAAGTTTATGTAAAGTTTTGTATTTCGCTTCTAAGTAAAGTAGTTTACGTGAGTATTTTGCTTTGCCAAATCACCTTAAAAAATGATAAAATTATTTCAACCTTTTCGTGTATTTATTTAGAAAAAATCAAAACCTTATTATATGTGATTTTTAATTTTTTTAACAAACTTTAGGGAGACATTTGTAAAAAAATTAACTTATTTCAGTAAGTTTACAGTTAAGCTTATATATGACTTTATATTTAATGAGAATTTATCAAATAAATACTTAATTAGACCTACTTATTTTATATAAAAAAAAATACATGGCAAAACGTATACACTTGTTATATATATTAAGTTAGTTATAAATTGGCATGTTCTAGACGTTTAACTCTTTAAATGAGGTCATTTTAATTAAACAAAACATAAAATTAAGAAAAATGTTTTTTTTTAATTATTATTGCTATTATTATGCGAGTGAAGCTTGCTAGAATTGACAATTATAGTGCAATTACGTTTGGTGAGGGTGGGATTTGGGTCTTGGGGACGTGTTAACCATTTTGTGTTACGAAGATACGACAGTGCTAGTATCTTGTCATCTTGATACAGCCTTCAGGGTTTTAACTGTCGGATATTGAGGTAGAAAGGATTCGAATTAGGTAAACACTGAATCTGGAAAACATTATATTATATATTATTTGGGATGTGGGAATGATAGAACTGAATTTACATTGATCCTTAATCATATATTCAGTAGAGAGTGGGCCAGCTTCACGTTCACGGTCCCTATGTCGGTCTTCATTCTTAGAGGTAATTTAAAGAATGTCACAGCCATCCCCACAATGTGGCAGTCCATGAACTGCATTTTGTTTATTTCCCAAAGGTATTCCTTCTATTTATGATGCATTCATGGAGACTTACACGTTCCTACAACTATTAAAAATAATATCGCATGATATAGCTTTCTTGAGTTCTAACTACATACAACGCTATCAGTTTGTAACCACTATTTAAGTTTAATCACTCTTGGTCCTCTCTCAATGATTAAGCTTTGACCTCTTGTTGCCCTTTTGACGACAGTATTAAGTTTTAACGAGTCTAAGGTGTTTTTAAGTTATATTATTCTAAATTATGATGGCATATACTTATGAGTTGTGTGCCTGGTGTGGTGTTGGCCACGCACAGAGGACTCTCTGATACGACCAACCCTGACAATGACTTCGAATTAAAATACGATTTACAAGAGCCAAACATTTGAAGCTGAAAGGATGCTTTATGTGCCAGAACTCAGTGCATCTGGAAGATAAAATAAACTTAACGAAAAACCTGGTGTTTTAAAATATGTAAGCTCTGTCTATATGATCTTAGCCTATTGTTTCTCTGTTTCTTTTGTTGTATTTCATACTATGAATGTGGAATTTTTTGTCCGTGTTGAATGTTCAGAAAAGAAAAGAGAATAAATGAGATTAGTAATTCTACAGAATATTGTTCCTAGCGGGACAAAGATAATATATTTTTTAAGGTAGCTAACTAGGTTTTGAAAAAAAAACTTTTGTAGCTTTCAAGCTCTGATGATTTGTGGACTTGACATGGTACTCAAATCTCATTCGGAAGAGTTCTCCACCTGTGTGAGGTTAGAGTGTCCCGTGGATAAACACAAAACAACAAAAGGATATTATAATGTTTAGTTGTTTCCACGAGACTAAAAGCATTCACTCCATGTGGCGTACAATGATTGCTTTTATCCAACTAATTACCCACTTGTGAACCAGACAGTTAGGCTAGTACATTAGAAGGTGTAACCCTCTAATGTGATTGTACTGTAAATTGTTTTTTCTCGTTCCCAGTTATAAAAACCTGGGTTGGGCATATGCCTATTCTAAATATGGTGAAATTCGCAATGGAATTTAACTGGTTGTACACAGCGTTTTGGATTCCCATAAAAAAAAACTTCATAATTCTGAATTTATCGTAAAAGCTATAACTAATAATAATGTTCAAATAAATGTTATTTTTCCACAAAAATAAATGTTTATATTCAAATTCCAATGTGCGAACTTGTGGTTGGTTTGTATTTGATTGCATTCGTGAGCGAAACTACTGAAATGGAAACGGGGCATTAGCGGCCACAAGAATGGATCTTTGGGTTGGGACCTAACCGGATTTTGCGCTCACATGTTGAAGTTTGAGCCAATCCAATTACCATTGGTTGCGGTCATCGTAAGGCTTGAACCTGAATGGTCAGTTCAGTTGCCGTTCGTGAATCTACGTTTTACTTTAGTCTTTAGCAGTCAGCACAGACATCACAATTCACGAGTGTTTGACTCTGTTTTGACTTTCACTACAAAGAAACGACCCCTTTAATTTTATTCGAATTTGAATTTTTTTTTATTTAAAAAAGTCGATACGAATTTGGAATGTAGTTACCTATCTCGCCCGCAAATTTATCTTGTAAGAAAAATGTTTGTGGGATTTATTCTCACACTTCATTTTTTAGATTAATTAAACTATAAATAATTATAATAATTCTTAAATAACTTAAATTATAATAATAACTGAACGATAAAGTTACATTTTATTAAAAACATAATTTAAGTAATTTATAAATAAAATAAAGTTAAAAATTTTAATTTATGTCTCCTTCAAACCCATCATGTCCTTATTAAAAGCAAGGATGGATCATTGGAGAGGCTAAACAAAAAGGCAAGCCGTTTACTTATTTTTGACCAAAAGGAAAAGGGGAAAAGCGATTTCCTTTATTTTTTGGCGTACGAAAAAGCGATTTTCTTTAGTCTTACGGCTACTCTGATTATTCTTGCCTATTCACTACTCAGTGGTGCATTTAGAAATAAGAGAAATTTGAATCCTCATAATAAACCTACTTAATAATATTTGTAGATTAAATTAAAATTTTAATCCCTACACCTAGTAACTTTTAAATTTTAATCTTTATAAAAATTATATTTAAATGTTTACATAACAAAATATCGTTTGTCGCCACGATATTAAATGTAATTTTTATACATATTAATATTTTTTATTATAATCTTTGTATGAAACAAAATTATACTTTATTTTAATCCCTACATAAATATTGAAAAAAAAAACATACATTATAATCCATGCATCAAACAATGTTTTTCAATTTAGTTCTGATTGAAAAAACACGACATAGCTAATTTTTTTTATCTCTATGAAAATTGCAATTTGTTATTTCACTTATTAATTTCTAAATAAATAATCTGTAGTTTATTATATTTGTCAAATGGTCCCCTTATGGATATTATCTCTATGAAAAAATGCATGATTAACATTTGTGGATATAAAAAGAGGAAGAGAAGGCGAAACAAAGTTGATGATCACCGGCCTCGGGCGTGGCCTGACCTGTACTGATTCCCATGATTGATGAAAGCATGTGGGGGCGACCCAACAAAACATTTAACTATTAAAACAAAATGTCCCGGGAGTTAGTTAGCACTTAGCGTGCATCACATCACTGACCCATACACTGCACAAGGTACAAGGAATGATAAAAACCTATAACTACCAACACCAAAGCTCCATTCACAGTCAAAACCCAAGAGAAATGAAAAACTCTTCATCCACTACTGCCAATAACCATAACCATGCCTTCCGCTTCTACGCACGCCTTTAAAGAGACCTCTCGCACGTGCTGCTCTTTTTCCGGCTGTGATACGGTACGGTCCAACATTCAATATCCGCACGTGTCAACCAACCTCCACTCCCATATATTTGGCACCTAATTCTCTTCTCTTTCCTTCCTCTTCTTTTCTCTCCAATCTATTGTTACCGTTACAGTCAGGGCCATGGAAACAGATATTCCGCCAAACTACTCCTACATGGTGCAAACTATCAACGACAATTCCTCTTCCGCTTTCAGCGACTGCAACAGTGACAGATCCTGTGAATTCCCCACCGCATCTTCCCAAAGCCGACGCCTCCTAATCGCTTGCGCTTCCGAGAATTCCGACGAGTTCATTCGTCAGCTCGTTCTCAATCTCGACTCCTGTTCCATTGAAGAACAGAAACAAGCCACCATGGAAATCAGGTTACTCGCCAAGAACAAGCCAGATAACCGCCTCAAAATCGCCAAAGCCGGCGCTATTAGCCCCATGGTTTCGCTCATTTCATCACCGGACCCTCAGCTGCAAGAGTACGTGGTTACCGCGATTCTGAATCTCTCGCTCTGCGACGAGAACAAAGACCTCATCACTTCGTTGGGAGCGATTAAGCCTCTGGTGGGAGCGCTCAAGAGAGGGACTCCAACGGCGAGAGAGAACGCAGCCTGCGCGTTGCTTCGTCTGGCGCAGAAGGAGGAGAACAAGGTGGCGATAGGAAGGGCGGGGGCGATTCCAGCGCTGGTGAATCTTCTAGAAGGAGGAGCATTCCGCGGGAAGAAAGACGCGTCGACGGCGCTGTACGCGCTATGTTCGGTGAGGGAGAACAAGGTGAGGGCAGTGAGAGCGGGGATTATGAAGGTGTTGGTGGAGCTGATGGCGGATTTGGCGTCGAACATGGTGGATAAGGCGGCGTGCGTGTTGAGCGTGCTGGTGTCGGTGGGGGAAGCGAGGAGGTCGTTGGTGGCAGAAGGAGGGATTCCGGTGTTGGTGGAAATTGTGGAGGTGGGGTCTCAGAGGCAGAAAGAAATCGCGGTGGTTATCTTGTTGCAGATTTGCGAGGACAGTGTGGCGTACCGTACTATGGTGTGCCACGAAGGTGCGATTCCTCCCTTGGTTGCTCTGTCTCAGTCCGGCACCAAACGCGCCAAGCAAAAGGTCAGTGACTTTGACTCATTCTCACTGACGTGGCACTGTGTTTTTAGTTCCTAACTCAGTGATGCATGCCGTGTTCGGTGGAAACTTTGCAAGAACTTCTATTGCCACCTCTGCTCCTCTTCTTTATTCAACTGCAACGCCTAAAAATGGCCAATTATTCATACTGCGTTATTCCTATTTAGCGGTATTTTCACTTTCAGAACGATTTGGATGACTGCATCTAAGCTAACACAGTACCTTGCCCCCACGTGTAGTCTCTAGTTACACACCAATGATTGAATTTTGTGATTTTTTTTTTCTTGCGGTTAGTGTTAGTTGTTTTTAGAAGAATAATTTCAAATCATTCTCCAGAAATTTATTATTAATCCTTTCGAGAATATATTAATTTTTTAAAATATATTTGATGCATTGATATTTTCTTATATTTTTGTAAATAGAATTTAATTTTGATGCATTATTAATATAATAATTATTACACTATTAACTGAATTTAATTAATAATTTTATAAATATTTTACTAATATACTGTATATCTTTATGGTATTAATTAAAACTTTAATAAATCCCATCCTATTAATTATCGTGACAATTTTAGGTAATTGTATTAACACAACTAATAAAGAAAGATGGGTTCGAGAATATTATCATTTTATTTTTAATAATTTGAATGCGTGTCTGATGGCGGAGGAAGAGCTTATTTTTCTTTTGGGTTGTTTACCGTTTCTCTTGGTGCAAGCAGGCGGAGACACTGATTGAGCTTCTACGGCAACCAAGATCCGACAATGGCGCTGTCCGTACCTCGGAAATGTCAGCATAAACCCTACCACTCATCCTCTCGTGTGCCCACCAATCTAACAGAGAAATAGTTAAAGCAACATCCAGCTCCCAAAGAGAGAAACACAGCATAATTTGTAAATACCTTTGTAACGAAGAAGCTTTGTAAATGTGTGATCCAATCCAAACGATGCCAGCTTGGAACCTTTTTTCCTTCGCTTTTCAGGTTTCAGAAAATATGCACCACTCGCCATTGAATCCGCGTTTTTTTTTTTGTCGTTTGTGATGGCTGATTGGTGGTGTTTTTTCTTCCTTTTCTTTTCCCTTTTGGTAATCAGATTGTCGTTTGTGATGGCTTGAATTATGGTATATTTTACCTCTTAACGCAGTTATCAGTGAGTTTTGAAAAAATTATTGTCATTTATTCTTAATCTAGTTTTACTATTTTATTCCAAATTAACTGAATTCATACGTTGGAATAAAATATGAAAATAAACATCGTAAAGAAAAATTTAACCCTTTCATGGAATAAATGTCAATTTTAATTTCTAAAAATATGAAAAAAAATTCAATTATATACATTTTAGTTTTATTTTTGGTACTTTTAAAATCTTACTAATAAAATAGAAATCCCAACCACACAAATCGCTTCAAAGTTTTTAATTCAATTTTGGTTTGGAGACGAAATGATTTTGAAACTAGGGAAAAATAACAATAATGTGGAGCAAGAGAAACAGCAAGGGTCAATAAATAATAGAGACAAAGGTTATAAATTTAGCATTCTGATGCTCTCCCCACTTAACCTTTAAATTTTCATTTAAAGATTATAAAAACTATAATATTAATGATTAATTAACCACACGTTCAACTATAAATAATGTTTTGGCTGGAGAGAGCTACGTGGAGGATTTCTTCGATGGTGATAATAAACACAAATTGTGGTATAGTAACAATCATGTGATAGTGTCAATGATAGCACCAAAATAATAATAAAATATAATATAATAAAATAATAAAAAAGGTACAATACTAATGGGATTTTTTAAATAAATTTTATTTAAAAATGTGTAGGATTATAACGGTTACACTATACAATAAATAAAAATATAATTATTAATTGTTTAGAATTAAATTTGTATGTTATGTTTCTTCATAAAAAAGGAATGTCGCGTGATTTAATTTTAAATTCTTACATTGTAAATCAAGTCTATTGAATTTTATAAATTTAAGTAGTAATTAATAATTTATCATTCTCTTGTATTTTAATAAATAATATACTATTTAAAATAAAAATATATTCACTATTAAATTATATATTTATGAACGTTTGAATTATGTAAAATGTTTACATAAACAATATTCACGACAATAATGCAATTTAGCTATTTTTTATTTTTATGCAAAATATAAATTTTTAATTCAGCTTTTATATATATATAAAATACGAACAAGTCTTAAATAAAAACTTTGAAATAATCTCAACAATTATGTGTTATAATGTGATTATTTTATAATATATATATATATATATAATTCCTATAGTAATTGTATGTAGTATTTGTTTTTATTTTCATCTTGCATTGTTTTTTATTTATATTTTCTATACACCAAAAAACAAAACTAAACAAAGGACTTACATTATTCTTTTTATTAAAAAAATAATAAGTAACCTTGCATTATTTATATTTAATCCCTTATATAATAAGTAAATCAAAACAATTTTTAAATATTTTTTTGTGTAACACTTTATATAATCATCCCATGCAAGAATGAATTTATTCAAAGCATTTCAATAAGTTGTCTTTTATAATTTATCATGATTCATTGTAAAGTTAAATAATTATGATTTTTTTAATTTATTTTTAAGTTGATTTAGTCATCACATTTTGTAGTGACTTTTATATATATATATATATAATCATTCTTTTTACCATGGTATCCATAAAAAATAAGATGCGAACTGGTTTATAAGTATTACAATCATTGAATTTTTATTGTTATTCGGGAGAGTAATAAGATTTTATTCATTCATTTTATGTATTAAAATCTACAGTTGATTTTCCTTATACTTTATATACAATTAATATTATGAGCTGCTTCTGATGTTACCCATTTATAAATACATGCTTGCGTGGATATGTGTGAGGAATGCTTTTTTTTTAAAAAAAAAAAAACTTATTTTATACTTTGTATACAGTGAGTGTTGGGCCTTTTGCACCACTATGAGTTTAAAAATATCCAATTAGGCAAATTATTTTAATATTTTGATAAAAATGCACACTAAACTAATGAAATCAATGAAGAAAAAAAACTCTTAACTATATGTTTGGAAATGTTTGTAAATAAATTATGAATTCCAAAAAATTTTAAATTTTATTGTATACAATTGTTTAATACAACTTATTAAAATAATTTATTTTTGTTTTGTTTCAATAAATTTGATGGTTAAATTTATGATGTAAGATATTATTAAAAAACAAATAAATGATTAATTAAATTGGCTAACCGTTTGCTCGTCCTAGGGTACATTGCAAGTAACCTGCACTTGTCCCAATTAATGGCGAATGCGTCTGATTGCCAAACCGTCATGAATTCAAAATTTCAATTTTTTATGCCATAAAATTATTTTTTTTTCGTTTAAATGCTTGTATATATAGATATTTTTTTTAAGTCACGTAACTTATTTTATGTTATATATTTAATTTTTTTTATATATTAAAATAAATATTTATTACCCTTAATACAAATATCTATTGTTTTTTAATCTAATTTATAAATTTTGATTAACTTAAAAAAATACGCATCCATGACAATCTTGTTAGTTTAAGTATAAACTTAAGTATACTAAAACAGTGAATAGCATGAATGGGTGACACGTGAACTAGATTGAACTTTTCTACTGTTAAACTTGTAATAATTTTTAAAAGTTAAAACTAACAAAAGTATCATTGTTTTTTTTTAATTAACTCTAAATCTAACTCATTCTTACTATTTAATTTCTCTCCATTGAATATTTTATTTCTATGCATAAACCTTTATTTATTAAATATAGTATATATGTTTATTATATTAAAAATTTATTATAAAATAATTTTTTTGGTTAAAGACGTGAAAGCATTTCCTTTAAAAGATGTAACTAGTAAGCTTCTTTTCTTACATTACATGAGTGAATTGTCTTATACTTTTTTAAATTTAAACAATGCTTCACACACACACACGTATAATATATATATAAAAGTTTAAAAGCTCTTTTTACCTTCTTTATTATTGTTATTACTATGTTTTTTACCTTTCTTATACTTACAAACTCTTCTTAATCCTTCGCATTCTCACTCTCTTCTACTTTTAGTTAACATTGTATATTTATAATACAAAGTTATCAAAATTATAATATAAATTTATTTATACTTTCACACTGTATTTAATAAAAAGTATTTATAACTTCAAACAAAGTGTAAAAAATTCAACATATTGATTTTAAAATATTTAAAATCAAACCGTATTATACTTTGTGTGTTTTGCATTGTCGAATGCATATACTTTCCTTGATAAAGAAAAAGAAAGCTGCAGCAATGCAAAACTTTTTCCAGTTAAATACTTTTTCATTTCTTTACCCATTTACTTTTGAGATTTTTTTAATTAACTGTCTATTTACATGTTTAAGATAACATTACTCATTATCTATTTAATTATATTATTCATAAAAAAGCTTAAATATTTTATATACTTATCATAAAAAATTAAAAAAGTTTATTTAAAAAATAAAAAATAGTTTGCCTTAATAAATACTTAATAATAAATTGGAATTTAAATTTTATATTATATAAACAAATAAATAAATAATGAGAAGAATACTAATTATATAATGTATTTGACTTTTGTCTGTATATTACATTATTTCAGTGCATATAAACTATACTTTACACAATAAGAAATGAAAAGAGTTGCAGTGAGGGTCCCACGTGTGGCATGGGCCATGCTGTCCGAAAGCAACAGGCTTCGTTTTAACGTGCAGACATGAGAAACGAGAATCCCTGATCCAAGTCTCATTTCTCCGACTAGCCCACACTGTAGATATTTTTAATTTTCAGTTCACAACTCACATCAATTTCTATGTTTAATATTCTTTTATATTAGAAGAAAAAAACCCCAAAATTTAAGTTAAGCACTCTCTTTGGTAACGTTAGGTTCAGTATTCTTGCACAGATAATAACCATTTTTACTATAATTATAAACAAATGTTTACAAGTTTTATAAATAAAACTATTTATTATATTAAAATTTAAAAGTAAATAAATATTTTATTATAAAATAGTCTTATTAACATATTAAAAATATTAAATAATTCAAATGTTATCCATTTATGATGAGAGGTAGGAAAATTAATAAGAAAATATTGTATAAAATCAGTGATATATTTGACGTTAGTAAATCAATAGATGTAGATCTGAAAAAATATTTACACAATTTTTTTTTTTAATTTATCGGTTTTAAAACATTGGTGAGTGTTAGTGGGAGTGCAAAACGTGGCTTGCTTGGTGAGTGAAGTTGAGTTGACGATTGGGTGGTTTGGCGTGTCTCTGATTCTTGTTGACGCTGGTTGAAGCCGATACACGATTTCTGCACTTGGAAGCTTTTGTGTCTTGGAACTCAAGTATCTTAGTGTTTAAGCGGATATCATAAATCTCTGTTATTCTGCTACTTTTATTTACAGCAACAGAGGAAGAGACATAGGTGTTGTGTAGTGAGGTTGAATGAGCTAAGGCTAAGTTGAATAGATGGAGAGCTATCTGAATGAGAATTTTGGGGATGTGAAGGCCAAAAACTCATCGGAAGAAGCGCTTCAGAGATGGAGGAAGCTCTGTTGGCTCGTTAAGAACCGCAAAAGGAGGTTTCGCTTCACAGCTAATCTCTCCAAGCGATTTGAAGCTGAGGCTATTAGACGCTCCAATCAGGTTTCTTCTTCTTTTTTCTTTTCGTTTTTCTTCCCAGATCAAGACTAAATGCATTCCCCAATCCTAGTTTACACACTATTTTCTCCTTTTTGGTAAGTATTATTAGTTAATCTGGAAAACTAATATGGCAAATCTATATCTATCTAATCTTATCTATCTATCTGTATATATTTGTTGTTTTGAGTTTCCTTTGATGCGGTGCATTCCAAACATCACAGCTCCATTTATAGAAATGATCCGTGATTATGTAATTCCTTATAGTAAGTTATCTCGATGCTAATTCAACACCACGGCGTGAGCATTGGATACTTTGATCTAGGAATTAAACGTCAATGCTTATGGTAGTTCTGGTGGTGTGCTTCTCCTTTGTTGAGTACCAGCAACTAAAGGCTTTTGGTAATGTTCAGCAAATTACAGTTGCGGATACAGAATATTATCATCATTGCCTAGCGCTCGATAGCATTGACTATGGTGCGCTGTTCACGTGCTTTAGAATGCCAGCAACTTGAAAACTGCCCAGTTGTTCATCCCTTAGCCTTTCGTCTGCAAAAGAGGGAATGAAAAGATTATTCACTGTGGGCATAAATGACACTGTAGTCATATTGATCTGTTCCATTACTATTTTTCACTTCTTTCTTTTTCGTTCCCTTCTTGCTTTTAAGACTAGGCTATCTTGCATATTGTTTTGGCTTTGAGGTTCTGTTAGTAATGACTTTTATTATTTTAAGGAAATAATCAAATGATAATAACAGCTATAAAGTGAAATCTTCAGTTACTGAACAGCCTACCCTTTGTGCTTGGCTGGGATTTATGTCATGCGTGAGAAATTACCTAATTTTCTTAAACTTGCGCAGCCAGTTATTCTTTACAGATTTCAGTAATCATACTTAAGTTTGAGTGGTTAACCACTTTTGAATTTCATGACATGGTATTTCTGAATTTGACTAAAAAAATGAGCCTTGGAAGGGTTGGAATATTTATATTCTCAATATCCTGGTGCATCCCAAGATTACTCTAATGGCTTAACTTTATGTGGAGTAATATTTGATCATTTAAATGTTGTAAAATTAATTCCAGAATCTCTTAATCCCCCTGTCCCCACTATACATTGTAGGAGAAATTCAGAGTTGCAGTGTTGGTTTCACAAGCTGCACTTCAGTTTATCCATGGTAAGAAAGTCAACCTGCATGCATTTTAAAATTGTTGTAAAGGTTTCACTTTTACATAATAAGCAAGTCTTTGCTCCTCCAGGTTTAAATTTGTCAAGTGAGTACACTGTACCCGAAGAAGTTAAAGCTGCAGGTTTTGAAATTTGTGCTGATGAGCTAGCATCAATTGTTGAGGGACGTGATGTGAAGAAGTTGAAAATTCATGGTGGGGTTGAGGGGATCACAAACAAACTCAACACCTCAGTCGATGATGGGATTTCAACTTCCGAGCACTTGCTGAATCAGAGAAAAGAAATCTATGGAATTAATAAATTCACTGAAAGCCCTGTCCGGGGATTTTGGGTCTTTGTATGGGAAGCCCTTCAAGATACAACCCTCATGATACTTGCTGTCTGTGCCTTGGTCTCTTTGGTAGTTGGCATGATAATGGAAGGGTGGCCCAAGGGTGCACAGGATGGAATTGGTATTGTTGCAAGCATATTGCTTGTAGTGTTCGTCACTGCCACAAGTGATTACAGACAATCACTGCAGTTTAAGGATCTAGATAGAGAGAAGAAAAAAATTACAGTTCAGGTCACTAGAAATGGCTGTAGACAGAAGATTTCAATATATGATCTGCTTCCTGGTGATATTGTTCATCTTAATATTGGAGATCAAGTCCCTGCTGATGGGCTTTTTGTGTCTGGTTTCTCTGTGTTAATAAATGAATCAAGTTTGACGGGAGAAAGTGAACCAGTGAATGTCAGTGACCTTAATCCTTTTCTTCTGTCTGGAACCAAAGTTCAGGATGGATCATGCAAGATGCTTGTTACTACTGTTGGAATGAGGACGCAGTGGGGTAAACTAATGGCTACTCTAAGTGAAGGGGGAGATGATGAAACACCCTTGCAGGTAAAGCTCAACGGTGTTGCTACCATTATTGGGAAAATAGGCCTCTTTTTTGCAGTAGTGACTTTTTCTGTGTTGGTCCAAGGGCTATTTAGCCGCAAGCTGCGAGAAGGATCCCAGTGGATGTGGTCTGGTGATGATGCTATGGAAATCGTAGAATTCTTTGCTATTGCTGTTACTATTGTTGTTGTTGCTGTTCCGGAAGGTTTACCTTTAGCTGTAACATTGAGCCTTGCTTTTGCCATGAAAAAGATGATGAATGATAAGGCCCTTGTCCGTCACTTGGCTGCTTGTGAGACAATGGGATCAGCCACTACTATCTGCAGTGACAAGACCGGCACACTAACTACTAACCACATGACTGTTGTAAAAGCTTGCATATGTGGGACGATTAAAGAAGTAAAAAGTTCTCTGGTCTATTCTGATTTCTTATGTGATATCCCTGATTCTGCTTTGGCAATTCTACTTGAATCAATATTTAACAACACTGGAGGAGAAGTTGTCAAAAACAAAGATGAGAAGATTGAGATTCTGGGATCACCAACTGAGACCGCACTCTTAGAATTTGGGCTGTCACTTGGTGGTGATTTTCACAAAGAACGACAAGTGTCAAAACTTGTGAAAGTTGAACCTTTTAATTCTATAAAGAAGCGCATGGGGGTGGTTCTACAGCTCCCTGATGGTGTTTTCCGAGCACACTGCAAAGGTGCCTCTGAAATTATTCTAGATGCATGTGACAAATTTCTAGACTCAAGTGGTGAGGTTGTTCCCCTCGATAAAGACTCCATCAGCCACTTGAAGGATACAATTGAAAATTTTGCTGGTGAAGCTCTCCGAACACTTTGCCTTGCTTACATGGATATTCATGATGAATTTTCTGTTGAAAATACTATTCCTATTAAGGGTTACACTTGTATAGGAATTGTGGGTATTAAAGATCCAGTTCGTCCTGGTGTTCGAGAGTCTGTCGCCATTTGCAGGTCAGCTGGTATTGCTGTTAGGATGGTTACTGGAGACAACATTAATACTGCAAAGGCTATTGCTAGAGAATGTGGAATTTTAACGGACGGTATAGCAATTGAAGGCCCCGAGTTTCGTGAGAAGAGTGAAGAGGAATTGCTTGATATCATTCCAAAAATTCAGGTACATACATTTCATTTTAATATATTTTTCTGAGTTCTTTATTCTTGTCCTAGACTAAGACTTGGAAACTCTAGACAGAATTTGCTATAAAGATGCCAATATCTTAAAATATTTACCAGAACAATTCGTGAAAACTCTCACTTGAAGTGTATTTGTTGTTTTGCAGCGTGTGCAAGATTAGTGTTCTGCATATTCCTTCTTTATATACACTACATATCACATTAATGTACACCATTAGAATATACCGAGTGATTCTTGAAGCTAGAAAATAAGAGTTTGAGAGTCTCCAGTACCCTTTACTGAGAAGAAATTTCTTTATGATCAACATGTGTGATGTCTATATCTGCAGGTAATGGCTCGATCTTCACCCATGGATAAGCATACCCTGGTGAAACACTTGAGGACAACATTTGAAGAGGTTGTTTCAGTTACCGGTGATGGTACAAATGATGCTCCAGCACTTCACGAAGCAGACATTGGACTTGCAATGGGTATTGCTGGAACTGAGGTATTCCAAGTCAACTCTATGTTGATCTTGTCTCAGTAAAATTCTTCTTGTCTAGAAATTTGAAAATTGGAATGATTTGTTTTGAGACATTATATTTGGTTCTACTTTTCATGTGGTATTATTAGATAACTGGATACAGTGGGTATGCCTCACAATCTTTATTTCGAAATGCAACTTGAATATATTGAAAGTAAATCTCTGAATTCTCTAAAAGGTATTGGTAAAGGTGAAGTGCTTATGATTTGCATGCTTGTTTTAGCTTAATTTTGGGAAATTATTGGTCCTCCCCCCCCCCCCCCAAAAAAAAAAAAGAAAAGGAAAGAAAAAGCTCTTTTACGAAGCTGCAAAAATAAGCTTTTATTTCCTCAAAATAAGCTGAACAAATTGCTTTGCACTGTATTTATAATACTCATTATCTGAAAATTCCCAATCTTATCATTGGTTGCTATGGAAGGTCTTGATCCTTGGAATTATTGTCAGGATAAATTTGTACTTGATAATATATTTTATAAAGCTGTTTTTTCTTGTAAATTTTTTCAGGTAGCAAAAGAAAGTGCTGATGTAATAATATTAGATGATAACTTTTCCACTATTGTGACCGTAGCCAAATGGGGCCGCTCAGTCTACATAAACATACAGAAATTTGTGCAGTTCCAGCTTACTGTAAATATTGTCGCTTTGATTGTCAACTTCTCTTCTGCCTGTTTGACAGGTAATCATGATGCTTTCCTCAACAAAGTTATCATTTTTTGCAGTAATTCATTACTTTTTGTCTCAGTCTTATTTTTTTACTTGTCATATATGAATTACTAGGAAATGCTCCCCTCACTGCGGTTCAACTACTATGGGTCAACATGATTATGGACACTCTTGGAGCACTTGCACTAGCCACTGAACCTCCTACTGATGACTTGATGAAAAGACCGCCTGTTGGGAGGAAAGGAAACTTTATCAGTAATGTGATGTGGAGAAATATCTTGGGGCAGTCTATATATCAATTTGTTGTAATCTGGTTCCTCCAGACAAGAGGAAAAGTAGTTTTTCATCTTAATGGCCCGGATTCTGATCTAATGTTGAATACACTCATTTTTAATTCATTTGTGTTCTGTCAGGTAAACCTAAAACCATCACCTCATTGGATTTTATTCAGTGTCTCTATCTTCCTTTGCACTAATATGGTCCCAAAATTGAAATGACAGAAGTTACATTCATGTGCACATTCTGGCTGGCTTTGGAGATTTTTTTCAAGTTGTTGACTTCTTTTGCTTTATTCATTTCTTTTTCTTGTAATACACATAGGGAAAATTTTGAAGTTCTCTGCCATCTGCATTTATTGCTTTTTCTCTGGATCTGATTTCATGTTCTGACTAGACAAGTTTGTTTTTGCCTTTTCTCACCTACCTTTTTAGTTAGTAGTGCATAGTAGAAGTCTGTTTTCCTCTTGTCTATGATAAAAATTCACAATAATTATTTTTTTTAAATGATGTTCTAACTTCTGACTTTTGGAATATTAAAATTTAAAATATTGTGGTTGAATATTTTTCTAAACTGAGTGCATGAGTAGTGAAATTTCCTGAATAAAATTTCGAACTATGATGCCTTGTAAGTGTTCTCTGATTGTGCTTTTTATGAACACTGTTATTCAATTATCCTGCCAGGTTTTCAATGAGATTAGTTCCAGAGATATGGAGAGGATAAATGTATTTGAAGGTATACTGAAGAATTACGTGTTTGTAGCTGTCCTCACTTGCACTATCATCTTTCAAATCATAATTGTTGAATTCTTGGGCACCTATGCAAACACATCTCCTCTTAGTTTGAAGCAGTGGTTTGGTAGTGTGCTCCTTGGAGTCTTCGGCATGCCAATTGCAGCAGCTTTGAAGATGATCCCTGTGGGATCCATGTAAAATAAATTCAGACAAATTAGGTACATGCGTGCTCACTCTGTTCTCTCATGGAAATCAAGTGTCTTGTTTGCTCCTGGCCTCTTTAAAGAGATGCCAATTAAACCAAAAGTTTTATCTGTGTGAAGTTCTCTAGGCTAACAAATTAGTGGCTTATTTTGGTACTTGTTGCTGGTGTCAGAGTAAATATCTGTGCATTTTGCATAATTGTTGTCAAATCTCAAAATGATTTATATTATATAAATTAAATTTTTAACCTTTAATGTAATGAGGTGAATTTGCAGTATATTGATTGTAATTTCTGTTCATTTGAATGATTTATTATTATTATTTCTGTGGTTGGATCTAGGGTTGCTTCTTTGTTTTTTGTGACCTTTTCTGACTAGGCCAAGGTAATAGTGTAATGTTTTAGTTATTATCAAGGCGATAATAGATCAAATGCAAGAGTTTATCGAGTTTGGATGCTTCTAGAACTGACGTTGGAGCTCAAAGCTTCAGACAATGACAAATAGGATTTTCAGCTCACTCTGAACTATTGTGTACAACTGTGTGTATTAATTTAAATGAAAAAGACAATTTATCCAATTACTCTCTCTTCTAAACTTGGTAGTAATTGTGAATGCAACTCATATTTCTAGGCATTTTGGACTTCAGTTCCTTGTATCAACTGAGGATGTAACTACTATAGTTACTGATGAGCAATTAAACTGGGGAAATTTTTGAGGTTTGATACCCTGGGGAGGCATCATCGATGATGGAACATGCACTTGGATATTTTGTCTAATCAATGCCGGCAGGATAGCTAATTATGAATGTACAGGATACTGCTTGGTATCTGTTGTACTGAGGAAGAAAACAATCATCTTTTATCTTCGAATGTCTCAAGTTCCAACAATAGTTTGGTTTAAATCTGGAGTATCCATCTGGAAGTTTTTGAGGATATTTTCTTTAGTCTGTGGCTCAACTTTCTATTATTGTCAACTGGCAAATATCAAGAAAAACAGCTTTTATCTTTTGCATGTGGCTATGAAATGTATCTGTTGGGAAGAGAATTATGTTTAATATGCATATATCACAAATTCTCATCTTCTGGAATTTAAGTGAAGTTCTTTCAGTTAAACATGTACGCCATCTCATTGTGATCAGAAATTATCTCTGGCAGGTTGGTTCCTTTGGCCGAGGGAAGTTAATTTTGGTACTGCAGTTAGCCAGGAATATTCGTGGATACCTATTATTTTATTGGTGGAGATCAGGAGGACAATGTCAAGAAGTACAAAGTGCTTTAATTTAATCCTAATGAAGCAGAGGGTATCGAGGCAAATTTTGGCTTCTCAGGTACTCAATGGATGGAAAGATCATTAGGTCTATTGTTAAAGAATTGCATTTGCTCTAGCTCCACACTACCTTCATTGTTCTATCAATTGGGCAGCTCCAGCTAGTGTATCTGATTTAATCTATTTTGCTTCGGTACTCTTATAATTTTCAGTGCTGAGGCCGTTGGAATAAAATTATTTGGTCGTTTGAACTTTGTTGTAGGTCAAAATTTTAATCTAGAACTAACCTAAAGCCGTTAAAAGGATTCAAGAGAGACCAACACCGCATTACAAGGCCTGTGCGTGTGTGTATACCCATTCTCTTACATGCTTTTCACTTCGTTCCCTTAGTCCAAACATGTGTTTATGATTACCTCTTGCAGTTAGCAAAACAACTTTGATGAATGGTTAATGAAGAGGTAATTAAAAATGAAAACTATCAAGAACGTGAACATGATTTCCAAAGACCCTTGAGTAATAAACAAAATATACTTTGAGCTAAAAAATGACAAGACCAGCTTTTGTGGCTGACCATATATTTTGTTTTCTTCCCCCGAATAGTAGATAGTAGTTTTTTCTCTGTTTCTAAAACTACTGATATTTTTTTAAGGTCTCACTAACCGGGAATGTAAGACATTGGTTAAAGAATTGAAATTCTAATAAAAATAATATTAAAAGACATTAAAAATTACATAAAAAATTATTATTATTAGGTAAAATTATTTTACATTATTGTTCGTTGTCTTTCTCTTTATCTAATGGAAATGAATATTTTTATGTTCAGATTCATCAAAGATTGAAAATAAATATTTAAAAAATTAATTTGTTTATGATTTAAGATTTAAGAGTGGATTTTTAATATTAATAGCAAGATGAAGATAAAAAAAAAGAAGAACGAATAAAAAGTGACAAAGATAGATACAATAAATAATACGCATGATACAATATATGTGATATAAAATCACAATTTTTTTAATAAAATTAAAATTTTAACGGGAGAAGATTTATTTAAAATTTTTATAAAAGTTAAAGAATTAAAATGAATAAAAAAATTAAAGAATAAAATTAAAATATTTTTAAATTTAAAGGATAAAAATATTAATTTTATTTTTTTATTATTGACTATATTGCCGATTATTGGTCAATTACTTAATTTCATACTCACAGTTTTAAGTGTATTTAAGTTGAATATTTCGTTTGTCGATACATCAAGATCATTTGTCATCTCAAGTTGAATTAGTAAATAATATATTACAGTATTGTTCAGCTCAATCCTCTGCATCGAAGATGCTTCTCCAAGGCAGCTTTGTTCAGTACAAGTACTGCTTTGACCGCTGACATCAATCATCTCTCACGGACTTCAAGTTGACCCTTCAACATATCTAAATTCATCATTCCTTTGTTTGTTCTCACTATGCAGTAGGGAGCAACTAGGTCTCTGACTCCGGACTTGTATTCTTATCATACTTAAGTGGAGGAGTCAATTTCAAGTGTGACAAAATGCCTCCCCCTTCTAAGCATGAAATAAATAACTTCCGTATGAAAACGTACTCTTTTTTCTAAAAACAAAAATCAGTGGTCGAATATGCAAACAGGCATGGTGTATTGGTGTTCAACAACAAGATGGCACTGATATTCTCCCCTATTTCAACCAAGAAAGAAAAGAATTTGTTTAGGACAAAACCCAGAGGAGCACTAAATTTTTAACTTATTTTTTCTTTGTAAAATACTAGAATTATGACATCCAGTAGTCCAAAACCAGTATACCATTACCATGTTTAGGATGTTGTAAAATAAACCTTAACAGGGTACAATAATCGATTGCTTCAAAGCATAATTAACATAGAAATCCTTTTGATTCCACAAACAATATATCGGGTTTCATGACCCATGAACACAACGAAGTCATATAAAATTTGCAGGCAAATGGGTAGGTCCCACCTTAAAGGCAGTCCCAGACATTGAAACAAATCCAATCACATTCATCCTTACAAAACTTTTGTGATGGCCAATATGCAACACAAACCATGCACCCAAACACACCAACAGAGTTTTTCCCGACCTGCTTTCAGCCTTTTTGAAGACATTACTAAAGCATCCCAAGCATCCATCAAAACGTAGGTTTGCAAGAGATGTGACAAAATCCGTTATGAAGAGGCAATGAAGGTTAAAAATAATTAACAGAAAAAAAAAACAATATTAAGAATGAAAAATAAAAAACTTTAAGAAAATAATAAGAGGAAAAACAATGGCCTAAGTCCTAAGTGGCTGTTTCTGCAGCTTTCTAGATCAGCATCTGGCTTTTGTTTACCTGGTTATTTGATTTGAACACCTCAACTAGTATATGCATCCCAATTACAAAGCCTCAGTTTTTATTCTTGCTTCTTCCTTTGTTCCTCTTCCCCTTGTGGTTCCTCAGGATGGCATCTAATCAAATCCTAAATGATTTTTCTTCCAGTAATAATCAATGACTTTCCCAGGTGGGTTTCCCTCCCTCTATCTCTGGGTGAGACTAAAGCTGGAAGTAATCAAGAATGCGACATAATCTTCACATAAAATAATTAGACCTTCAAAAAGAAAAATCAAAATTTTGGACTTTTGCTAATGGAGCCCCTTCCCATCACTACTTCCTTCATCATCACTGAAAGTGAGTCTTCTTCTCTTTGCCATTGGATCAGAGGTGACTCGTGAACTCTCTGTCATTATAATTGGCGTATGTAGCATCATGTTTCTTCTGGTTTTCTCCTCGTATAATCTTTGAATTAGATTATAGTACTCAAATACATCTTTCTGTGAATAAGAAAACAAAAGGGCCAAAATAATTAATCCAGATTGACAATTAGTAAATATAAATTGGTGTAATTTAACTCACAGGTTGAAGAAAGCTGTGTTGAGGAATTGAACTCATCTTCAACTCGACTGCTTCTATCGTCAATTTTTTTTCCATTGCCACCAAACTAGCAGCCGCAGCAATAACAGATGGTTTGTGATCCATTAAATTAACCTCTGCACAAGAGAACAAATATTTGCTTAATGCATGTGGAAATACAATTATATAACTCATTGAGAAACACAGAGATGAGGTCAAAGAATTCATTTCAAAAGGAAAAATAGAGTATATTCCATTGCTCATAATTCACCTTCCATTGTGGTCAAGATGAGTTGCATGGTCTCGGAAACAATAGGACTTGATGGGGATTGGTTGGAGAACTTTGTGATGAAATAAGAAAGAAAATGAAAGGGAGTGATGATACCCATTTTCCACTCCAATGTGCTCAGCACCAAAAGCTCCATTTTTCGAATAACTCTTCCCTCAAAGGAATAATCTTCCAATCGAAACTGTGATAGCCCCGGCACATTGCATTCCTCCATCTTTGCAGCGAGAGAAAGACATGCAATTGACAGTAACCGAATTGCCCAATACTTGTCACTCTGCACAAAATGGGGCATTCAGCCAAAAGGGTAAAGAATAAGATCAACGAAGAATGTTGCCATTGGAAGAATAACATTTGAGCTTACATCAATAGACCTTCTGGAAAGGAACCGATCGAAGTAAGTGACCGACAAATAAGCCGTTTCCAAGCGAAAACCAAATGTTGCTCTTGTCTGGGCTCATTTTACCATTGAAAATGAAAAGGGAAATTAAAAAAGAAAAAGTAAAAAAAAAAATCAAGTTTGATTTTCCTATTGCAGTTTCATTAATGATTATCTCAATCGAAAGTACAAGAAAATGGGTCGTTGGACTAACTTTGAGAATCCAATTGATTGCATCCATGCGGGCACGTTTCTCCCAGTCCCCAAACACCAAAGTCTCGTCCCTTTTGAACCCAAAAACTCTCTCTCTCTCAATCAAAATACCCGCATGCTCCTCCTCTGAAACACCACAATCCCTCCATGATTCAACAAACGACTGTTCTTCTTCCAAGCACGTTTCGCTTTCTTGGCAAATAAGGCTGGTAGAAAGATCATCATCCATTTTCTTTTCTTCCAAAGCAAAGTTTCCTTTTCTTTCTTGATTTGAAGAGATTTCGCCACCCAAATCAACAACAATGCAAAAAAATCCGTCTCTCTCCGGAGTGTTTTATATGATATGATAATTAAGATAACATGATTGTGTGATTAAACCACCTTACCTAAGAGTCTAGAATTAACGAAGAAAAGAAGGAGGCTATGATTTAGGTGGAAAAATGTTAAAGCTGTTGTAGCGGTTACAGTTTGAAAACATTGATTATCTTGTCTTGGGCATGCGAGAAAGGCGAGATTTTAGCTCCAGCGGCGAGAAAAAGTGAGTGTGATGAGTGCGTTGTTATGTTTCGGTGTTCATTGTTCAAGGTGTGATGTTGGGTGGGTAATGAGGATGATGAGGTTTTGATTTTAGTTCGTTTGACCCAAAAAGTCTTGGCATTTGTATTTGGTCTGAATCACGCGTGCTTTTAGGCGCGTGGAAAACACCCCACCAGACCCATCAGTGAATAGAGATGGGTCGGTTCGGTTCGGGTCAATTTTGTACGTGGGCCCTATCCTGAACCTGAAGTCTTTGAAGCGGGCCGGGCTTTTATTAGATATGCACGGTGGAGGGTCCGGGAGAGTAGACAATCCCAAACCTCAACCCTTGACCAGTCAAATATAATAACATAACCATTTCCCTTTCAACAAATAAACTGAAATAACTTTGTTTATTCATAAAAACTTTCGATGTTCCACGAGGTTCATGGCAAGTCTCATGAGTGCCAAATCGTACTCTACAAGAAAATCCTAGTGAAACATTATACTCACAACAATTTGAATACCTAGGGGAAAAGTGTTGTAATTGTTTTTAACGTTTTATTTTGCTCTCTTTTAATATAAATTAAAATATTTTATTAAAATTATTTTTTTCATAATTTGATACTTACACTTTTTAATATTAAAATTATAAAAAAAATCATGTGTGAATTACACTTTCTTTTATTATAATAGTTTTATTTTTAATATTTTTTTAATTTGTTATAATTTTTAGAGATAAAAATTATAACAAATTAAAAAAAATTATTTATATAAAATCTTAATATATATTATCAATACAAAACGTCAGTATAGTACACTATCTTTTAGTATAAATCTTAAAATTGTTTTTTAATAGATTATTTTTTATTGAATATAATATATATTAGTAAAAGTCATTTTAACACTTAATAAATAACAATATTTTTGTAGTATCACTTTGTGATCATCTCAAAACTGGCTTCTTCTGCTTTTTATCACAGAAAGAACAGCAGTAGCTGATGCGGTGGAATAATCTGCTGTTTGGGAATACATTGCGTAATTCATGTGTAGCAGATAATTAAAGTCACAAAACTTATCAACTCTCTTGTTTTTTAGTCATTTAAAAAGTGGACTCTAATGGATGGCTAATTTATAATGTAGACAGATCGCACAAGATCCAAAATTCCAAATATCCCACTATTTATATTTACGTGAAATTTCAATATTTTTAGTGGGTTTCTTCAGACTAATAAATATTACTATGAAAAGGAAGAATAATGTTGTCCATTTAAACAATAGTTTTGAGTTGCAATTAGCTTTTGGTGCTTGAGTAACAATATTTCATGGTCTCGTACGTGGAAATCATTGATAGCATATATGTACATCATAACTTTAATGGGTCGTCTATTTATCATAATAATCTCTATTATATTTTATATTCGTATAACTTTAATTATACGTTAAGTCTTTCTATAATGATTCAAACAAACAAAAAAGTCTTTCTATAATGATTGATTGCCCTCTTATACGATGGTTTATGCTACAAGACCATTTTTTTTTGTCTTTGTAAAAAGAAAATATTTTTAAGATAAAAACATGTTTAAAAGTTTTGTAATATCAAATAGATTTTTAAAAGAAGCAAAAACTCAAACAAACTATTACAGTATTTTTCACATAGATTAAAATAAAAAAACCAAATGAAAGATACTGTACTCAAAAGCCTCAGTAATGTTAAGATTGGAAGAGTTTTGTTTTAACCAAACTAGTATTTGAGTGACTTAATAATTCATAAATAATATGTTTTAAGGATTAAAATAAAATTTTTATTGGATAATGGCATCTCGATTTAAACAAATAATGATGGATATTGTATTTATTCACGTTTTGTATTTTATTTTAACAACTTTAAAAATACATAACTTAAAACACTCAGATGTATGTAAATACATACATGTAGATACAGATACAGATAAAAAATATTTATTTTTATTTATACTTGTACGGTGTTTTAGTCATATTTTTTACAATAATTAGATTTTATTTTTGCAAGTTTAAAATAAGTAAAAAAAAGAAAGCAAAATAGTGTTTTTATTTGAACCAGTAAATCGCCTCTATTTTTTGTTTTATATATATATATATATACACATTTGAAATAGGGTATGTATATTATTAAACATTGACTAGGAAACTTTATAAAATGTAATTATTAAAATAAAAAAATTCAGATAAAAGCGGTATCTTTGATGTTCATGTAAGTAGTTTTTTAAAGGAAAAAACAAAGACTTAATAAAAGTAAAATGGAGTAAGTGCGTAGCAGTTGCTTCCATGTTTCATGCCACATCCGTATACCGTAGTACTTACTTTACCGCCATTTTTAAATCAGCCTCATGTGAATCCATACGTGTTTGGTTTGAATTATTTTTATAGTAGATTACGTTATTTTTTAGATAGTGTTTATTTTTGTTTTATACTTTCTTAAAAAGTTAATGTATATAATTAAATATTTTTTTATGATTAATTATTTTAAATATAAAAAATAATATTTTTTGGTATTTTTAATAAAAAATATCATTTTATACAATTTAAATATAATAAAATATTTTATTTCCGCGAATTATTCTCTTTTAATCTGTAATATTAAATTTGAGTTTCAATACTCGAAAGGAATGTATAAAATTGTTTTAGTAAAAAAGTACTTCTGTTTTAAATGACAAATATAATAAATTACTTTAAAATTATTTTTAATATATTTAAATATAAAATTTATTATACATATAATCAATTATCATAATACTTAATTATAAGTATAATCAATTATTAAAATAAATAAATTTTTTAAATTGATGCAAACACGAACTGAATGGGAAGGCGATTCTAAGTACTATTTCGTAACAACTGAAATTTATTTAACATTTCAAGATATTTTTTTATTTTTTGTTAAAATGATATAATATTTAATATTACAGATAGGTATATTTTTATTATATTTTTAATTAAATCTTATATTTATAAATTACTATATGGATGCAAAACTTATTATAAAATTTGAGTGAATTTTATTAAATAACAAATGAGGCTCAATACAAACATTAATATAAATATCTCGTAACATTATAATTTAATACGAAAATATCTATTTTTATAATAAAATTTTTGAGAGCTGCAATGAATTGTTGGCACGGTTGGAAAAAGAATTTAATTCAATTGATCATTGGAAGGATATATTCAAAATTTTTATCTACAATCTTTGAAATAAATATAAAATAACAAATTATATTTTTCCATTGAAATTTTTGTTAGGTTACGGCAATTTTTTTCTTTATGTCAACGCGTGTCTTAAATTTATTTTATATTTTTGTGATAAAATAGGCTTTAAGTAAGGTTTATTTAAATTATAAATACAAACATCTTGTCATATTAAATTTAACATAAAACATATATTTTGGCAATAATATACAATAGATAGCAACAATGAATAATTGACATGAATTGAACCCCTCTTTTTTCTTAAGTTAAAAAGTCACGTTATCTTGATGACAAAGAGAAGTCAAATTGATTCGAAGGATAATGTTAATTTGGGTTAATTTTTTTTTCTCCAAAATTCTTATTTAATCTTAAATCTTATAAGATGTCATTCATTTTATTCTTTAATGTCAATATAAAATAAAAATAAATAAATAATATTTATTCAAATATATATATATATATATATATATATATATATAGAATTTTGTACTGTTGTAATAATAATCAAATCAGAAACCGAAACTCGGCAGTCAAACTAACGATTGCAAAATGTTAGCTCATTTTTCAACCTACTTTTATTTTGAAGCTTGAACAGTATCTCTCTCCTCTTCTTCATCGAAGCAAAAAAATAAAAAAGAAAAGAAGAAAATGAGATCATATTAAATTATCAATGGATTGGGGAGTAAATTATAATTCAATATATATATATATATCATATTCAAATAAATTTAAGACAATCTAATTATTTGTTAATAAAACAACATTGATTTAACCATCCCAAAAAAATGATACAATAAAATTTAATACTTCAATTATTAATAAAAAAAAAAAACATGTATGTAGTCTATTAAACTATAAAAACTATAAAAAAAAAGAAAATTGTAACATTACATTTAACGATTAAAAGAATAGAGTGATGTTTTTTTTTTATATAAAACTAAAATGAAAATATTTATATATTTAAGGGATTTACAATAACTTCAGGGAATTAAAATAGGATTATATTATATATTAAATATAAAAATAAAAGGCTCAAATATATTTTAATCCTTTTTATATAAATATAGTTAAAATTTGTGGTCCTTCATTTTTTTATTAATTTTAATTTATATAATCTTAACAATTATAAAAACAGCTTATTAAGTCATGTCTGCTGCTATATTTTTTTTGAGTACTTCTCGTACTTCAATTCAATAAACATATGTCTTATTGTTGATAAAAAGAAATTATAAAGAGGAAATTTTAGCTTCACAAATAAATATCAATTTAATTCTATATCTGCCGAGAAATCTTTACGCAATTTTTTTATATTATTATAAGTATTATTATAGCTGTGTGTTAAAATGCAAGTTATAATAATATACACTCTTCCAATATTTCCTTTTACAGGTCGCCATAACACAAGAATTAAAAAATATAAATAATATTTTAAATTTGATTAAAACTATTAATTGATTTTTATTATATCTCTTTTTTATATTAATTAATTTTTCAAAAAACATATTTTAGTTGATTATTCAGATATAATCTAAAATATATAATTACATCATAAAACAACAATCAAACTAAAATAACATTGTTAAAATGTCAAACAAAAGAAAATAAGGTGAGTAATATGTTGAAATCAAAGAGAACTTAATTACATATACAAATTCACAAATAGATTGAGAGATTTTTTTCTCTTTTTCAGGTCAAAAGTGAGCTTGAGTTTACTACTGTACCATGTTTGGCTTACATTGGGTTTATCAATGTAATAACATGCGTCCATAAAAGATTTACTCTCCTGCCATCTCGTATTTGTTTGGGACTTTAAGATCGCATCCACCAAAAGTAACTCATATTTAATTTGG